ATTTAAAAAAAAGTCTTAGTGTTATGAGCCATAAACCAAGCCAACCAGCGAGGAGAATCATAACATAACTTTGATTCGAAGCAAAAAAGTATTTGAAAATCAGACAAAAATACAAAAGGTATAAGAATGTACTTTGTGATAGTGATAGAAAAACTACAATCCCACGAAGCATTTCATCCCAATTCATGGGAGTAAAGCGATTCAAGAGAGTAGGCAGAGCTAAAGAGATCTTTTTCCACATTTGGCTTGTTTCGATGCTGAAATTTCTGTACAGCAACATAGGGTAATGTAGTTTTTCCGACATGAATTCTGCTGTTAAACATGATTATTTTAAAACTAAGCTGAAATAATGCTGGCAAACAGCTTCAATAGAAGCAAATCCTATTGATAAACAACCTCGTAGCTCACAGTAAGGCTGTCTTTAAAGGTTTATAAGTTATCGTTCAAAATCTATTTCCCTGTGGAGAAACTGAATAGAGTTTTTACTTCTCGCCTAAGCACCTCTGACATGAAGTGCACTCGAGATTTAACAACTCCTTCCGATAGGCTTTGACGTTAGCATGTTGCTAAGCTAAACCACTCAATACTTTATAATATAAAAGTATAAAATGCATAGCACACACATTTTGGGTAACGTAGTACATTTTTTAAGTCAATCAAACTATTCTGTTGATACTTTCAGTGCCCTGCTGAAAAAGAAAATCTTAAACCAGCTAAAGCTGGTTTGCTGGTCTCCTAGGTCGGTCTGCTGGCTGGTTCCAGGGGATTTGTGCTGTGGATGAAATCATTAATCTCCAGCTAAAAAAGCCAAAGAGAGGCAGTTGAGGCCAATTTAAACCAGGTAAGACCAGAAAACAGATTTGAACTGAATTGAAGATTTGAAGAGGAATGAAATATTCATTTATAACTGCTGTTTTTTGCAGGTTATATTTAATAAACAATAATTATGCTTGAATTCCAAAATAGGAACTATAAGAATGCATTTACAAATGTCATGCATATTTTATTTGTCAATGAATGGTCAGCTGGTCTTTTTAATAGCAAACATTTTATCCGATTATCAGTCATTAAAGGAAAACTCCGGTGCAAAATGAACCTTTGGTCTAATAAAACCACGAACAACGTGGTGAGTGAGCTGAACTGTATGAAGAACGGCGTTTGGGGATCGACTTATCGAGACTATTTTCTGAGATGGCTTCTACACGAAGTGAACTGTCTTTATAAAGTATCTTCTTATTAAACGGTCTGTACACTTACAAAGTTCTCAATGCTTCGTTCAATGCCTCATTATGTTACTGTGTTAGTGTGGGGCTATTTTGAGCCTTGTTAGTGGTATAAACTAGCGATTTCTTTTTACTTAGTAAATGCCCCCAGTACTAGCATTATACGCTAAACAGTTTTTAGAGATAAAACTCTTTACATTCGATTATCATGAAAACAAATCTCAGAGAACGGTCGACTAGGTACCGATGTTTTATTAGACCAAAGATTCATTTTGCACTGGAGTTCTCCTTTAAAGCTTGATAAAAACTGAAGGTGTCATGATAGACATCGACACGGAGATGTACCTTTAACTTCGCCAAGCCGGTTTGCTCACTACTAAAACCCTCAAAGATCATGTTTTCATTTTCATGTTTTTTTTTCTTTTCAAATTTGAAGTCCGAATTACTTTTCGACTTTTCGTCTTCTCATTAACACCATTATTCATTCAGATCGATTTGCGTACGAAAACAAGGACTCAGGACTTCACGTCAGGACTTTCCCCCTTTCATTCTCAATTACCCTTCACCAAACCCACAGAACATTTTAGGGTGTCTGTTAAATCTCAATGGGCTCATCAGGCAAGAGAGAAACGCTGCTTCCCGCAGTAACTTTAACTAGCGTTGGACAGAGTCATTTTGGAAAAATTTGTGATTTATACACTGTTTGATGTCATATTTTTATTTTGTGGAGGCACTTCAAGGGGCAACTTGACAACTTTGTTTCTTATCTTTATCTCCTTAAAGGAGTAGTTCACTTAAAAAAAAAAAAAACTTTTGGTGATAATGATACGCATTCGTGACTCTCCTGTTCACACTCATTTATCAAAATGAACGAATCTTTTTTTTCCAAGTCATTTGGTTCATTCAACGAACGAAATGAACGAATTGACTCGGGAAAAGCTTTGTTCATCTTGATGAACGAGTTCGAACAGGAGAGTCACGAACGCGCATCACAGAACAGAGCAAGGCGACCATTTGAGCTTATAAAACTTGAACTTTGTTATATATTTTTTTAAAATGGGGGATTGTTTTGCTTGATAAGACCCTTATTCATCATCTGGAATCGTTTAAAGCCCTTTGAACAGTTTGCACTGAAACTGTCTTTTGGACCTTGAACCATTTGGTTCCCACTGAAGTCAATTATATGGAGAAAAATTCTGGAATGTTTTCATCAAAAACCTTAATTTCTTTTCGACTGAAGAAAGAAAAACATGGACATCTTGGGTGACATGGGGGTGAGTAAATTATCAGCAAAAGTTTTTTTAAAAGTAAACTACTCCTATAAGAACTGGTACTGAACATTTTAGAGTTAAATAATGTACAAAGATGTCATTTTGAGTGTACAAGCTGATGTACCCCCTAAAGGTAGAATCTTTGCACTTTTTTCTCCCTTAGAGTGTGGATAAAGTTTATGGCAGTGCATTCTGAGTTTGTGATATTACCTTAGAAAGCTTATAAAACAGAATTGCTACCCACCTTTTAAATTAAAAAAAAAAAAAAAATCCCACCAAGAACCCCTATGATGCCTTAAAATGCTTTCTATGTGAGCAACTCACTAGGGCTTAAAACCGTCTGCTGTTTCTGCATTTTAACACCAGCATGCATGGCCTGATCCCTCTCAGGGTATGTAGTCAACCTGACGTTAATCAGAGAGAAATTCATTTGTTTGTTTGGCTGTCCCCCCTCCTGCTGCTGGAAGTAATCTCCATTCCTGGCCCCTTCTAATGATGCTGTTAATAACCTGATGTTGATAACCCTGCCTGCTCCACCAGCTGCTTGAATTCTTTATGACAGATTCATATTTACTGCTTCATTAAACCTCTTATGAGAGGAGGCCAAAAATGCTGCAAAGAGGTGAAAGAGGAAGAAAAAAAAACACCCCTGTCCTGCCAAAATTCTCACCATGACTTATTTTATTAATACTGTGACACTACTAGAGCAATGCTGTTTAGAATTTCATAAATAATCTTGGCAATGATTAGGTGAAATGCAAAACTGTGCGGCGAGCGAGAGCCTTGACGACACCCTGTCTGTGCAGTGTCGGCCTGTTAGCACGGCTGGAGTGGAATTAAACGGCACAAACGACAGTTCGCATTTGTAGCAATTTGCCTCCGTTCAATACTTTTAGCGTATGGTAGAAATGCGGATGTAATGCATCTATCTGCTAGCAGTGGGAGGATTGTTTTTCTACTAAAGGCCCTTTCATTGATCATATAAGATGCCCCACATGAATATAGATTTGTTTCAGGCTGTGTAGGTGATAAACATCCTTTCTTTTGTATTGTACCCAATAAAACAGCACAACAATTATTAGTGTCCAAAGGAATAGTTGGAATGTCATATCCGGCCTTCCTCTTTTGGCAGCTCATTAGACGGAGCGCTCGGCTCTTCAGCCAGGCAACTGGATGTTATTCAAATCAATAAATGTACAGGGAAAAGAAATTCTGTTTTAGACAGAACAACTTGAGCTCAATTTGAAAAGCACTTTACAATTCAGCAGTACAATCTAGCTTGCAGGAGCCTGATTGTGAGCTAGGGGAGAACAAAGAGCTAAACCAGCCTTTAGTACAGCTCAAAACTACAAACTCATCTTTGAGCACACTTATTGAGCCATCGTTTCATATCTCTAAGCACTCCAGACTCACGTACATTTACATTTAATCATTTAGCAGATGCTTTCATCCAAAGCGACTTACAAATGAGGAGAGAAATAGAAGCAATCAAACCGACAATAAGGCAACATTATGTAAGTACTGTGACCAGTCCCAGTTAGAGTCCACAATCAGGAAAGAAAAGTGAACAAACAAACAACTGCTCCCTCAGATCTCATTTTGGACTATTTGAGTTGTGACTGAGTTTCATTTAATTTTGCATTCACACATTATAATATGAAATGTATCACCATTTTAAGCCCACACACACGATGGCTAACGATGGGTAACGATGCTTTTGGGAAACGCACCCCTGGTTTACTAGTCCCCGTGGGTCTGTGTGCATTCAGGTTGAAGTCCCCACCGGAATAGAAAAACAAGCGCGCACACACACTCGCACTCCCTAAGCCTACCCAACACAGAAAACTTTATGCATTTTACATTTTTAAAACGCATCACTTAGCATTACTTATAAGCTGTTTTCCTCATGGGGGGGCAAAAAATGTTCCAACATGGACAAGGATTTCTGATATTGCCATCTTCAGGATCAAAACTGAAGGAAGACCTTTGAGAGTTTGTGTTTTTTTATATCCCAGCATATGGCAGCATAACAACATGACAGAGAGGCAGCCCACTATTGTGTATGATAATATCTCACTCTGTCATCTGCATAGAAACAGAATAAGCAGCACTTTGCATGGTAATCTGTAATATCCATATTTTACGGTTGTAGAACCTTTAAGATTCAAGCAAAAGTGAAAATGAGGTATACGAAGTTCACAATTCAACTTATAAGCAAACTAAACGGTGAACTTAAAAGTTTGGTCTGCTTGGAGTAAAAGCCAATTTTCTTCCAAACCTCTCTCAGATCCCTGAAATGAAATTTCAGTAGAAAGTAATCATGATTGCATCTGAAAAAGCTAATTGATCTAAACACATAAATTGATCCAAGCCCAAGCCTTTAAGTGGGTTTGTGTTTCTGTCACATTAAGCAGAACCTCACCATAGCTCTCGCCTCTGTCGTTATATTCCCTCTTCATGCCACTCCACTAAGGGAACACAATTCATATCTGTCAGCTCATGTAACGCCTTATTCCCTGAAGGACTCGAGGCAGAGCGCATGCTGTCCTGCTCCTAGAGAGCCTTATGGCACAGCCATCTTAAAAGGAACATCCATCGACAGTGGTCATCACATCTGTCAGGGTGGAGCGGCAAAGATGTTTTCTGTGAATTTGCTCTCTCATTAAAATGGTCCTCTGGTGGGATGGTGCCAGCAAAGCATACTGGTCTGGGTTTGACAAAAGTCTGCTCAGTATTTGAAAAAACAACAACCCATGGTTATGTCTTCTACATAACCATTGAATTGAATGAAACCTTTATTGCCCCGAGGGTAATTTGTTTTGCACCCAAGTGAGCCACATTGAACATCAGCACAGATAACAGTAAAATATCCAACAACATTGTGGACAGAGGATACATAAAAACTAAAAACAAACAACACAGCAATGGTGGTAACATGCGATCATCAGTCCAATAGCTAAAATGAATCAATAAACAAAATAATAATAATAACACACTATTAAAAAAAAAACATATCTATATGTGCCTGTTTCTGATCTGTTCAGTAACCTAATGCTCCTCGGCACAAATGATTTAATGGCAAGTTTGGTTTTTATTCGGGATATTCGACTAACGATGCAAGTTTAGGAAATACAAGATACCTTACACTGTGTCTACACTGGGCGTGAGTGACGTGACGCGACGCAACGAGACAAAAGACAATAAAACCCATTATAATCAGTGATGCTGTCTACACTATGCACTACAAAACCACGACATTTAACTGATGGCCATTCTATTTTGGATGTATTTAAAGCGCTCGAACGCTACTTCTAACACATTAGACAAATGGAATTGGGATGTTCGCTTTGTCGCGTCAAGTGTAGACAGCCTCAAGATGTTGTGGCACGTCACAACATGACAACTGTAGCGTCCGGTGTTACAATACCCCTTAAAATACCCGTTCGTGGTTCGACTTGTCGAGACTGTTTTCCAAAGATGGCTCCTGCCTGTATACTCGAAGTGGACTGTCTTTATAAAGTATCTTCTTATTAAACTGTCTGTAATTTTACAAAGTTCTCAATGCTTCGGTTTGCATGTAGGGACCCTCATTATGTTACTGTGTTAGTGTGGAGCTATTTTGAGCCTTGTTCGTGGTATTAACTAGCGATATTTATTTTTCATTAGTTATACACTAAATAGTTTTTAGAGATCTTTACATTTGATTATCATGAAAACAAATCTCAGAGAACGGTCGACTAGGTACCAATGAGTTATTAGACCAAAAGTTCATTTTGCGCCGGAGTGGTCCTTAAACATCAGGGCTCAACAATAAGGGGGGCATGGATGAAGTTTGGGACAGGATGGAACTGGATGTTATCACTTTTAATCAAACGTGTCTTTATGAATTTATAGCTGATATGGAATTACATTGCTGTATAGGTATTCAGACAATATTGCAAAAATGTCGAAAGTGGCCTCAGTTTCACACAATCGCTTACCTGCTTCTCCAACAAACACCTCAACTGGAGCACTTGGGGGGCTTTCACCGATGACGTTGTAGGCAGTCATCACAACTTCATAGCGCCTGTATTTCTGCAGCTCTGATAAGAATATAAAATTAAAAACAGAAGGGTATAAGGGTACTTGAAAGGTGTATCTTGACTTTGAGACGGCAGATAAGAAGAATGAGAATTGATCTGAGGAGAAACAAAAGCATTTCTCAGATATCCACCTACTGTTCCATAAAGTGTGGATACAGAATACTTTGGTTGTGATTATGGAAAGCAATGGCATCAAACTCTTACACAGGAGAACATGCATTTCTCGAGTCTCAGGCAGAGTGCAATGAGATTCACTTGTGAGAATATCTCAGGGCCAGAATGTTCCTGGTCAGAGTAGATGGATTAGTGGAAAAAACATGTTCTCCGAACAGGAAGAGTTTTTGGGATTACACACTTTGCCAAAGGGAATTTGATTATTTCGGACTTCAAAGGCAGACTGACATAAATGAGAAAGATGGCTAAATAAAACTTACGCGTTAGCTCGAATTCGGTTAATGAAGGATTGCTGACAGTCTTCACAGTGCTTTTGGCTGTGGAGGGAGAAAGAGCAACTGATGAGGAATACATTACTGGAGATGGAAAAGCACAAATCAAAGGGATATTTCATCATGGCAGTAAATCTTTGCTTTTCAAAGTTGCTCATCACACACTTCTCCAAGAGATTGATGAAACTCCACAATGCTCATCTCACTTTTGCACGCGCTCAGATCAAACCCCGCGAGAAACCAAAGCGAGTCAGTGATTAATGATTCAAAAGTCAATATTCAGTTCTATATCACAAGCTGGGGTGCATTAGGGACCTAATAAAAGTTTTAAAACATATACTGATCCAGCATCACTTGGGGAAAATTAATGAAAAATCGGAACGTCCGCACCACTAGTCAATCCTTTTATACTGTTCCATTTGAGCTCTGTAACTTAAATGAATATGTCTGTGTAGTTTAAAAAAGTGTTTCTACAAGAGGGCATATCAGACTATCAGAAGTATCTTCTGGTCAAGCTCAGACACTTCAACTTTACTTCAAAATACCTAATTGGACAGAAATAAAGAGCTCAGCGAGGGACTAAAAGTGAAGTTTAAATTAAATTTAACCCAGATACGTTCGATACATTTTTTATCATATTTTGAAATTATCATACAGATTTCTATCATTTTATAAAAAAAATGTTAAAGCTTAGTGGCTTTCCCACAAAAAATTAGTGCGATTTCATAGTGAAACTGCACAGCGCTTCAGTGTTGCATGTCACACACATGACCAGCGTCGGCCAATAGTGAGCTAACGTGTGATGTTCAACCATTCAAGCGCTGCGCAGTTACACTACGACGTGAATTCCCTCGAGGCCCACAGAGAAGAAAATGAATAGTTGAATAAAGCCTTTGCGTAGAATTCTCGTCGCTTGATAAACTTAAGATTGAGCCACTGTTGTCACTTGGACTATTTTAACGATGTCTTTAATTTTTATGGCCCGGCAAGTTTCAATCGTTTTAGAAGCCTATGGAGGAGTGATCCAGCTCTCAGATTTAATAAAAAAAATCTTAATTTGTGTTTCGAAGATGAACGAAAAACTTGGGGTGAACTAACCCTGTAATATTTGATACTAAAATAAAGAATATTATATTAATCTGTAAAAATGTCATTCGAATACTCAATACATTAAGACATATGAAGGGGACATGCACAAGAGGAATGACTAAATCTATCTACCTGACAAAACACTATGAACACCAATCATAGGCATAGATAAGTAACAGAAACTGACTCATCTTCAGCAGAATGCCTCAGAAAGTGACAGGGACCTTGTTAGCTTCTGGAGTACCTGCTAACTTTTCAATGTAAGCTGTTAAGCCTGAACAAACAGAGCATAGCTCTGGTAATTTCCTCTTGGCATTTAGGGTGATTTCAGCAGGGAGGTGCATTCAGCACTTAACCGACCTCAGATTTTAACATGTAAGATGAGTGGAGAGCAGAGGAGAGATATTGCGTTCCTGCCCTGACCAGTGCAGAACATAGCGAAAGGAATTAAATATGCCTTCGTGCTTGGCTGCTCCGGGCTTGCGCATTTAAATGCTGTCAACACTGCTGAGTCCAATTTGTCAAAGGAGATTTAGCAGCCGGATCCGGGCTGTGGAAAAAGAGCCCGTTGGTGCGCATGGTGTCGAACACTTGAGCTCAAACTCATGATTCCGCACCTCACGCAGCCTGAGCGCGTAATGAGTTCACCTACGCTCAGCCATCCGGTGGAAATATATTCTCTAACTGCAGGGAGAAGAAGCGCCCTAACCGCTTCGATAACATTCAAATTGGCGCAATATTCATCGTATTAATGTGGATTTCCAAATTTGCCATCACAGATTGTGTCCCAGTTTCATTTCAAAGCTCGACTTCCTTTCCAAGAGTGTAGCTGGGAAAATACAATATACATTTTCGCACAAAAGCTCACGTCAAACACTTGCCAAAATTGACAGAAAAAAGCTCAGTGAGGAATTGAAAACTAGTTTACATTTAGCCAAGATAAATTTGACTAATATTGACCATATTTTTAATTCCATTAAATATTGCAAAGCAAGTCAAAACTAATATCACAAAACATCACAGAATTCATCAACACCATTGGTTACATCTATGTTTGTGCCATTGGTTTTCCCACCAAAAATGATGTCATTTTGGATCCAGCTTTTCTTAGTTAACAGGGATATTATTATGCTATTATTATTATTATTAGGGGCCAATCACTGAAAGTGCGGAGGCACCTGTTGAAATCGTTGGCGTTCTTATTCAGGCAGCCCATAGAACCACTTGCGGGAAAGAAGCATTTTTTAATTATGAATTATAAAGTTATACATTTGGCACTGATAGAAGACACCATAGCAAATTTGGAGTCTAATTCCCACTGATTCCTTGGCCCAAGACGATACGATTGCATCATATGACGTCATTTTCCATCATGAAAATCCTTCCGCCATTTAGATTTTTTTTAAAAACCTACTTTTTCGAGCTCGTCCTAGACGGTTGCTCCGATTTTCACGAAAATTTAACCAAATAGAAAAAACGTCTCGGGTTATGACTATAACCCTTGTTCCCTGAGAAGGGAACGAGACACTGCGTCGATAAAATCGACTCTTTGGGGACGCTCCCTAAGCGTGCGCCTCTGAAGTATGAATGAAACTAATCCAATCCTGATTGGTGTTGCGTCGTGACGTAACATGTGACGGCATACCCGGAAGTATAAAAGTGACGCTGTCACAACACACACTAGCCTCGCGATGAAGCAAGACGCTCAAGGGTCTGAAAAGGGGGCGTGGCAACACGACGCAGTGTCTCGTTCCCTTCTCAGGGAACAAGGGTTATAGTCATAACCCGAGACGTTCCCTATCGAGGGAACTCAACACTGCGTCGATAAAATCGACTCTTTGGGGAACGAGTACCCACTAGGCCACGCACCGAACAGACCCGCCCCAGAGTGAAACTGATTAGGCACTCAGCAAGGGCCGAGTACGTGTGCACCGGGCGTACTGGGAAGGCTGAGACTGTAAAACCTGATGAAAGTATGCGGGGTAGCCCAGCCGGCTGCCTCACAAATCTCCTGCAGAGGTACTCCCGACAGAAGGGCCCTAGAGGAAGCCATGCCTCTAGTCGAGTGAGCCCTTAAGGCCAAAGGTGAAGGAACCCCACGCACCTTGTAAGCCTCAGTAATAGCCTGGACAATCCAGTTACTTATAGTTTGTTTGGTCGCCGGGAGCCCCCTCTTAGGTGACCCAAAGCATACTAACAACTGGTCAGATCTTCTCCAAGAAGCAGACTTTTCCAAGTATACACTCAAAGCTCTGACGGGGCAGAGCAAGTGAAGCCTCTCTTCTCCCGCCGACACATGAGGTGGAGGATGGAATGCCTGAAGGACTACAGAGCGAGCCGTACTCGAAGGAACTTTAGGCACGTAGCCCGGACTCGGGTGCAAAAAGGCCTTTACTTTGCCAGGGGCAAACTCCAAGCAAGCTGGCGTTACCGCCAGGGCCTGGAGATCTCCCACCCTCTTAAGAGAGGTAATCGCTAAGAGAAAGACCATTTTCAACGTTAAGTCCTTAGGCGAAGCCGACTCTAAAGGTTCGAAGGGAGCGAGGGACAACCCTTCCAGAACTATTGCCAGATCCCAGGCAGGCACCCTGGACCTGATCGCCGGCCTCATCCTCCAAGCACCACGGAGAAACCTAATGACCAACTGGTGCCTCCCCAGAGGTCCACCATCTACTGGCGCGTGGAAAGCCGAAACGGCAGCCACGTACACCTTAAGAGTGGACGGGGAGAGACCCGCAGAGAAACGATCCTGAAGGAATTCCAGAACTGAAGCCACTGGGCAGTTTACTGGATCCAACCTTCGTTCTCCACACCAAGTGTGAAACACCTTCCACTTGAGGCCATATAATCTCCTGGTAGATGGGGCCCTAGAGCTAAGTATGGTTTCAACCACCTCAGCTGATAAGCCAGCATTTAGGTACTGAACCCCCTCAGAGGCCAGACCCACAGCTTCCACAACTCTGGGCGAGGGTGGAAGATTGTGCCCTCCGCCTGAGACAATAGATCCCTCCTCAGAGGAATCGGCCATGGCGGAGCTATGAGGAGTGATATTATATCCGAGAACCATACTCGTGTCGGCCATCTCGGGGCAACCAGAAGTAGACTGATGCCCTCTTGACGGACCCTCTCCAGGACCCCTGGGAGCAGAGCGATCGGGGGGAAAGCATACAGGCGAAGCCTCGGCCAAGCCTGTACCATGGCATCCAACCCCAGTGGGGCTGTATGTGAGAGGGAGAACCAAAGTGGACAGTGGGACGTCTCTCGAGACGCAAACAGATCCACTTCCATCGGTCCGAACCTCTCCCATATCGACTTCACCACATCCGGATGAAGTCTCCATTCCCCGGGCCTCAGCCCCTGCCTCGACAGGATGTCTGCTCCCCGATTCTGAACCCCTGGGATATACATTGCCCTTATTGACAATATCTTTCCCTGGGACCAAAGGATAATCTGATGCGCCAGTTTGCACAGAGGGCGCGATCTGAGTCCCCCCTGTCGGTTCAGATAGGCCACCACTGACGTATTGTCTGTCCGTATAAGGACGTGGCGACCCTCGATGTCTGGGAGGAAGCTCCTCAAAGCCTTGAATACCGCCATCATCTCCAGGCAATTTATATGCCAAGTGCGATGATGGTCCTGCCACAGACCCCTGGTAAAGCGGCCGTCCATGACCGCGCCCCAGCCCGTAAGGGAGGCGTCTGTCGAAACGGTTTCCCGGCGACATGACACCCCCAACACTGGCCCTTGGGATAGGAACCAAGGCTTCTTCCATATTTGCAGAGACTGAAGGCACTTGCGCGTTACTCTGATCATACGGAACGGATTTCCTTTGGGTGAGAACCCCTTGGTCTTCAACCACCACTGGAGGGGCCTCATGTGAAGGAGGCCCAGAGGAATAATGTTGGATGCCGCTGCCATGAGGCCCAGCATCCTTTGAAAGTGTTTCACAGTGACGGCCTGACCTAGCCTCACCCTGGACACCATCGCCAGAATTGACTCGATACGTGCGGGAGACATACGTGCCTGCATTGTAATCGAGTTCCACACGACTCCCAAAAAGGTCGTGCCCTGGGACGGTTCTAGCACACTCTTCTTCAAATTGAGTCTTAACCCCAATTTTTGAATATGGCCAAGAACGACATCTCGATGCCGAACTGCCATCTCCCGAGACTGGGCCAAAATAAGCCAGTCGTCGAGATAATTCAATACGCGAATCCCCTGAAGTCTCAGTGGAGCAAGGGCCACGTCCATACACTTGGTAAATGTGCGGGGAGAGAGTGCTAGGCCGAACGGAAGAACCCGATATTGGTATGCTTCGCCCCCGAAAGCGAACCTCAGGTACCTCCTGTGACAAGGAAGGATGGAGATGTGAAAATAGGCGTCTTTCAGATCTATCGTGACAAACCAGTCCTCGGATCTGATTTGACTCACGATTGTTGGAATGGTCAACATTCTGAATTTGAACCTTCTCAGAGACCGGTTCAACACCCTGAGATCCAAAATTGGCCTTAACCCCCCATCCTTCTTTGGAACTATAAAGTACCGGCTGTAAAACCCGGACTCCCTGTCTACCGGAAGAACACGTTCTATGGCTCCTTTCGACAGCAGAGTCTGTACTTCTTGTTCCAACACCTGAGCCTGCTCTGGGACCACCGCAGTGAGCACCACCCCAGAGAACTTGGGGGGGCGGTGCGCGAACTGCAGTCTGTACCCAACTCGTATTATCTGCAGGACCCATGGAGATATGTTGGGAAGATGATACCATCCCTCTACAAAATCTGCTAAGGGTACCAGCCTCTCGAGGCTGGCCTCTGGTGTCTTTTCGCTGGAAATTGATGCGGCCCGAAGCGCTGTTAACGGCGGACCTGCATCTTTTCCTAGAGGGCCCCGTTGTGAGAACAACCTCGGTTGTCTCACTGCGGAGGGGGCAGCCCTCTGAAGTCCTGCCTTGGCTAGGACCTCTTTTCCGAAGTCCTCTTAGCCTGAATGACGTCCCTCAGGTCGCCCCTCTGGCTGGAGGACTTCGGTTTTTGGGAGCGTTTCCTCTGTTGCCAAGACCCCGGAGGGGGGGCTCTAGAGGAAACGCTCTCCTTCTGCTCTGCCCTGTGGGAGGAGCTGGCTGATGGCTGGGGCTGATTGCTTTGCCCCCCCCTACTAGATTTGGCCTTCGCTTTCCGGGGGAGGTACTGCTGGAACGCCGCAGATTGTTTTCTCGACTCCTGAAACCTGTCGACAACCGAATTAACGGCGTCGCCGAACAGGCCAGAAGCCGAAAGCGGCGCATCCAGCAGGAAGGACCTATCCTTTTCTTTAATACCGGATAAGTTCAGCCACAGATGCCTCTCCGTGGCCACCATGGCCGCCATAGAGCGGCCAATAGCGCTGGCCGCTTCCCTAGTGGCCCGGAGAGACAAATCTGCGGCCTTCCTCAACTCCGCGACATCTTCAGGAGTAGGCCCCTCCCCCTCATCCAAATCTTTCAGGAGGTCGGCCTGGTATGCCTGCAAAATCGCCATTGAGTGCAGACACGAACCAGCCCGACCCGCCGCCATGTAAGCCCTGCCCACCAATGCAGATGTCTCTCTGCAGGGCTTACTAGGCAACACCGGGGTCTTTAGGGAAGACGCCGATTCGGGAGAGAGATAGCTCGCTAAAGCCTCCTCCACCTTCGGCATCTTCCCATATCCCATATCTCGAGCCCCCATAACATTGCTGTAATCTATTACATTGGGACTCGAAATACGGGACGAATGCGGTCTTTCCCACGTTCTCGAGATCTCTTTATGGAGATCAGGGAAAAACGGCAGACCCCGGCGGTGAGGCTGTGACCTGCGCTGCAGGTAACGCTCGTCCATTTTACTGGTGACTTGCGTTTCCTGCTCATGTTGTGGCCAGCTGATGTTTAGTCTGGCCACAGCGCGTGTCACAACCTCCACCAGCTCCTCATAACCCAGGCCGCGTGATGGCGTGCTGAGATCACGGTCGTCCGCATCGATGCTGAGCACGTCCCCTTCCTCAGAAGTAGACAGCTCAAGCACCGGGACCTGATCGCGGGTAGGAGAAACCGCAGCGCGGGCTCCCACACCACTCTCAGAGGCTGCGGGACCAGCCGATGGCGAGCGAGAAAATGCCTCAGCATTCTCACTCTCCTCCGCCAGATCCCGCTGCGAACCCCAGGATCTCAGTCGCCGCATCGCCTCGACATATGCGGGACCGGAACCCTGGGGAACGCGAGCCTGACCGTGCTCGTCAAAGCACGCCAGCCGGGAGCGCAGCACTCTAATAGGCAAAGCCTCACACATTTCACAAGCAGCCCCCTCGAGAGCTGCCCGTGCGTGCTGCACTCCCAAACAATACACACATAGAGAGTGTGCGTCCCCACCCGTGATGAAACGAGGGCAGGGATGCACACACCTCTTGAATTGTTCACTGGCCATACTTTCTTTCAATAATAAGACAAACAACACCAAATAAGACAGACAGTTTCAACATAAAGCGCTTGCTGAAGAGCGAAAGCTAGTGTGTGTTGTGACAGCGTCACTTTTATACTTCCGGGTATGCCGTCACATGTTACGTCACGACGCAACACCAATCAGGATTGGATTAGTTTCATTCATACTTCAGAGGCGCACGCTTAGGGAGCGTCCCCAAAGAGTCGATTTTATCGACGCAGTGTTGAGTTCCCTCGATAGGGAACTTCTGAACTTTTAGATTTTTTTATTTCGGCCATTTTGAATTTTGTACTAAAATGCTGTACTTTATGAATGCTTGGTATGGGCATAAACTGGCTATGGGACATCAGCACGATGCTCGGAAAGAGTCTGAGAAGTTTCGGACCAGCGCCCCCTAGTGGTGATTGTTTTTTTACATACTTATAACTTTGGATTTGTTTGACTTCTTTTTTTTCTGAATCCTTGGCGAGTCTAACGATATCAAACATTCTATGTTTTGATATTTGATATAGATATTTTCACTAGATTTGACACACACATGTGTCATTGTGGGCTCATTCTGAGAACACACAAAAACGGCGGTGGAAAAAAGCGCCCACCACTTTACGAATGCTTTGATGTACCGTTACAAAACTAGGCATGTGTCTTGATTATCCATTAAATCATATTTTTAGTTACTGTATCTATGATTTTTCAGCCATTTTGCCTAAAATCATCTTTGAATGTCTTTAATTGCTCATTGTTGCAGTTGGTCCATGTTGGCACGTCTAATTGTCTTCTTTGTGCTAGGCACCGATAATTGCTGCTTGCAGCTATATTTATGATTATAATTGATTATCATTAAAAATAATAGTCAATCAAGCTTTGCATTTGATGAAGAACCACCTGGAATAATTCCTAATAAATTGCCACTTTTTCATCTTTAGAATTGAAAAGCAATCTCAAAATAAATCTCAAAAATAAATTGATTTAAAATGATCGTCCTAACTGCAAGGAGGACGCTCACCCTAATGCTTTGATAAAGTTCATATACATTGTATTAATGTGGATTTGCCATCACTGATTGTGTCCCAGTTTCAATTTAAAACTCACCTTTCTTTCTGAGAGAGTAGCTGGGAGAAATACAATATCTTTGCACAAAAGTCAAAACAAGTGTGTTTAAATCATTGAGGAATTCCTTGAGAAATAAATATAATAATTTATTTATATTTTTTTTCAATAACTGCATGGGTTAAAGTGTTCAAAGAAGCACTCGAGCAATAAATCACGGCTGTGTGCAGACGTTTCTGGTTCAAGAGGAGAGCCTCCTCCCGCTAGTTACCTGTCAGTTCGGTGCGCAGCAAGGAGCTGTTGACGGCCCTCTTTGACTCCTGCGGAGCGCTGTCATACTGCAGCTCACGGTAGTAGAGCCGATAGCCCACCAAAAGCCCATTCAAACTCTCCTCTTTGGGCTTCTGCAAAGGCATAGATTAAATTAAAGGTCACATTCCGCTAGCTGTTCTCACGGTCCTTATTAAAGGACACCCTGATAAAAAAAGCCTTCCTGGCTGCAACTGACAGACAGCGCTGACTGATCTTCCATCGCGCATCAGCGCGCGACGCTTGCCGCAAAACGAATAAGATAAATAAAAGATGAGGATTTAATTTCTGAGCCATTCAGTCAGTGGTAATTAACAAAGCTCCGAGCTAAGTGTAATCAACTCGGCCCACGGTTCTGCTGATAAAACAGACAGTAGTGAGAAGATCCGGGACTCATAGGTCAGTGAATAAAGGTTTCAGCTACTAATTAATATCCCTTCAGATTGCAGGATCGCTGTCGCGCACGGGTATTAATTATCCCGGGCCTTGCCGAAGCCCTCTGCGAGCTCTGTAAATGTGCGGGTATCAATACCGCATGTCATTAATTTATTCAAACCTGCACGAGGAATACTAAGCGATGCACGGTAGGCTGCTCAGAGCGAGGCTAATTATTGACAAAAGTCAGACCATTAAACAGAACAGGGCTGTAATTTCACTGGCGATAGCCTGCAACATGCTGGTATTCTTCTCATGCTGGAGCCGGTTTTTTATCTGTGCATGAGATAAACTTAATGGGGGTCAGGAGTTCACTCGACCGGGGTGGGCTGGCATTAGCGTACCTGCCACTGAACCAGCACGGATGTTGTCGTGGAGGGTTTCACGGCTTGAATCAAGGGCGCTTCATCAGGAACTGCATGAAAAAAGTCAAATACAAGAAGAGATCTGGTTAGATGGGAAGGGGATCTCCTTCCATAATCTGTTTAGCTATTTCTTCTCTGGAACATAATAGGTGTGATGATCTGCGGCTGGAGTGCCCGCTTGAGCCTCTGGGGGGCACTCCTTCCTAGTTTATTGTTTCTTTCATGTTTTACCCTGGACTGATTATGGTTTATTTCATGCACCTGTGTTTTATCATCTTGTTTAGTTCACCTGTCTTAAGCCTGAGTTTCCCCTTTGTTCGGTGCTCAGTATTGTGTTTGTTAGTATAGTGTCTGACTGCTTCGAGTGTTTAGTATTTCCTAGTTTCCTTAGTATTTCCTAGTTTCACGGTTCCTGGACTCTCTGCCTGTATCTGGTCTTCCCGTTTGCCTAATCCCTGTATTGTTTGATTGCTGATCTGGACTGCTTACCTGGTTTTGACCCCTGCCTGTTTCCTTGTACCTGTCTCTGGATTGTCCTCTTTAATAAAGCCTGCGTTTGGATCACCTCTGTCCATGTTCCATGTGCAGTTTCATGACAGAATACTGAGCCACTACTGATCCAGCGGCTGAGAGGAACACGGACCTTGCAATGGATCCCACAGCACAGATCGTATGCCTCCGCCAAGGAGAACGTCCTCTAAAGGTTTTTGTGATGGATTTTTTGAAGCTCTCTCATCAGTCCTACTTGGATGATTTTTGTTTAATGATATTCTTTCGGGGAGGACTGTCTGAACCGCTCGGCTCTGATATACCGTTTCCGAGTCCAAGCTGGACTCTTTCCCAATATATTGATCTGGCCCTTTCCATGAGCGGTTCGCTTTTTACTGTGGATTTTTTGGAACTTTTGCTTCACAGAGGACCCGACGATTCGGCATTTTACAAGGTACCCACTGAATCCACGCATCTAGAGTCTCCCGGTGAACCAGCGCTTCACACGTGCTCCGCCGAGTTTGCGCTACATAAAAGCCCAGTTGAACCAGCACTTGGTGAGGAGTCCCCCGAATCCACGCGACATGTGAATCCTGTTGTTCTAACACTTCACGTGAGCTCCGTTGCATTCCTGCCTCAAGAGTTTTCCACTGAGCGCGTGCCAGCCGAGTCAAGTGAGTCAACGGCCGAGTCAAGTGAGTCAACGGCCGAGTCAAGTGAGTCAACGGCCGAGTCAAGTGAGTCAACGGCCGAGTCAAGTGAGTCAACGGCCGAGTCAAGTGAGTCAACGGCCGAGTCAAGTGAGTCAACGGCCGAGTCAAGGGAGTCAACGGCCGAGTCAAGTGAGTCAACGGCCGAGTCAAGTGAGTCAACGGCCGAGTCAAGTGAGTCAACGGCCGAGTCAAGTGAGTCAAGTGTGTCCAGGTCCAAATCAAGTGAGTCAAGTGTGTCCAGGTCCAAATCAAGTGAGTCAAGTGTGTCCAGGTCCAAATCAAGTGAGTCAAGTGTGTCCTGGTCCAAATCAAGTGAGTCAAGTGTGTCCAGGTCCAAATCGAGTCAAGTGAGTGAATCTCCTCTTCAAGTGAGCGCTGAATCTCCTCTTCAAGTGAGCGCTGCATCTCCTCTTCAAGTGAGCGCTGAATCTCCTCTTCAAGTGAGCGCTGAATCTCCTCTTCAAGTGAGCGCTGAATCTCCTCTTCAAGTGAGCGCTGAATCTCCTCTTCAAGTGAGCGCTGCATCTCCTCTTCAAGTGAGCGCTGCATCTCCTCTTCAAGTGAGCGCTGCATCTCCTCTTCAAGTGAGCGCTGCATCTCCAGTTCAAGTGAGTGAGTTGTCCAGCCCAGCGAGTGTGTCTAGCCCTGTGACGCGCCGCCGCAGGAGGAGGAGAAGGAGGACTCGTTTGGTTCGCCAGGCCCCGGTGAGCGTGCCCAGACTCCTCGCTCTGCCGGCCCCGCCTCTGCGCCTCGCTCTGCCGGCCCCGCCTCTGCGCCTCGCCCTGCCGGCCCCGCCTCTGCGCCTCGCCCTGCCGGCCCCGCCTCTGCGCCTCGCTCTGCCGGCCCCGCCTCTGCGCCTCGCGCTGCCGGCCCCGCCTCTGCGCCTCGCCCTGCCGGCCCCGCCTCTGCGCATCACCTTGACTGCGCCCTTCAAGCTCCGGGAGACCTTTCCTGAACCCGTTTACCACCCAGAGGTTCCTCCCGTGAATTTCCCCAAGTATTTTTTGGGGGGGGGCACTAGGTACTCTGCGGGGGCCTTGGAGGCGACACTGACATGGACCGCACCTGAGTCTGCTCCGCCCTCGTCTCTGCCTGAGCCTGCTCCGCCCTGGCCGCCATCAAGTCCTGCTCCGCCCTGGCTGCCTTCACGTCCTGCTCCGCCCTGGCCGCCATCAAGTCCTGCTCCGCCCTGGCCGCCTTCACGTCCTGCTCCGCCCTGGCCGCCATCACGCCCCGCTCCGCCCTGGCCGCCATCACGCCCTGCTCCGCCCTGGCCGCCATCACGTCCTGCTCCAACCTGGTCACCCACGCTCCATGGCCCAGGCCCGCCTTGCCTGTGTCCGGGTCCCGTTCCCCTGCACGGGCCTGGCCCTCCGTCCCTCCCCCGGGATCACCTTCACTCTGCCCCCCGCCTGGATTGTTCTAGGAGCGTCTGGAAGCCGCTCCTTAGAGGGGGGGTTATGTGATGATCTGCGGCTGGAGTGCCCGCTTGAGCCTCTGGGGGGCACTCCTTCCTAGTTTATTGTTTCTTTCATGTTTTACCCTGGACTGATTATGGTTTATTTCATGCACCTGTGTTTTATCATCTTGTTTAGTTCACCTGTCTTAAGCCTGAGTTTCCCCTTTGTTCGGTGCTCAGTATTGTGTTTGTTAGTATAGTGTCTGACTGCTTCGAGTGTTTAGTATTTCCTAGTTTCCTTAGTATTTCCTAGTTTCACGGTTCCTGGACTCTCTGCCTGTATCTGGTCTTCCCGTTTGCCTAATCCCTGTATTGTTTGATTGCTGATCTGGACTGCTTACCTGGTTTTGACCCCTGCCTGTTTCCTTGTACCTGTCTCTGGATTGTCCTCTTTAATAAAGCCTGCGTTTGGATCACCTCTGTCCATGTTCCATGTGCAGTTTCATGACAATAGGAGGATTTTAGGCGAATGTTTTTTTCACTGTAATGGAAGTACATGAGGACTGGTGGTGTGAACTAAAACAAAGCACCATAAAAGTGGTTCATCATATCACTTCTGTGCTTTATTCCTCAGATGTTGTATGACGGCTTTCTGTGAGAAACAGACAAAAAGTGGTATTTACCAGTATCTTCTCTTTCAGCAAGTTTTGAGTCATATGGATTAGGGCTGGGCAACGATTAATCGCGATTAATCGCATCCAAAATAAACGTTTGTGTTTACGTAATATATGTGTGTGTGGTGTGTATAATTATTTTGTATATATATATATATATATATACACACATGCATGTATACAGTATATTTAAGAATTATACACACCACACAGACATATATTACGTAAACACAAACTTTTATTTTGGATGCGATTAATCGCGATTAATCGTTGCCCAGCCCTAATATGGATGAGGGGTTTTCAATGTTTCTGATGCCCTGGACCCCTGAATATGATGGTCCCCTTGCGAGGGACCCCATAATGCAGCGATTCCCAAACTGTGTCCGCGGACCACTAGTGGTCCGTGACGGTACTGCAGGTGGTCCGTGAAAAGGCAAAATAAAATCTAAAATATTTTACCAATAAATTCCCATTAAAAAAGTAAAAAGAATATGTAGGCCTATATTTATATAAAATGTAAATTAAATTGTCAAGCTATTGTGTGATTACTAAAATAGGCTAGTGGCGCTCGGCCGTGACGTTCAAGCTCCGTGTCGTCAGAACCACAACACCGGATCGGTGGATAGCAACAGGTTAGGTGAGCATCTATTTAGTTGTTTGTTTTTAATATAGGTCTATATTAGACAGACGATACAAAGAGGAAGGGAAAGATGTGGAGGGTGACAAAGGAGGATATTACGTTCATATCGGGCTGGCAAATAGACTCCAATGGCTTTTCCTTTTGACAACATTATTTTCAACCTGAAATAACGTTAGGCCTACTGTGTTTTCTTTTAAATGTAACATTATAGGGCAGAGGCAAATCTGTTCTCAAGTCTACTTTTTGAGGACTTGTAGAACTCTTAAGATTAACATTAATAATCCCCTAAAATCGCTAAAGGTTTTGAAATGCAGACTATATCCAAGTGTTCTTATTGCGGTATAGATTTCATACTCCATTGCTATGGAAATAAGCCTGTTATAATGCCTGTTATATATGTAATAAGCCTGATTATAATATGTAATATCATAAAAATGTGTATTATGAGGTGGTCCGTGAAAAATCTTGATTACAAATAGTGGTCCACACACACAAAAAGTTTGAAAACCCCTGCCATAAGGCATCCATATGGAGAACATGCATAGCTTTTTCTACTTTTAGATGCATAAACCTGAAGAGCGCCACATGTTGACCGTTGAATAAAATGAGTCCACAAAATATATCCACAGCTTTCCCACAGTTCCCTTGTGAAAATTTTGGACGAACTTTTATGGTGTTTTTGTGTCCTTTTTAAAGCCTAAAAACTCAGTTCCCATTCATAGTAAGTGCATGAAAATAAGGGACCTGCACATAAAAAAATCTAAATAAATTCCCCTTTGTGTTCCACTGAAGAAAGAAAGTCACAATAGTTTAGAATAACATGAGAGTGAGTAAATAATGACAGAATTAAATCAGTTCCAGGACTTCTGCTTCCAAGTAAATGGTGCAGACAGTAAGACTGTAGCTCTTCTATGACTTTTATTTGAATCAATAGCACATCAACCAAAGGCAGTGGATACAACACGCTCATTATTACTCACCATCTTGTAAAGTGGTAATTGCATCCGTCTCTTGGCTGTACTTGCTGTCTCCGACGTCATTAGTCGCCATCATTCTCAGCTTGTATGAAGTGTAAGGTTTCAGCCTGAGGGATTGCACAGCTCGTCAGCTCTCTCATATAGGACAAAGACCTTTCCCATCACAAATGATGTGGCTCAGCAGTGCATGTATGAGCTAGTATCTATAAATGTCAGGGACACAATCCATTGAAGCCCAAGGGCACACGCTGGCAATTACAGAGTTTTATCTTAAAGCACTTGAGGCAGAGAGGTGAGGACGGAAATAAGATACAAAACACTTCTTATTGGAGAGCTCATATAAAGACATGAGCGCAGCTTACCGTATGTGCCAATTTCATGAACACAGAACTATGATATAAAGAACAGGGATGCAGGTAAAATATGTCAGTGATATATTTATATGATTATAATAACATAAATAATCATGATTAAATATCAAGGGTAATAATAAAAATTGCACAGCCCCACTGCCTAGCCTTGAAAATCCTCTAGAACTGACAGTAAAGGGAATATGTGGAAAAATCTTTGCTTACATCTCTGATTTGTTCATTTCCCATTTACCCAAAACACACTGCACCAGCCAACTCGTTAACAAACTAAACATATCGTTTAGGTCTCATAACCGATCTCTGAAGATTGAGATGAGTTGCACTGCGCTTTCCAGACGAGGGGGGTTTCCACTATTCATATTACTTGGTTAAAGGGAATATTTTTCCCAAGATGCCTCACTCCTAAAAGCCTCCAGCTGGTAAAGACACAAATCAGTCCTGAATAATCAATTTAACCACAATCTGGCTGTTTAAAAAAGCTCTCAAAAGCTGATGGCTGAGAGAGATTTCAACTGAGAAAGGGGACTCATCATAATCAAGATGAGATGGCCCTCTGAATGCATATAAAATACTATTCGACTGCCCATATAATCACGGCTGCGGATCCAACATAACTCATATGCAAAAAGCTGGAGTGCCCGTAGCCCAAGGTACTGATTGTTTCTCACTCTCTCAAATTGGATTGAGTATCATAAATTGCTGCACTGGAAAAAGGCCCCTACGCATTTAATATCACTCCCTGCAGCGGAAAACACACGTGGCTGTGAAGCAGTGGAAATCGACATGGGTCAGCTCTGTGAGGGGGCAGTCTTTAGGTAAAGCCGTACTTCTGTTTGCGGGATTGTGGGGTTGGGGAATGAGCTCACCTGTCCACCTCCAAGGAGGTATAATTGTGGCTTATAGCGGAGGAATGTGTGAGCCAGTCGCCGTTGGGCAGCTCCCGCGTCTGTAGGGTAAAGTAACGGACGGGAGACGAGCCATCCCCTCCAGGCAACCAGTTGAGCTGCAGTTTGCGGGACTGCACGTGTTCCTGTGGCACTCGCAGCTGCCGTGGAGGCTGCGGTCGCTCTGATGGAGGAGAGATAGATGTGATTTTGAAGTGTGAGTTCAGGGGGTCAGGCTGGTCTTGCTGACTGGTCTTAATCGTGGCACAGGACTCTTCTACTCATGTGTGCATCAGTCAGCGGGTCCTGGCCTCTCCACCCCTCCCCACCTGTGTGACACGCAACTGCACAGCCTCATCAATTTTAATGGGAGAATTCAATACAGAGAGGCATAATTGTTTATTTAAAGGTGCACCGTATCGACCGCCATTAAAGATGCAGATCATGCGCAACCAAAGCTATCGAAAGCCATGATTGCAATAGCCTTGTCTGTGCAGCTTTTAAAATGACCAATCGAGCAGTTTCACGAGGTCAGACGATGATATGCAATCGCTCTCCATTTTTAAACTAAACTATCTGTCTTTCTTGAAATTGATCAGTGTATTACCATTGTAGCATTTGGGATGTTTATCATAGCTCATAAGTGTCTAAAGAACGGTATGGATCATGAATGCACTTCTGAGAATTTAAACAATAATGCTACTATAGACCCTTTTACAGTTGGTAAACTTGGTGACGTTTTTTTTGTGGGTGGAGCTTAGGTGGAGGCAGAAAGATCCCTCTGGCCGCTTCGCTAACGCTAGTTAGCAAGGATTGTTAGCTTGTTTTTTAACAATGACAGGAGAAAATCCGATATTATCTTAATTTGAAAGGTCACTCAGTGTCCAGGACCGGGATTGTTATTTCCAAAAGTTATTTTTAACGGACGGAACCAGATTGACCGACCCGTAGCCGCCTACACGCTCACTCAATGCATGGACGATCTGACAGGATTAACGTTACGTTACCTCGGTTGAGTGGCCTGACTTCTACACCTACCTTATAGTGAAACCGATCGTAAAGAGAAAATTATGGCATATAAATCTTTAGATGCCTATATGGTCCTGAAGACTTGTGTGTACGATCCGCAGTTCTGCCGAGTCAGCGCCGAGACGACGACAATATAAAGAGTGACATTATGGTGCGATTTTAATGATGTGAATATTTTCTAGAAATAAAAATTCCAGAAACAGCATATTCATTTTTCATCAATTTAATAATAGTAACAATTATTTAAGCTCCTTATTATGTAGCCGAATCTGTGCTGGTTTGTATTGGCCGCCTCCAGTTTTCACTTTGTTTTGCCTCCAGCTAGCGCCGTGACGTAATTGTGACGTCGGCGCAAAAGGGGTCTATAAGGAAATTGCATTCACAATCAATTTTACTTCTGTAATGTGACATGATTTCTGAGCGAAATTGAATATTCAATACAATAAAACGATCCACTGGGAATTGTTGGGATCGTGAAAAGAAGCCGTTTCAGAATTCAGCCAGACTTGATTGGTAGGTTTCAGTCTATTGTTGATAATTGCTTTCCTCCTGAAACACCACCAGCAGCCATTTCTCAAGTCCAGAGCAATTCAGTGTAGCAATGCTTCTGTTTCAATTTTACAGAAAACAAACTTATATTATGTTATAACACTAACTGACACTTAATTACAGTGTTAATATTGCACAAATTGTAGAAACAATTTCTAACATTATTTTCGGGTCTAGTAATATTACATATTTTAATACAATACTAAAATACAAATTATTTTGATTAAGAATGTACTGTAAATGGTATCCATTTTAATTTTGTCATGATTTCTTTTTTTTTTTTTTTTTAGAAGCAGGACTCATTTTTGGACCAATGTCCTATTCTTATTTACCAATCTCTATCCTATCATTTTAGGAGTGGGGTTAGTTAGGATATGGGCTTGGATATTTTTGATGTACAGCCGAAAAGAAATGTAGGACGGGGTCTTGATTCAATCCATTGGGTGTTGTTTGGATGAAGGCAGATCTGAATGAAAGCTTGCGGTCGATTGTAAGGAAGGAGCAAAGTTTATGCGGACTAAATGATCGGAGAAGTCTAGCATACGTCACCAGAGAGAAGACTGTCATTTCACTAGAGTTATATTTTGATTAAAAACCCAAAAGAAACATGCATGGATTAATCATTTGCAAAAAGATCAATAGCTATATGGGGAATTTATATTTTATGCCAACTTCAAAGATATTGTGTGTTTGCCTCACCTCTAATCTCAGTAGTTATGACCACAGCCTGTGCAGGTGTTCCCCAGCCCTGCTCCGTCTTGGCGGAGATACGAAAGATGTAGGCCGCGTCTCGGGTCAGGTTGGATGCGGTGAACTGACGGGTATCAGGACCAACCTCTACTGTAATGAACTGCTTGGGATCCCCAGAATCCAGACGGTAAGCTACCTGGTATCCTATAAAACAGGCATTAAATCATCTGAGGTGAGTCTTGATCCTCCGTCCTTTTCATGTAATGTCTACAGTGAGAGAGCTTAAGCTGCCTTTACCAACATCAAAAGTATAAATAATATTTCTGCAAACTTTGAGAGTAGTTTTCAGTTTTGAGAAATCAAAGTACAAAAGGGCAGGAGGAAAATATCTCCTCAAAAAGCTATTTGTTGAAGGAAAATCATATCTAGAAAAACAACAGCAGGTTTATAAGACGAATGACTTTCAAAAGGCTTCAGTGCACTGGAAAATTTGGTCTATCAGCATCTATTTTAAATTCAGCTCAAGTTAACTTCTGCAGTCATTGCTTCCCTTTACTGCAAAAAGACTTTGTTTAAATCTGTCTTTCATTGGCTGGGTCTTCTGTCTTGCCTTCATTCCCTGTATCAAATGTATTGCAAATGTCAAATTCAATACACAGAGAAAATAACCACAAACCGAATGGTGGTGTACAACAAACCTGCATGAAATAAAATGTGCTTGTTTTACACTGTACCATAGGTATGGCTCAGGCACTTCTTTATCAACTCCAAACAAAGAATTATATTCTTTTAACTCATTTTATACTGGATATTATTCAGAACTATCACTAATTGATATGCAAGGAATAATTGATGACAGGGCGTTGAATTATAACAAAAATAATGCATACCTGGGGTAATACCTGGTAATGTGTCAGTTTTATACTAGCAGAGTATTATATAAGCTTCTATACTACAGTTACCCCAGCTTGAAACATTGTTCAGAAGGTCTAATTCTAGACGTTATTTCTTTCGCATCTAATCCCATGCCTCCATTTCTAATTCCAAAACATCATTTTAGAGTTAGTAACGGAGGTTTGAGCCACTGATAGCAGACTAATGCAGTTATTAGTGTAGTAATTACACTAATAGAGACATAGAGAGGTTGCAATAATGAGACAGAAAAGCATGTGTGTCAATATTATTTTATTGATTTATTAATTCATATATTATAATTTATTCGTTTTAATTAATTCGTTAATTTTTTACTTTACTTATGAGGGTTTTTTCCTGTTGATCCTTGGCTTGATTTTTATTTGTACTCCATGTCTGTCTTTCTTTAGTGGAAGGTGCCCAGTAGCTTCTCAGGCTTCTTTCACACTTGACAGACATGATCTGTCTGATCTCCAGCCCTGCCTCTGACAGCATTTGAACTGCAGTGCTTCTTAATGAAGGGTTGGTGTATCTTTTGGATAAGCCGACTGCCCCGCTGATACGCGGAAGCATGTTTCCAAGATAGTTTACACCCATCGGTTCGTGGGAATACCAGCAATCTTTCGCGTCAAGCTCCTCTTGTGGGACTTTCAGTGGATGAAGGTAGAAGGATGTGGCATTAACTGGGCATGTGGCGATGTACTTTAACAGGGCAAAGGGGCTCCCCTGTATTGGCAAACATGAATCCTCTGTAGCAGTCTTTGTAGGGATTGGTGGGCTTTTTGGTGGGACAAGCAAATATATATCATCATCATTTTCGTCTTTTTGACAAACGAATGCTCTCTTAAAGGGTTAGTTCACCCAAAAATGAAAATTGTGTCAGTATTTACTCACCCTCATGTTGGTCCAACCCTGTAAGACCTTCGTTTATCTTCGGTACACAAATTATATATAGAATAGATATTTTTGATGAAATCTGAGAGCTGGAGAGCTAGTCCATAGGCTTCTTGAGGGATTGAAACTTGCCGGCCTCGAAAAGTTATTAAAGACATCGTTAAAAAAGTCCAAGTGACTTTAGTGGCTCAATCTTAACTTTATCAAGCGTCGAGAACACTTTTTGTGCGTCAAAAACAACAAAAATAATGACTTTATTTCAACTATTTGAAATACGCGTTGAAAATCACTAAGGTGTGAACACGAAAAACGTGACGAAAAACACTGGGCGAATAAAGCTCGCCGATATTCGTCCGTGTGTACGGCCCTTAATACTTCCGTGGGTTGTGCAGGCCTCGCGCTCATCCATAGAAACTGCTATCGCTGTAGGCTTACGAAGACAGAGCCTTTCCACTCGTTCGAGCCATATCGAGTATATATTTTTAGCCATTTCGGACATATTTTTCTGTATTTTAATTTACCGACCTCCTGGCCCTGAACGAGAGTTCTTAGATGAGTTTTCAGATTTTTTTTTTATTTACTATTATTAAATTAGATAAAGTTTACATTTTTGGTGATTTTAATTTCCACATTGATCCCTCTTGTAAGGTAGCGTCTAAATTGTTAACACTAACAGATTCTTTTAATTTAAAGAAACATGTTTCTGGTCTTACACACAAAAAAGGACAAACATTAGATCGTGTTTTCTCCTTTGGACTAGACATAAAACTGCGTGAATGTTGTGGATGTTCATGTGACTGACCATTGCTGTATATATTTTAATGTGTCTTGTAATGTGGTCAGTAATGCTCATAAAGTAGTGTCCAAAAGGCGTATTATAAATCAGAATGTATAATGTATATTGTAGGGCTGTCAAACGATTAATCGCATCCAAAATAAAAGTTTTTGTGGGTGTGGTGCACTGTGTATAATTATTTTATATATATAAATACACACACATGCTTGTATATATTTAAGTATATATTTAAGAATATTTTCATGTATATACTGTATATAGATACGACTTTTATTTTGGATGCGATTAATCGCGATAAATCGTTTGACAGCCCTAATATATTGTCATTAAATATGAAATGTTTTAGGCATGTTGTAGTTCCCAATCTAGAGACCGAACAAGCATGGTTTGTAAGGCATAGCAGGCTAGGTCTGCCGAGTGTCCATCTGCATCATGTCTGTGGGAATAACACGTGTTGCAAACCAAGCAAAACAAATGATAACATTAACAGGAAACATGTTGAAATGGAACGTGTGGGCAGAGCTTGGCCGTGGGAGAGACGGAACATTATTCAACCATCTATTTATCTTTCGGGATGCTTGCACTGCATGTCGGCCCCCTTGGCTGTGCAAAACTAAATTAGGCCATCCCACATTGTGAGACTGCAGCACTTGAGGGCTGCCATTTCATACTAATGTCCACTTCAGCCATGAGGGGCAGTGGAAATCACACACACACACCCCATGTCAGAGTCTATATTTCTAGAGATACGGAGAGTACCGTGGGCAAAAAGCAGCCCCTTTCGCTCAACATTTGCTTGACAAGCTCTGACCCGTGCATAGTTTATCAGGGCTTTGCTTTTGGGAAAGGGTTTCCGCTGTGAGGGCATCAGCCCATGTGATTGGCTAGGTCACCACCCCACAAACTCCTGCAGCTGTACTGTATGTTCCTCATTCATTGCCCAGTGATTACCAGTCCTGCAGCGGCCAGCAGAAGCCCTCACAAGGGCAGGGCCTCGGCAGAAAGGGCAGGGAAGCCCAGCGCTCGGTAAGCGACGTTCTCATCAACATCTGCTTTCAAAGCATTTCCTTTCTTCGAGATGCAGCAAATTAGAGGCATGCGGGGAAATCTCGTTGTTCTTCTTTCAAAGAGCTCTCTCTGTGACTTCAAACTGCATAACCAGTATCTCTTGATCTGCTGAAGTATGACATGGAGACAGAGTGCAAAATAACACAGTGCGTGCGACGTGTTCTGCAGTGTTGATGTAATTAACCAGGTTCTGCTGGCAGGAGCTTCTTTACATCTATTAACTCATGTTCACAACAGCTCCGGTTTGATTTAGCATGACATTTTCTGTGCACTTCCTCTGTCTAACCCGTCTTTTGTGCTTGAGCGGGGCGGCTGGAGTCAGATTAAGAACAACTACTCGATTTGCTGCAAAATCCAAAGCAAACTCCCATTGCCAGCCATGGACTTTAACGGTCAGGTTTGCTGACGCTTCTGGGAACACAATACATTTTTCAGGAGCTTTAAAACAGGATTACATTTAGATTTTGCTGTAAACAAAAGCCTCTGCTGGAAAATCCAGCCTGAGCTGGTAGCTGTTTTTTAGAACATGACGTTTCTGAACGGTATAAACAAAGATGGTTCTCATAGTGAAAGGGGAGACTTCACATTCCTTACTTCACTTACAAACACATTTAAATATACCACCCTGAAAACACACGTGAGAACCAGTTTGCATTATTTCGAGTCAATACGACTAAATTTCGTGCTGTTTCTTGAAAGGAGTGCAAGGAGACTTGAAATACTGCACACAAATCATGTAATGACTACTTTTACAGGCTTTTTTTGAGCTTGACAGTTACCATCACTGTCATTCTTGTGTTTAACGAATAGAAAGACAAGACGGGGAGTAAATTAGTGGATTTTTTATTTTGGGATAACTAATCATTTCATTTTAACATTTAGTTTGCTCAATTATTTTAAAAATAATTTTCGAACATTTAAAATGGCTTGTTCTACAGTTTTTTTTTGACAGCCCCTATGCTAACTTTACTATGACCTGCTGTGCAATTTTTGTGCCATTAACATTAGCAAAGGATATTGAACAAATGATATTTTGTTGGCCGGATATGATGGTTGATATTTTTCAACAAACAGAGCAATGTTTTGGTAGCATTCCAAAGCAGGGGGACAACAGCTGATAACCAGCTAATGAGAGGTTTAGAACAGCTAGAAACAAGCTACTATGTTCCAATACACAGCTATAGCATCTTAAGAGGGATTTACAAGACTGCTGGTTAAGCAGTCATGTTGTGCCTCATTCCAGACTAAAATGAACCGTGCATGCGCTTTCAATCTCATTTTTCTACAGTATACACACCATAACAAAGTCCCAATTTTCCCCCAAACATCATAAAATAGCTTCAATTGGCCTCATTTTTATTCAAAATGAATGCTTCATGAATAGGATTCTATCAACCCAAGTCAAACGGCGTGTTTGGATCTCATCTTTGCATCGCTGAGATTGCGTGTATTCTTCTCCGCTGTGATTTGCACCGGCAGCATGATTTGGCAGGCGGCTATTCCGAGCTTCATTCACTCGAGGTGTTAGTCAGACTAATCTCATTAAAACGCAGGGATTTTCTCCTCTCCGGCTCACTCTTCCCGTATGAGGAATTAGTCTCAGGTGCACGGTGACATGGCTTCATTCACAGAGCGGAGGGAAGAAACAGGCTCTGCTCTGAGCTAGATACTGCCAGCCCAATGCATTTCACGCTCTCATGTAGGCCAGATCAAGTACTGAGGAGACTGCTAATGTGAGGTGAAGTACATGAAAGCAGCGTTGCACTGAAATTCAGGCTACATGGGTCAGCCGAGAAGAATGAAAATATATCGAGAAAAATGTATTCACAATAAATCACCACATTTTTATTTCCCTTACTGAGTAGAAAAAAAAATAAACAGCACAATGAACCGTTCAATCAATCACTCAAAATATACACAAAGAATTCATCAGACGTTTCACTTTAGGTAATTTAGTAGAAATTTAGGTAATTATGGAAGCCATGTTAAAAACGCAAATTTGTAATTTGGTGAAAAGTAAATATAAACTTAAAATTACTGTTCATTTGACGAACGGGGTCGGTAATGTCTTATGCTCACCAAAGTTCTATTTATTTGATCAAAAATACAGTAATATTATGAAAAATTATTACAGTTTAAAATAACTGTTTTATATTTTAATATGTGTTTTAATGTAATTTATTCCAGTAATGGCAATGCTGAATTTTCAGCATCATTACACAGTCTTCAGAGTCACATGACCCTTCAGAAATTATTCTAATATGATTATTTGCTACTCAAGAAACATTTCTTATTATTATCAAAATTTGAAAACAGTTGGGGATAGTCTTTTGAACAGTAGTGATAAGAAAATTTTGGAAAAAATCTGTTTTTCAGTTTATTTCTTTGCTGTCTAAGAAAAGGAAATTCGGCTACCTATTGTTTTCATCTTACCCATTATAATGCCGTTGGGGTCCACAGGGGGCTGCCAGACCACCCTCACCTCTGTCAGACGCACCTCCGGGAACACAAGTCTAACGGGTGGCCCAGGAACTGTTGAAAGGGGAAATGAGGGTGCAAAGATGAGACTACTTTATCATCACATGACTCTTACGGTAATTAAAAAACCTATAAACATTATTAGAAATCAAAACCTTTCTCTTGAATTCTAGCCAAACCACAAGCCCAAATCAAAGAGCTTTAAATAGAGGTATTTAGCTTTCAAAGCAGCAGCGGCCCTTTGAGACAGCCTCTGAAATGGTATTTACGTCAGGATAAGGTCATTATAAGAAAAAAAAAATCTGCTTCGAAAAGGACACAAAAAAGTAACATTCATAAAAAGACAAATACACATGAGATGAGAAGAACGAGACAGTTATGACAGCACTCAAACTGTGGCAGTTTAATGAACATATTCAGGATTAAATCTCTTCAGTGGTTAACAAAGTCCGTCTGTAAGAGTGAATGCTTGTGTTCCATCATCTGTGCACATAAATACTGTTCTCTGATCCGCTTTGCTATAAAGACAAATACTAATAACAATAATTCGAGTTCTGAGTGGTTGTTATCATGTTGCTGTGAAATTTTGAGTGGTTGCTATGATGTTTTAGGTGGTTGCCATGGTATTTCTGTGTGGCTACTAAGAAGTTCTGAGCGGTTGCTAGTATGTAGCTACAATATTCTGAGTAGTTACTAAGGGGTTTTTGGTGGTTACTATGGAGTTGCTATGCAGCTGCTTAGTTCTGACAAGTTCTGAGTGTTTGTTAGAATGTTGCTTTAGTTTTCTGAGTAGTTACAAGGGTTGTAGGTGGTTGTCAAGGTGTTGCTATGTAGCTGCTAAGTTCTGAATGTTTTCTAACATGCTGCTTTATAACTGCAAGGATACAGTAGGTGCTTGCCAGGGATTTGCAATATGGTTGCCATTATATTCAGGGTAGTTAGTTGCTAGAATGTTGTGGGGGTTGTCAAGGCGTTGCTATGCGGCTGCTAAGAAGTTTGAGTGTTTTTTTTTAGCAGGCTGCTATCTATTTGCTAGAATACTGTAGTTGCTTGCCAGGGATTTGCAGTGTGGTTGCTACAGTAGAATGTTGTGAGGGTTGTCAAGGGGTTGCTAAAGTGTTCTGAGTAGTTGTTAGCACATTGCTTTGGAGATATGGATGGTGTTGCTAGCTTTGGTCTAAAATTGAATCTACAAGGCACGTGATAAGAGGTATAATTAAAAGGGAAATGAATCAGTCAATCAAGTTTACATGATTTACAAGATAGATTTCCACTATAATCAACAATTATATAATTAAATTCAATTACAATTTATTTGTAAAGCAGCTTTACAGAATATATAAGATACCATGACAAATGTGAACATATAAAAGAAAAAAAAAGAAAAAAAAAAGCGTTATATCTTTCGCCACCAGGGCGCCGCCATTGTGCAGTATTCTAACATGTGACGTCACAGGGTTGGTTTGCTTTAGTTTAACAGGCTCTGGGCAGTGAATATCCCGACATCAAACTGTTTACAACCCAGTGTTTTGACCGCGAACAACTAATGTTAGGTACAGTCATTATTAGCTTACAGCTGTAAGCATGAACTAGCTAATGCTAACTTGGTGTTTAGCTAACTTGGTGAAGTTTATTAGTACCAGACAAAAAGACAACGTCTAATGTTATATGTTAAACTGCACATAGAAACATTGCTCACGATGTCTGCCATCATATTCCTGTCTCATCACCATACAAGTTAGCTTGTATTTGTTAAAGGGGAAATGAAACGTCCACGTTTTCGCACTGGTAGGGCTAATAGCTACATATATTAGGAAAAAATGTCTCCGCTCTGACAGGGAAAGCATTGCCGCTTCCAACACGTCTACTTCCCGGCACAGCATGGTAAATGTGCAGAATTGACCACGCAATACATGGTCAAGATCAACCCCTGACATGGTGGGCATCGCAGTACAGCAGCCACACTGACACCTGGTAGCGCTGCAAACCCGCTCTTCGCCCCAAACCACCACCGGCTGTTCTACATAGCAACGTAACGTTAACTTACATGGTGTTCACGAGACGGGAATATGATGGCAGACATCGTGAACAATGTTTCTATGTGCAGTTTGTTAAAGGGTTAGTTCACCCAAAAATGAAAATTAAGTCATTAATTACTCACCCCCATGCTGTACCAACCCCGTAAGACCTTCGTTCGTCTTCGGAACACAAATGAAGATATTTTTGATTAAATTTGAGAGCTGTATAACTACCACATTGGCTCCTAAGGGACTGCCTCTTGACGGCCCAGAAAGTCAATGAAGAAAATGTTTAAATATCCCAAGTGACTACCGTGGCTCAACTATATGCTTATCAAGCGACGCGAATACTTTTTGTGCGAAAAAACAAACAAAAATAACGAGTTTATTCGACTATTTCTTTTCTTCCTTGTAGGCCAGAACGAGACTTCCTTAGATTTCCACGACGCATGCGCGAGAATTGCGATCTGAAGTGGTGTAAGCTGGTGTGAGCAGATCGCAAATCTCGCGCATGCGTCGTGGAAATCTAAGGAAGTCTCGTTCTGGCCTACAAGGAAGAAAAGAAATAGTCGAATAAACTCGTTATTTTTGTTTGTTTTTTCGCACAAAAAGTATTCGCGTCGCTTGATAAGCATATAGTTGAGCCACGGTAGTCACTTGGGATATTTAAACATTTTCTTTATTGACTTTCTGGGCCGTCAAGAGGCAGTCCTTTAGGAGCCAATGTGGTAGTTATACAGCTCTCAAATTTAATCAAAAATATCTTCATTTGTGTTCCGAAGACGAACGAAGGTCTTACGGGGTTGGTACAGCATGGGGGTGAGTAATTAATGACTTAATTTTCATTTTTGGGTGAACTAACCCTTTAACATATAACATTAGACGTCGCCTTTTTTGTCTAATGACTGTGCCAAACATTAGTTGTTCGCGGTCAAAACACTGGGTTGTAAACAGTTTGATGTCGGGATATTCACTGCCCAGAGCCTGTTAAACTAAAGCCAACCAACCCCGTAACGTCACAAATTAGAATACTGCACAATGGCGGCACCCTGGCGGCGAAAGATATAATGTTTATTCTTTTTTTCTTTTATATGTTTATATTTGTCGTGTTTCTTATATAATTGTTGATTATAGTGGAAATCCATCTTGTAAATCAAGTAAACTTGATTGACTGCTTCATTTCCCCTTTAAGTTAGCTGCCAATATCTACTTGGTGTGTGGGATTAATTCCAATCTGCCCAAATCTTCCTTAGCAAACACTACTAATGATTAATTGTCAGCAAAATCTGGTCGCTCTCCCCTTAGATTTGTCGTCTTGCCCTTGACAAGAGTATTTAGAGCCATTCTGCTCCATTTGTGCTGCCACACGACACACTCACTCTACACCTTCTGAAGCTGGCCATTGCTGAGTCACATGTTACGCTACACGGCCAAGGCTCTACCATTGTACCTTTAGACTGAAGCTAATTGCTGATGGGCGATCTGCTGCCTACAGGAGGTGATCAATGATGACTGGAGGATGTAATGACTGTTGCGCCCGACTCTGAAGGACACAGTGCGCCACCGGTGGCTCCGCTTCAGAGGACCATGATTAAGGGGGATGTTTCCTTCCCCTGCTGGTGCATCTCACCTCTAAACATACACACTTTCCTCTCTCTCCAAGGCATCTGTGACAGGCCTATATATCCACTAACAGGACACCTGTAGAGCGACAGATAACATGGAGGGAATCCAATAACGTTGGTGGGCCTGAGGTACACACACACACACACGGACTCAGAAAGCAGCACCGCAAGCACACTGTTGCTGTATTGCACGAGAATAGCCGTGCTGTACAAATGTGGAACAAACACAATCAACGTTTGTGTCGTCTCTCGACCGCTTCTTTATTTCTCTCTGGATTCCCCAAGTCGATGCGGTCGGTTAGGCGGATTCTATGTTTCATTTCCTGGACATTAAGGAACTTATAAATCTAACACATCTGACAGCGATTTGATTTGTATTGCTTTTTGCAGTCATAGTGTGTGGGTCCACAGGGACACATGTCCACAAGAAGAAGCTCTTACAGTAGAGAGTGCTTTTCCCAAGATACCTCTTTCTCTTGCCAATGTATTGCTAGCATTCATCATCCTGCTATCAGCCTCTCGTGTGCCACGAGGCTTATATGGAGATTACACGCACACGAGGGGTAGCCACTTATGATGCACGACTTGTGACTTGAGTGCATTTACTCTGCATCTACAATTAGAAAATCTGTTTATTAATTGCTTCTTTTAGCGGGTCACTAATAAACACTTTCATGCCAATCTTTTCAGAGACATGCAAACATTAAAGACTGTAAGGCAAGCTAATCTAATCACAGTACACAAAATAACCGTCCAATTTGCTGATACATCTCTGATTAAATCCAATTACAGGATGTTTAGGTTTAGGCAAACAAAAGCCAGGACAATCACTCAAATCCAAACCAAAAGAGGATGGACGGCCTGTAGCGTCTCCAAATCCCTGCGTACGCCATTCGGGCTGGTGCTGTGCCATTAGTCCTTAATGAGGTCTGTTCTGGAAGGGAATTTAAAAGGCAAACACACAGATAATTGCTGCCAAGGTCGAGTGATCACAGACGGGGGGACATGCTGCCCAGGCCACGCGCTTCCATCATAAAAGTGCGGCGGTGAAATGGCCCGAGCTCTCCGCGTATGTCGAGGGGGAGCTCCATTTACAGCCAGGTTTAAAAGAGACCTGTTATCTCTTATTCAGAGAGCAGCACAGAGCTGACCGCAGGCGTGCAGACTCCATTAACGTGACTCTGTATCCAGCTGGATTAAGGTTGACCCCAGTATATCACATAGCGGGCTTCTTTAAATGCCTCTCACAAGCAGAGGAAAAGGCTTCTATCTCTATCCACAAGACGTCCACTCTCACGCAAGTTAAACTGCTCAAAACCGCACAATGTGACGAACGTGGCTTAGTTACAGGGCTGTAACCATCACGCTTACTATTTAAGATTTATAATATTTACATTAAAACACATAAATAGGTGTTTATATTTACAATGTTATGTTAATATATGCATCATTTATTTAATTACTATTATTGATTTAAATTTTTGTAATTTAAGTGAGGGATTTACATAATTGCAGGAAAGGGCCTCGCTCTTGACAGATAAATAAATAAATAAATAAAAACATGAATACTGTATAAAACAAACAAAACCCAAACCAGCTCAAAAAAAAAAAACCCTAAACCTTACAAATAGTATAGGCATTTTTGGCTTCTAGAAGTTAAAGAGACTTTTCATGGGCTGATAACTTATTCTACTTCTATGGTCAGGCCACTGCCTATTATTGTGTGCGCCAGGGGCCGCTGAGATAAATGTTTCACAATTAATTATTATTGGACGTTAAACAGAGGACACACAGGAAGGGGAGTTTAATCAAACATTTTTACCAACCGTGACCAGAATTTTGATTGGGCGAATGTGGTTTCAAATATTTTTTATGTTTGATGCAATATTTAACAGAGTACTTGTTTTTTTGGAAGAATAATTTTTTTTTTCCTGAAAATGCTTGGTTGTTTCAACCCAAATTTGGGTCAAATATGGACAAGACCAAATGTTAGGTTAAAAAAAAAAAAAAAAAAAACCCTTCTACTTTAACTTTCAACTGTAATTTTTTTAATTACATATTTAACCCTCAGGTGCTCTTCGGTCATTTCTGACCGAAAAAATTTCTGTTTTGAAATTTTAAAAATCACAGCTTCATCGGAATGTTACGAAACTTGGTGACTTTTATGGCATTATGTATGTGAATACAAAAAAACATTGAGGTCATGAAAGGAGTGACACTCTACAACATCTAGAGTGCAAAACAGACAAACCTACCCACAAACACACACATACAAACACACTTTTATACACATCCACACCAATAAATTTTGATTACAAAAAGTATGTTTTGAATTTTTAAAAATCACAGCTCCATCGTAATGTTACGAAACTTGGTGACTTTTATGGCATTGTGTATGTGAATACAAAAAAACATTGAGGTCATGATCTGAGCATGCTAAGTGGCCTTAAAAAAAAAGTCACACTTGTGGTCTTTGGTCAAAAATGACCCCCATAGGAATGAATGGGAAATTGACAAAAACAAAAAAATCACATTTTTTTTGTTTTGTTTTTTTAACATTTTTTTAAATAAAAAATAGTGTTTGAGATTGTTTCAACTATAAATTCAAATCCACCAAAAAAAAAAAAAAAAAAAAAAAAATGTTCATAAACATCTGGGGAATTCACATGCTTCTCCATAGAGAGCTGTACATGCCATCTAGTGGTTACACCATGATTCTACGCTTTTTCTCTATACTGTAACCAGATGGTGCTAATTTTCTTCAAAAAATATTTTTTTTTTCTCTGATGGCCTAGACTTTATATTAAACTAAAATACCGCATTAATAATTTTTTGAAAAAAATAATATATATTTTTCCATGGCAAAAATAGACAATAAATATTGCATAAATATTAATAAATTCAATCAAATTGTCTCTAAATACTAAATTACAAAGAATAAATATTATAGAACAAAAATAAATTGCATTGATTTTACTGGGATGGAGGAAATTTAATTTTTAGGTGTCCGGTCATTTTTGACCGGGAAGATAACAAGTGTGACTCCGAAACGAAGAGCACCTGAGGGTTAACCCAACATTTGAGTTTGTCCATATTTGACCCAAATTTGTGTTGAAATAACGCAGCATTTTTTAGAGTGTGGTGGAAGTTAGATAAACACATACCTTTCCTTCCCCTTAGTCTTAATTTTGAATATGTGGTTACAGTCTGGTTAAGTAATATTATGCTTCTTTTCTATTGACATACATAACAAAACTAATGAGTAAATACCTGCAGATGGTTCATATTTTAAATGAAGTTTTCATGTGTAACATCCTTTATTACATACATCAGCTTTAATAACAAGAGATAAATTACAATTCCGCACTTCACTTGTGTACTGTGTTGCTTTATCTGACAAATCTCTTGGTACACTGCACATATCAATTGTTTCCCCAGAACAACCTTGAGGGGGGCCTTATTCGTTTCGTGTCCCAAATACACATTTCTGCTCTAGTCAGTCCCTTATGGCCCTTTTGGCTGTATAGCAATCAAATAAGAGTGCATTAGTTCCATCTGTTATCTGCCTGTAATCCTGACCAGAGTGAATCACCGTTATAATAGATAGCAAACTATAATACCTCTCTTCTGGAAAGCTTTCTTTCCTCAAATCCAGCCAACCCCTCAAAGTTTATTTAAGTTCAAGTCCATAAAGTAAACATTTGGAGGCCATCCTTACAGACAGAGTTTTTGTGGTGTCGTACTCTAAAAATGTTTTAGTTTTTTAATCGTAAAAAAAACGTTCTGGAGGGCATTTAAAGGCGTGTATAGCGGTGGAAAGAGGCAAACGACTGTGTGTGAAGTCACTGCAAAGGCAAAGAATGTACACCAAAAACAAATGGAAGCATAAAAAACAGAGTTACAGCATTAAAGGGAGAGTTCATCCAAAAATGAAAATTCGGTTATTATTCATCTCATGCCGTCTCAAACCCATTTGACTTTGCCCTGAACGAGAATGGAGATATTTAAAATTATCTTAAAATTGATTTTTTTTTTTAAATGACAAAAGTTAAGTTTTAGCTACACAAATTACAAACACAAAAAAAACATCTTAATTAATACTACCATACCAGCCCGATCTCATGAAAGTTCGTATCTATGGCACGAATGTCATTTCTCGTGGCATTTATACGCCAAAAACAGTTTTTGCGTGTATATGGCACGTGATTTTCGCGTACATATGATACGCACTTTTTTGCGTATAATACGCACGAACTCCCCACCCCCCTCCCCCCTAAACCTAACCCAGGTTTTTTTAGTGCGTACCATATACACGAAAAAACACTTTTGGCGTATAAATGCCACGAGAAATGACACTCGTGGTATAGATACGCATCTTCATGAGACTGTGTTGACCATACATATGTATTCTGAGGCCACACAACAGTTTATATAGGTAACAAACTAAACTTAAAGTCATTATTTACTGATAATCTCCCTCAGTAAGTTCCTGAGAACTATTGACAGTTGAATTTAGATTTGAGAATGAATGTGGCATCAAAATGTTCAGAATATTTCAAAGTCCATTGGTAATACTTATAAGATGCTTTTCTGTTTTTTATTTTTATTTTGCAGCTTCACAGATGAGGTGACGGTAACACTTTACTTGAAGGGGTGTGCATAAGACTGACATGACACCTTCATAACCATGTCCTGTATATGTTAGTAGGGTTTATGCATGTTTATGACAACTGCCATTAAGTGTCATTCGCTCAATAATGACATTTTGAATGCAAATATGACAATGTTTAAGATGTCTGTGTTATGACATCTTGACATAAACCATCACATCATAACCTGTCAGTGTCTTTGTCATGACAACTTGACATAAAATTAAGTTAAACTGTCATGTGGTTGAGTTTGACATTGTCTGTCATGAGGCCATTATTACTGTGTCTTGAATATTTTTTCGTGACCTCAACTACAGTGGTACTAATTGAATTTGTCATTAAAAAGTTATAATGGCTTCATGACAGCCAATGTCAAAACCAACCACCTGACAGTTTAATGTAATGTTAACCAATAAAGCTAGGTGGTTTCTTAAGTTTGATCATTAATCTGCTATGTCATGTTTATGACAGGTTGTGTTGTCTTAGTAATGTCATGACAAAGACACTGACAGGTTATGATCATTGGTTTTCGTCAAGAGACATCTCAAACAATGTCATATTTGCATTAAAAATGTCATAACTGAGCGAATGACACTGAATGACAGTTGTCGCAAACATTCATGAAAATATGTCATGTCATGATTATGAAGGTGTCAAGTTAGTCTTATGCACACAACTTCAAGTAAAGTGTTCCCGAGGTGACTATGAACTTGTATGAGCTGCATTATAAATACTTTGTGTTCCACAGAAATAAATAAATAAATAAGCGAGTTGGGTTGAAATAAAAGTGAGTAAATAATGGCAAGTATTACTTTAAAAGTCCAATGTGGTCATTAAATTGGATCTCATTCATGAAACAGAAAGATTTGCCCACCATCATCCTTGGTTCTCTCCAGGACTGCGGTGCTGCTGAGTTGCCCATCTCCGATTCGGGTGAAAGCCAAAACTTGGATTTCGTACTGGACGTATTTTCGCAGGTTCCTCAGCAAGACAGACCGAGTCAGATTCCCTTTAACCACGTTCACCTGTGCCTCCAAATCCGAGTCTTTCTCTTTATATAGAACCTAGAAGAATGACAAAGTATATTAAGCGTGGTCACAGCTCACACCACTGTTGTGTGCTTTTGTTATTGTGACTGACTTTAATTGAAGATCACATTAAATGGAAATACACAGGGAAAGCTGTTAGTAAGGCAGAATGGCGTGAAGTTGGTTCCTCTGGGTCCACTGTTCAGCAGGCTTTTGTTTTCTTTTTCTCCCCATAAAGCCTCCTGTCTTAATTACTGTTGACTTTAAACCAGAGAAGCTTCTCTGAACATATGGGTACACATTAACTCATCTAACTGAAAATATTTATCTTTCTGTAAGGGTCAGACTTTCCATGAATGCATGAATGATCCAGTTGATTACTTAAATGAAATTAAAATGGTTCTGGAACATGCTTTATTGGGCTTAAAAGAGAAACACATATAATGATTCTATGACATACAATGCATATAAAGTTAAAGGGGTAAATCAAACATTTTTCTTTAGTATTTTTTGTCTTGTTTTCTTAATAGATTTACTTATTTTTATATGAAGAGTTCAGATGCAAAAGCCTCTAAATGCCATTTGAAATTTTCTTCTTTAATGATGATTTTTGTCAAACTTGTATATTCAAGTTCAGTAATTTCACTTAAATAACAATTAATAGGTAATAATCATTGCCATTTAAGTGAAATCACTGAACTTAAACATACAAGCTTGACAAAAATCATCATTAAAGAAGAAAATTTCAAATGGCATTTAGAGGCTTTTGCATCTGAACTCTTCATATATTCTTACATTTTATACACACACACACACACACACACACACACACACACACACATACATTTATATATATATATATATATTAGGGCTGTGCAAAAATTAATTGCGATTAATCGCATCCAAAACAAAAGTCTGTGTTTACATAATATATTTGTGTGTGCTGTATATAATTATTTTGTATATATAAATACCTATGCATGCATATATATATTTAAGAATTATTTGCGCTTAAATTCTGTATATATATATATATATAAATACATAATCTATATTATATAAATATTTTAGATATGAATAACACATTTTCTCAAATATACATATTATATATATATTGTAAATATACATGTATTTCTCAAATACATGCATGTGTGTGTATTTATATCTACAAAATAATTATATACAGCACACACAAATATATTATGTAAACACAGACTTTTATTTTGGTGTGATTAATCGCAATTAATTTTTGCACAGCCCTAATATATATATATATATATATACATACAGTACATACATTTTGAGGGTTTCATTTTAAGTAGTAGAGCTGCAATTAGCAGTTATTAAAAGAAGCTTTCAATGACGAATAAAAATACTGCATCCTCTTCTCAAGAACCAAAACATCAAATCTTGCATGTCATTTCATCATATAGAACAAATCATACATAAGAAAAAAAACTTTTATTCACTTCTGAGAAGCTATAATTATACTGAGCCAAGGGCTCTTTCAGCAGACATTGTTTCAGAGTACCTCAGAGCACTACTTGACATCAGTCGGAGGTCATTTTTATTTGAGTGAAATCACAAAGAATGTAAAAACAAAAACAAAACAACAACAGAGAGCTATTCTCACAAGTAACCACCTTGTATCCAAGGATGTTGCCGTTCTGCTCCTGCTCAGGAACAGGGCCCCAGGTTACCAGGATGCGACTGGAGCTCATGGCCTCCGCCGTCACATTTTCCGGAGCCCCAGACGGCACTGCACACAGACAAAGACAAATCACACTCCCTTATCACACAGTGCCTTAACACACGGCCCACGAGTACTGAGTAAACGCACGTGGATTAGTCACCTGTCCAATGTCATGGGAAGGAAAGAAAGCAAACAGCATTAATGTGTGAGCAGCAAACAAAGAGTGTGAGGGTGAACAGACCACTACAAGACTGACAAACCTTTAGCAGCACCAGGCCTTATATCAGGCACCACGGTCAGCCCAGAACATGTAGCCACAAAATTACATAATGACTCCCTCTGCACACAAACTTCATTTCTGCTTACGGTCATCCAAATGATTTCTGAACCACTAGTGGCACCAAATTGAATTGCGATATGTTTGAGTGGAGAGGAGAGGAGAATGAGTCTGTGCAAGTTTCCTGCTCACTCTGCGGTTTTTAAATCTTTACTTAACATCACAACTCGCATAATAAACAGAGTGAAATGTCACCACCGGGCAATAATCAGTTTTTTTCTTTTAAAAATACAGTCTTGTAAACATGGTTACCGTATTTGCAAACCGTTAAATCGGGTTATTAATAAACTGATTTTTGGTGGTTATCAGTGGACATGCTCACTGATTTATTTATTTATTACTTTACCAAATGGATACAGATAGTGGGAATCAAATAAAAAGGGTGGGGAAAAATAATTAGAGTTACACTTCTATTCAGAAGTTTGGGGTCAGTGAGATTATTAAAGGGATGGTTCACTTTGAAATTAATTTTTGATATTTTTGAACACTCAACATCGTGACGAACCCGAATCACCCAGCCCATCAGTTTTTTGAACTGTTACCTTCTGGGAAACGCTTTAGATCGATCAAAGCACGCACAACCAGACTCATGAACAGTTTTTATCCTAATGCCATCAGGATAATGAACCATGAACTGAAATTAAACCCTCAAATCATTACCACAAGACTCTTCTGACATGTTATATGTCACACAATTAAGTGGATAGCACTAAGCACTTTATTATAACGGGCAACTTGCAATATGAACTAACTACTCTTTACTGTGTATGTATGTTGGAAGTATTAAAATTTTCATTGTATGCAAGTACAATGACAATAAAGGAATCAATCAATATGTTTTATCTTACCTCAAGGGCATCCAAGATGTAGGTGTCTGTTTCCACAGTATTTTCAATCTTGACATTTTTAGGTCAAACCGTTGTTGTCTGTCAGTCATATAATGGAGGTCTATGAGGTCCACCTCAAAGAGCATGCACAGAGAAGTCCAAATTAAACATGATTTAATGACTCGTTAATGTAAGTACACATTGATGGCCTAAGACACGAAAAGAGCGGTTTGTGTGAGAAAACGAACAGTATTTATATCGTTTTTACCTCTTGTAACCACAGCCACGTCCAAGTGATTTGAGGGCGAGGGTGCTTCTATCTGTGCAAGCGTGCCGGCGAGCGCCCGGAAAGCCCTGGAAATGATCTCTTGCGTGTGTACGTCACTTATTGTTTACACAGAGATTTCAGAAGTGTTATCCTTCACCTCAAACATATTTAGATATACAGGAAATTGCAATGGAAGATGACTTCGATATATCAACAGACAACGTTGATTTTTTTTTCGCAACCGCGCAAGAGATCACTTCCGGCGCTTTAAATACTGTTCGTTTTCTCACACAAACCGCTCGTTTCGTGTCTTAGGCCATCAATATGTACTTACATTAACGAGTCATTAAATCATGTTTAATTTGGACTTCTCTGTGCATGCTCTTTGAGGTGGACCCCATATACCTCCATTATATGACTGAAAGACAATGATGGTTTGACCTAAAATTATCAAAATTGAGAATACTGTGGAAAAAAAGACACCTACATCTTGGATGCCCTTGAGGTAAGCTAAAACAAACAATCAAAAATTCATTTCAAAGTGAACTATTCCTTTAAATGTTTTTAGAAGAAGTCTCTTGCTCAGCAAGGCTGCAGCGTCACATACTGCATTCCTTCATTCTAATAAACTGATTTTTTGCTCAAGAAACACTTCTTATTATTGTCAATGTTGAAAACACCATGCAAAAAACCCACAAAACCATTGCAATAGCATTGTGTGCAGACTTTTGCATGTGTAAGCATCATTCTCATAGTCTTCATAAAATACAAACATATTTGCAATTGAGTTTGATATCATCAATAACACAGAAACTACACACATCATCTATATCAGATTTTAGGAGTTTCCGCTGCAGCCATTTGGGGCCATAAATTTCTCTTGCGTGCATCTTGCAGAAAGCAACGGAAAAGATAATAGCGACACCAGGCAAGCCAATCGCCTTGAATTTTTTATCTGCAGTGTAGGCATGCATTCAGAGCAACTCTCGAGCCAGACAGATTGAGAGTGCTGTGAGTGGCTGTTATGTGATCACATAAAGGAAATACAATTCAATTTGCCAACCACCTGTTTACTTTTGAGAATATGATTATCCAGAGAATAATGGAAATTTCAAGATGCTCTCTGCATCACGATAGCAAATATGTCTCTGCATCCCATGGGTATCAGTCACATCAGTGCCCAAACTGGATGTCCTCACCTGACTCCCGCGTCCGCCCCTTCACGGTCTCACTCCAGGGTCCGGAGCCTATGGAATTAAAGGCCTGGATCTGCAGCTGGTACTCGGTCCACTCCTCCAGGCCCTCCAGGGTGATCTCCCTCTCCAGCCTGTCGTTCACCAATCGTGTGATGGCCTCACCCCGCAGGTCCGCTCGCAACACTCTGACCCTGTAGCCCACGCTCTCCGGGTTTCCGTTGTACTCGGTCTCTGGCAGTGGCTGTTGCGGAAACATCAGACTCTCAGAATCAGTCAACACAATTACTGTCGGTAATGTTTCTTCCTTGAGACAAAGGGTGTTTTGATTTCACGATTAGTAGAGAAGTTGAGAAATCTTACACATCCTAAACTTTTGAATGGTAGTGTATGTTTCAAAATGTTTTTGACTTTTACAATTTGAGACCTTTTTTTATTTTTGACATTTCGAGCAGTATCTTCAGTTAAAATATTATTTTCCTTGACTAAAATGACGTGCCTTTTCAGTCAGGGTGAAATGGGCTAAAAATAAAGAATATGATGAAATATAGGCTAAATTGAAAGAACTCTGTAAAAATATGTGGCCTCTATAACACACAGTCCTGAACATTGCTAATGCAAGCACACTGAGCTCAGCCAAACCCAATTAAATATGCATGTTCCTTTAAATCTAATATTTATATTTAATACGCATATTTAATAATGCTTCATCATTTACGTGCCCCAAAAAATCAACTGAACGATTTTGAGTGGGTGCCAAAAGGTAAGTGAGATGTCACAAACAGGCAAAACATCAGCTCTCATGTGCTTTTAATTTGACAGGTAAAGAGCTTCAATTTGAGAAACTCAATTTAGCCACTAGCTCTCACATGTCAGGAGTCTATATAGCAGGTGAAAATCGATAGATGTCTAAAAACACCCTGCTTTCAACATCCTAGCCTGAATTCATCTGTGGTGTACAAGATAATGACAGCCTGTCAGAACACTAGGACTGAAAGTTACAATATAATAGCTTCCTTGAACCTGTTTTTTGCCATTCCAACCTCTGCGAAAGAAAAAAAAAAGAATGAATCAAGGCCCTGAATTATTGAATGAAGTCAATTGAATATAATGCATGGGCTTACTCTATATTTCTCAGTGCAGATATGAAACTGCTGAATTATACGCATTATGGTACGTTTAAATGAAAACAATATCCTAAAAAATGGAAATGGGTATGATCCCCATACACACGGATCTGCGAAAATGACTAAAACGCTGTATTATTCGTGCCAGGCCAGTAGTTGGCAATGTCACTTTGTAAAGAAACACAATTGAACACATTATACACATACGAACCTGATTTTACAAATTTGCGTATTTGTAGTTTACAGGTAGAAAGGTATCATTTTCAAAAACATTCACTTTTAAATTCACTACAATCTTTTAGTTACAGACCCTTTGGCCCGTATTCATAAATAATCCTCTCAGAAAACTGTTAATTTAGATCTGATCTGAGAGCAACTCTGAGCAAGGAAAAGACAAAAACCTTCATCTTAGTGAGCCTGTTGCTACGTATGACACAATCTTTTGAAGACTGCGATTGGCTGGTTGTTCAAGAAGGAAAAAAGGGCAATCTCAAGTATATGGTCTACTCACATACACTGTGAGTATACTGTGAGGCATAGAATTGTTCCACTCTTTCCAATTACACTAATTGCTGTCTACTTAAGTGGTGGTTTTAATGTGGCACAAGAAGGACAAGAAAGCCCAACTAGACAAAGGAACTGTGGTTACTTTTAGCCCAGTTAGTGGATGAAAACAAGGCCGCTATAATGGAAGCCTGCTATATTCATAAATGCAGGTTTTGAGCGTCCAAGGTGGGAATGTCCAGTTCAAACAAAATGAACTGCGACACAATCAAAGTTGAAAGTGCTGTAATGTTTGTGTGATCACTCTGCTTAAATCATCACTGCTGCATTGTTGCATTTTCCCAGTTGCCAAAAATCTTAATGTAGAGATTCATTTCTGGCGCTATGGCCTTTTCTGCACTGTGTCTGAGATGTTAGCGTGTCTCAAATAAGATTTGTCACAAACATGATCCCTGCACGATCTAATCTATGGCATCTTCTTAACTCACTGTCATCCATTGTCTGCAAAACTTTTCTTCTCCCTCTTTTAAATGTTAAGATGCTTTCTGAATTACTTTTTTTGAGTTAAAGGAGCAGTTCACTTTAAAAAAAAAAAACTTTTGCTGATAATTTACTCACCCCCATGTCATCCAAGATGTCCATGTCTTTCTTTCTTCAGTCGAAAAGAAATTAAGGTTTTTTAAAAAAAACATTCCAGGATTTTCTCCATATAATGCACTTTACTGGGAACCAAACGGTTCAAGATCCAAAAGACACTTTCAGTACAAACTGCAAACTGTTCAAAGGGCTTTAAACGATTCCAGACGATGAATAAGGGTCTTATCGAACGAAACGATCAGTCATTTTAAAAATAAATAACAAAGTTTAAGTTTTATAAGCTCAAATGGTCGCCTCGTGACTCTCCTGTCCGAACTCGTTTATCAAAATGAACAAATCTTTTTTCGGGTCATTTGGTTCATTCAACGAACGAAATGAACGAATTGACTCGGGAAAAAGATTCGTTCATTTTGATGAACGAGTTCGAACAGGAGAGTCACACAGAACAGAGCAAGGCGACCATTTGAGCTTACAAAACTTAAACTTTGTTATTTATTTATTAAATGAGCGATCGTTTCGCTTGATAAGACCCTTATTCATCGTCTGGAATCGTTTAAAGCCCTTTGAACAGTTTGCAGTTTGCACTGAAACTATCTTTTGGACCTTGAACCGTTTGGTTCCCATTGAAGTCCATTATATGGAGAAAAATCCTGGAAAGTTTTCATCAAAAACCTTAATTTCTTTTCGCCCGAAGAAAGAAAGACATGGATATCTTGGATGACACGGGGGTGAGTAAATAATTAGCAAATTTTTTTTAAAAGTGAACTACTCCTTTTAACGCCCACATTTCTAAGAATTTTCTTAGAGTTTTGTCACTAAAAGCTACTCTTAGCATTACGATTTTTTATGAATACGGGCCCTGATCTTTAACCACAATGCCACTTACCACCCAGCGTAGCCACAAGCTGGTCTCACTGGCCGTGCGAACAGTCACGCTGCTGGGCGCCATGTCCGGAGGAGCCTGCAGGGTTTGAATTACACGGGACGGCACGCTCACCGGACTCTGGCCCACGATATTCACCTGCAGCATTCGGAACCTGTAACCAATCAAGTTAATCAGTCACATTGTTAAAAATTAACTCAACATTGGTAAGACTTCCCAGTGGGAAAATAAATGGGAAAGAACCCTGTGCTCGCTGCAATTCACTTTATAATTGCACCAATTACCATGAAATCAAAGTTTATCAGCAGGCAGAACAAATGGAGAGGCTGCGACAACATCCATAAGATCTGACATAAATTGCGGGGTAGAGAAAACACTGAGGCAAGCAGTTCATCATGAAGCTCAGAGATGATTCAAGCTGTCTAAAACAAATGGTTGAAGTCAGACATTAAACCAGTTTAGATAACAGCAGTAGCTTTATATTATTGGAATTAAATAATTGTATCACACAAAGACTGGATAGCTCCTTTTTTTCACATAGTTGGTCTATGTAAGCAAGTTTTTAACACCATTAGTGCTGTGACTTTTTAATGTTTGTTTAAGAATTAATTGTAATTTAGGTGTTACGTTAACAGCCCCAACAATTATGTTTGCAAATATTTTTTGTGTTTAAAAAAGACACTATTTTAGCTCTACAGTTTACTAAGAACAGCAACACAACACAAAACAGGTTATACAGCTGGCCTGCATGTTTGTTTAAATCCACAAGATGCAATATTGTAGATATGATTATCACTATGTGAACCATTGCAAGGTTTGGAGAGACTTTTCGCTGTAATGTATTCTGTACACTCAGAATGATCATTCAAAAGCGACTGTCACGCACAGAACTTGCGGTATGTACTGAATTCTGAAGTCCATGCATAAAATAACTGTTTTCTGTGTGTAAATAGATTTCACGCACATACTATGTCTCAACAATTCTGTAGCAAATCTCAGTTCAATTGTCTTTTTCAGCATAAGACAAATATTACAAAGATGTCAAGATCAGAAAGAACAGGAAAGAAGAAAGGAATGAATTAACTGCATCCTCAGGGAAAGAAGCAGAAAATAACAAGATCACAGGCAGAAATACAGAACGGAAAACATTGCCACAGTGTGCTTACTTGAACTGTGTACGATTCGATTTACCCGTGCAGGCAAAGAATAATCATAATCTGATTAAGGTGTATACTTGTCTTCAGTAATGCTGAAGTAATTGGAGTAATATAGATGTCTTCATTTAATTAGGCTCATTTAAAACGTGTATTTAATCAGGTTAAAGCAAATGAAAATGCTATTTACATGGCATTTGCGGTCTTAATGCACCTAATGTGTGTTTGTAGAGAAACACGACTGACCTGTAGTGTGTGAACGGTGTGAGATTGGGCACCTCCAGCATCTGAGCTTCAGGGTCATTCTCTTTCTCGTACAACACTTTCCACTCTTCCTCATCACCGACACTGCCCACCTGAATACAGAGAGCACTGCTATAACAGTCTGTGGCAACACCAATTATTCCTAAATATGATGACCTCCTTTTTTAAATCATAATTAAAAAATAGATTAATCCTTATTAAAGGTACAAAGTTATTCAGTCAAGAGAAGTGATTTTCTCTTTGTCCTTTGTTCTTTGATTAACATTAATTACAGACATAACTTATTATTTTTTGTTTGCAATGTTAAAAAATTGGCTTTTTTATTGACATTGTACTAAACGCAAAGTAAATTATTAAATGTATTTTTTCCTACTCGCTAACACAGCAATAACAGAGTAAGATTTTCAAGATTTTCTTTTCCACAATAAATATAATTTCAGTGTTTTCCAAAAACACTGCAATAAAAATATTCAATAAATGTTTAATAAAAGTTAGTACATTAAATTTGACAGTACTATAAACGTTTTGTTTTTGGTTTTTTTAATCTGAGCATTCGAATGAATTTTGCAAATATAAATGGCAAGAGTTTTCTCAAAACTGAAAGATCCGATTAAATGTATTATCACTAATTTATCTCCAGGACACAAAGTCATGTTTACAATTTACAGGGATGCTACAAAAAGCACTACAAAATCTTTCAAATATTTCAGTAGCACCTCATTGCAGTACACAACATCTAGGGGGCGGAGTCGGATCCAGATCTGAGGGGTGGAGTTGGGTAGGTTTAGGGATCAGGGGGTGGAACTGGGTAGGTTTAGGGATCAGGGGTGGAGCTGGATAGGTTTAGGGGTGGGTTTAGGGATCAGGGGTGGAGCTGGGTAGGTTTGGGGTGGGTTTAGGGATCAGGGGTGGAGCTGGATAGGTTTAGCGGTGGTTTAGGGATCAGGGGGTGGAGCTGGATAGGTTTAGGGGTGGGTTTAGGGATCAGGGGGTGGAGCTGGATAGATTTAGGGTGGGTTTAGGGATCAGGGGGTGGAGCTGAGTAGGTTTAGGGGTCGGTTTAGGGATCGAGGGTGGGAGATGGGTAGGTTTAGCGGTGGGTTTAGGGATCAGGGGGTGGAGCTGGATAGGTTTAGGGGTGGGTTTAGGGATCAGGGGTGGAGCTGGGTAGGTTTAGGGGTGGGTTTAGGGATCAGGGGGTGGAGCTGGATAGGTTTAGGGTGGGTTTAGGGATCAGGGGGTGGAGCTGAGTAGGTTTAGGGGTCGGTTTAGGGATCAGGGGGTGGAGATAGGTAGGTTTAGTGATCGGTTTAGGAATCAGGGGGTGGAGATGGGTAGGTTTAGGAATATGTAAGGTGGGCAGAGTATCTGAATCCGACTCCTCCCCGTGGATTTCATGTTCTGCAGTGAGGATCATCTCAATATTTTAAAGACTTAGTGGATGGTAATGGGATTTTCCTCCTAAAAAAACTGTTAGCTATTTTTGCTGGTCTTGCCCAGAATAAAAAGTGGACCAGCCTTTATGGCAATAGTCTGGTTAAATGAGACTTCCTGGACATTAATCTGCCATGGCATTTGAAACATCTAAATAAAGCCATTTTTCAGACCCTTTTGAGAACCAAGTAGTGAAATTAATGAAAGGAGGAGGAGAAAATTCCACACACTGCACTTCATTATACCCGGTACATCACAGGCCAAAGGCTCATAGAGTGTTTTGCAGGGAACGAGCCTTCAGCAGGAATGCAGAACGGAGCAGGTTAAAGCTTTTTCAATTGAGTCCAGAACAGTGCCAGCCACTGCCCCAATTCAAACACAATGTGCAAGCCAAGTCTAAACCAATCAAAGCTCACAGCACTCAGGAAGATTTACAATGACCAGTGGAGTGTACAGTATGCAGTAAGCATTTATGCCAACGTGATAGATGTTAGACGCGTGGCACCTTATGCTGGAGACCGGCGCTGTATTTCATAGCAGTGGCTCTCTCTCGCTCTGTGACAGATTTCTGCAGTGGCAGATAGCCCGGCCTCAATCAACTCTGGAATTCAAGTGCCACCACATGAAAAGCCGAGGCTTCCTTTTGCAAGCTCCGGCTCGGCCCAGTCAAGTTTAGAGAGTGGACGTCGATTACAACTTAGGAGTCAGTCATGTGATTCAATCTGTCATCACTTTTGCTAAAGTCGCAGGCGATGTGGAAAGGGCTCTCAATAGATCTCTGAGCCATAGAGGGCAATCACAACTGGAACTTGCTGTTATTCAGGTTGAAATGGAAGTGCTGAGTGGAAGTGAATCGAGTATGTGTGATAAGTGCATGCTGGCTGTATTTAAAACCCTGTGATGACAGCTGGATGCCAGTTTGAACCCTTAAACTCTACTGAATATTCACGGCATAAACTTATGCATATGAAACAATGAGCTGATTAGAAAATTAGATGAGATATTTTACATTTATTTTTATATCTTTTTTTTATATCTAAGAGCAATTAGAATTATTCATAACACAGGATATTTGGAACACACCAACACATTATTTTTTAAAATCTAAAGCACTAAAACTAATTAATCTAATTGAATTTCAAAAGGCAATATTTATGTTTAAGGTTAGGAAAAATCTATTGCCTGGTAGTATACAGAAAAGGTTCTTGGAAAGAGAGGGGTGTTACGACTTAAGGGGAAGGTCAAACTTCAAGACTACCAGTTATCGAACAACTAGGAAAAGTTTCTGTTTGTCTGTCTGTGGTGTTAAGTTGTGGAATAATCTAAATAATGAATTTAAGCAATGTCCAAACATAATTCATTTTAAAAAGATGTTCAAAGAAATTATATTCCAGAGTTACAGAGAAACATAGTGTTAACTTGAGCTTATATTTAATTAACCCGTAGTATAAATATTGTCATGTATCGGGAAACATACTTATGTGTATAGAACTTCTGAATCAATACTTTCATGGATTATAGATTGATTACTTATTTAGATTTTTATTTATTTCTTTTTTATTTCTTTTTTTAGGTATTTGTTTAAATATGGTATAGGGGGGTAGGAGTACATAAGTTTTACTTCTTCCTACTCCTTTTTGCACATGTAAAGAGAGGGTTGTTTTTTGTTTTTGTTTTTTTGTTTGTTTTTGTTTTGTTTCTTTTAATTGATATTCCTTGTTTCAGTGATTAATATCTGTATTTTTATTTATTATTTACATGTTCAAAATAAAGATCTCAAATCAAATCAAATATCTTCTTAAAAATATATTTTTATTTTTTTCATTTGACATTTCTGTTAAAAATACATACATAATTTGATACAAAATGTTGTTAAGCAAGATCTTTTTTTTGCTCCACTGTCCCACCTTAAATCCTCATGAAATTGCTGATTGATTAATTGATTCCTTTTAATTTTTGTGAGAGACGATACAACAGATACTGTACACTGTCCGACAAAATAAAAAACAACACTTTTTAGGTTGCATCACTATCCCACCTTGAATCCTGAACTTTATTTTTTATTTAATTTTATCTTTTTTTTTGTGAGAGAAATGACACATAATGTTCTTCAGTGTATATTGACTGACAAATAATAAAAATAATAATTATTTTTTTCTGCACTGTTCCACATTAAATCCTCAAGGACCTGGCTAATTGACTGATTGATTTTCTTTTTGGTGAGAAATGACACAACAGCCAAAAATGCTATTCTGTGTACACAGACAGAAAAATAAAATTATTATAGATGTTTTTTTACTTTATTGTCCCACCTTGAATCCAGCTGATTAATCCATCAATCTTAAAATTGACTTAAGTTCAGTTAAAATAACTGAAATTTACATTGGAAAGACTAGGAGACGAAGCCTACACAAATCCTCATAAGTTTTTTGCTCAACACTGCAGGGATGTTTCATTATCATGTAAAATGCTTTTTCTTTGTGGTGAAGACTCATCAGGGACTACTGCGAGGATGTAGAGCTTCAGGCCAGTGTGATGGTAGGCGGATAATGATCAGATAAAGAAGAACTGAAATATTACTCACCTGCCCCTCAACAATCCACTTGGAGATGGTAGTCTTCCCATCATCCCCTGCACGGAACTTCAGCGTAGCAGATCGTGAACTGATCTTGGAAATAACCAGATTTGATGGAGGCCCGGGAAGTTCTGTGTTAAAGGCAAAAAATAACAACAAATAAAAAAAGTTAAGTCACTTACAACATCCGAACATCATAACAATCAATAAACACAAAACATTCAAAAGCCTGTCTTCTAAAATCAATAACACCCAACATTTCTAAATCATGACCAGAATATTTTTAATAAGACTGTGTAAACAATAGGGATGGCACGGTACATGAAAAAAACATCCGATCCGTTCGGTTCGCTTGTCTTGGTTTGAAGCGTGTGTTCGTCATGCGCAATGTAGCCTATGTATGTGACCTTAGATGTGTGTTTACTTTTCACACGAAATAAGACGTGTGTGGACATACATATGAGGTTTGTTCAACCTAAACCGCCGCTGCACAGAGCAATCGGTGAATGACATCAAAATACCGCGAGAGCGACGGCTCCCTATGCTTTTCAATCACTCTCGCGGTACTTTAAAGTCATAAATCGATCGCTCAGTGCAGCAGCGCACAAGTCAATGTGGAGTATGGAGTGCTGTAGGTCACGTCATGCGTAGAAATGGCAAGTGGGAGAGTTAAGGATGGCTAAACGAAGTTGGAGGATGCGCCAGCGTCGTACAAGCATTGTATAAATCTGATGTGTGGGAACATTTTGGATTTTATGTTATGATACTTAAAGTTTACTTTAAGTTTAGATAAGAACAGTCATATGTTTCCAAATACTGCACTTTAATTTGAAGTGAAAAAAAAGTATCCTCACTCTCAGGGAATAGAAGCATTGTTGATACTGTTTTTGTGTTGAGGTTGACCTTATGTTTCACTTTATGATTATGGTTTTTGCTATTGCTATAGCCTAATTATAGACAATTATGTTTAATGTATTTGGACTAATTAAAAAGGCAGAGTTTTCGGAGTTCCTCTCTTTTTCTTTTAAAAGATACCATTTCTGTAAGAGCTACACTTAAGTTGGCAGTTTGATAAATACAAGTTCATTTCAATCTTTGTGTGCTAAAAATGCACACAAGTTCCTTTTTTTTTTTTGCCAAATAAACAAAAAGCAAGTCATCAATGTCTTTTCTCTTGCTGTATCAAAATCACCTAGCTTTCCTCAGAGATGGTCTCAATAATGTGCTTAAAGTCAAGACAAATTCATGCATGCATGATATAACATTTTTTTTAATACTGCATCATAAATTGTGGATAATTAAGCTATATATCATATGCTGAAGAACATTTCTGGAGTGTTAAAGATTTAAAAAAACAAAACAAAGCAACAAGAACCGTGCAAACTAAACCGTGGGTTTTGTGAACCGTGCCACCCCTAGTAGACAAGGGACTGAGTCAAAAAAAGAGATTTGCGATTCTTTTGAAGCGCAGAGATAAAGTCTCATTTGGGTCGAGAAACCTTTGATGAAATTACACTGGAATTAAATCAAATAACAGATGATAGTCTCGCATCTGCCCGAAATCCCCACTGTGATGTGTAGACGTCTGTTTCCCTAATGTCTCACAATACGCAATTTATCAGCAGGCATTATGGTTTTGGCTTGGCGTTCAGCCAGTTCAGCGTTTGCCTTCTTTCAGTGGGCGAGAGAAAGTCTGCCTTAAAGCTGGTTCAAATGAATATTTCTCCTTCAGTGCCACATTTGATTAATGGCAATGCATGGGCAACAACTTCACAGTTTCTGAGCAGAAAAGGCCAACTCAAAAGATCATCATTCATTCTTATATTGCTTGTGTACACTAAAGAAGGGTAGCTCCCTTTAATACAGGTTATTTTTAATTGTCTATGTTAAAGATCTACGAAAGACCTGGTGGCACTCCCGAAGATATGGTTGAGGAAGTTACAGTTCCAACTCCCGCCTCCGTCATAGCAGCCACTTCAAGAGTGTAGGTGGTGAGGGATGTCAGGCCGGTGACCTTGTAGTCCAGAGTGGTGTTGGCCAAGGTGCGCGCCACTCGAGATTGGTTCTTCCCCTGCACCTCCCAGGACACCAGGTATCCTGCAAAATTGATTAAAACTCAAAGTTTATTTGAGTTTTACACACTTTATGGCTCAAAACCCATGGGAACGGGCCAATTTGGGGCACATCAACCAATTCCAACCTGGGATGACAACTGAGTAAATTTTCTGAGGTCTTGAACTTGAAATAAACAATCTCTCTTTAACAAATAAGGTGGGTGAATTGGGGAACTTCTGTAGTAAGTTGTCTAGACCCTGGGCCCTGCCCCCTAACCTGGATCTAACTGAGACTAATAGCCAGCAGAGATCCTATGTAATTTGCTGTTTATTGGGAGTATTTTCTCCCAGAGTCAGCACTGTTTCCAATCGCTGAATGTCCTTTTTCATTGAGGTGCTCATAAATCAAGCTTTACGCTGGGAGAGGCCGCTGGTGAACAGGCATAGGCACCATTCAAAGAGCAACAATGCTGTGTACATTGATATAGACAGGAGCTATTTAGTCTAATGTATGTCTGATCTCATTCGTCTCCATTCTTTCAATCAACATTCAGAGCCGATCTGCAACTCAATCGGCTTAATCTACATCTAGTATCCATCTACCGCTGCCTCATTAGTCCAGATCTAGGTCTTTCCCAACATTATTGAAACTTCCCCAGTGACTCTCAGAAAATGTGTTGTCCTGGTCAAAAAAAGAAAACAAATTTATTTATATAGCAAATGACAGTGAACATTAATCAACATTCATGAATGTAAATGTACCCAAATTAGCCCGAAGGCAAGTTTTCATAGGTAGTCCCTTTGCCAGACGTTATTAGGCCTAAAACTAGAGTAGAGGTTAAAAAAATAACAACAATAAGAGAACTAGAACTTGTAAACAACTTGTAAACAACTCTGTAAAAATATAATTAAAACATATTATTCAAAAAACAATATATATATATATATCTATAGGCTAATATGCACAGGGAACTGAGTAGATTTAAATTTAATAAAATCCGACTAGTCGAGACAGTTTTTCAAAGATGGCTGCTGCCTGTATACACGAAGTGCACTGTCTTTATAAAATATCTTCTTATTAGATGGTCTGCTCTTATAAAGTTCTCAATGCTTCGTTTTGCATGTAGGGACACTCATTATGTTACTGTGTTAGTGTGGGACTATTTTGAGACTTGTTAGTGATATTAACTAGTGATTTCTCTTTACTTATTATATGCCCCCATATCCTAGCGTATATTCTAAACAGTTTTTAGAGATAAAACTCTTTACATTCGATTATCATGAAAACAAATCTCATACTATAAATTGTAAATTATAAATATTATTTAGATTTTTGGGTCAACCCTTTAATTTGATGATTTGCTGAAATATTTCTTGTTACTGTCAGTGTTGAAAACAGTAAATTACTTTACAGTCACTTTTGATCAATTTAATGCATCCTTGCCAAATAAAAATGATTCATTTCTGGCAAAAAATAAATAAATAAATAAATAAAATAAAATCAGAGAAAACCACAAACTTTTGAATGGTAGTGTATAAAAATATATTTTTGGATTACTTTCATTCATTTTTTTTTTTGCATTACTTTAATGATATCTGTAAGTTCTCTTTCAATGCAAAAAATATAAAAACACAATTTTTAAAGCAAAATCTAATTTCTTATTTCTTTCTTGATATTGTGATAAAATATGCCCTCCAAACGTTCTGAACATGTTTTGTGAGATCATGTTCTTGTCAAATGCTTGAAGGTCAACTCACACAGGTCTTTTGATCACGGTTAACATTTTTTTTTCTTCTTTTGATCTGTTTGTGCTTTACGTTCCTGGTGGAAATGACTAATATGGATAAATAGCACTCCTGAATGCTAAAACATTTCCATGAGCTCCCACACACAAAGAGTCATGCAGAGACAAACACACACACAATCACAAAAGCATCCTTTACAGCTGTGCAACGGGGAGCAAAAATTGTTTCTGCCGACTGAACGCAAACAACGACGATGCCATAATTGCTTTTGTGCAAAAACTCAATGAAGTGTTAAATAGAAGTGTATCCATTAATAAAGCTATACGAACATCCAAGTGTTGCCAAATGAAAATTGAGATCCTTTACGGGCTCACCTGCTCTATCTAATCAGCTACATTTAAACAGAGGGGGGCAGATTAGATTTCATTTAACAGGAAAGACTAATAAACAAATCAACATTCCCCAAAACTGAGTTTGGCTAATGCTGGGGCAAACAAATTAATTCAGATTTATTGCTGCAAAATGTTCCTGTCTTTTTTTTTTATTGAGTATCGTATCAATAAAAGCAATGGAAAGGTCAAAAACAACTCACCAGTAATGATGCCGTTCTTATTCACAGGTTCCTCCCAGCTCACTCTCAGAGACATATCCAATATCTCCGTAAAGCTCAAGCGACCGACGGGGCCTGGAACTAAACACAAAGACATTTCCCGGTTGTAGACCTCCTTTTGTTTCTAAACAAGCTCGGTCTATTGTAGGCTAATTGAGCTGATCATAGATTAAAACAATTAACAAATACGGTTTTATTTAGTCCCTTTATAATGAAGCACAACTAAGATTCTGATGATATCAAAACATGCACACATAGATTGGTCTTGTTTATTTTTTTCCTCAGTAACATTTCTCTTGAAACTAATTTCTCACTTGTAGTGTCACAGATGGCTAAAGACACTGATATAATTACGTATATCGGCTTGACCCAAAGAGCAGTATTTGTGCTTAAGTTTGAGCATTTCTTTAATTAATGTGACTTTTATAAGACATAATATGGTATTTCATCACCATCAAAAACCCCAGCAGAGTTTCAGAGAAAGAACACTGTCAAAATGCTGATATGTTAAGGCCAAAAGCTTCATTTAATAAAATATTTCCTGCCAAATGAACAGCATTTTTCTGTGGCTTTCTCAGTAATTAAAATAAATATTTTGTTCAAAACTATTTTGTTTAACTGAATTATCTTGACGCCTCAATGAAAATTATGATTAAAGAGATTCCTGCAATAGGTACCTTGTTTTTGTTTTGGTAATAGCATTACAGCATAAGGTTTCACCAATTTGATGAATATGATATTTACCATCTGAATCATGTCAACAAATGGAAAAGTCAGTCAGTTATTTATTATCATGTTAATTATTGTGCCTTTTACCCCAAATACCATACTTTTACATATTTTTCCGTTATTAACAAGCTGAAAATCATTATCAAGACCTTTGTCTCAAAATATAGATGTTTATTTTATCGATTCTCTTTTGCTACATAAATCTACAACATTTTATGATTTTTTTTTTCAAACAGCACAGGAAATGTCTTATTTTATGTGTATACAATCAATTTGTTTCTGAGCACCAATTTTAAGAAACAGTATTCAGTGAGCGACAGAAACACAATATTATGTCCTGGAAAATAGATTGACAAAGAAACAGACTATTACTTACTGTCCTCATGAGTTTGCACCAGTTTGGGGGCACTGCGGGGACCGTTCCCTGGTGTGGTGAAGCACAGAACTGACGTCAGGTACCAGGTGAACTTTTTTAGACCGCTGATGAAACCGAGGTGACGTGTCCCATGATAATCAGGGGTGATGGTTACGACGATAACATCCACTGGAGACCGTTCGGGCCATGCCATCAGCTGAGGGACAGACACCAATGTCATTTAGATAGAACACAGTGTGTGTCACTCATGGATTTGACTAGGACGAGTACAGGAGAAATGAGTGTACCTTGTAACCTTGATTAATGCCATTAATGAACTGCTGAGGTGGTGGATTCCAAGTAAATTCAATGGTGGTTGAGTTCACCGCTTTGGCCTCCACACCCTGAGGGGGCGCTGTAGGGACTACAGGAAAACACATACCGCATGTTAGACTCTTTTTTACAGTCTATGGTAAGACTCCCATTCACCTTATTTTTTTAGTCTCAGCCTCAGACGTCATGCCCATTGACCTCCCACACTCCAGTCACTAAATATCGAATGCATTTGGCATTGAAAAAATAGACGACAAAAGTCTAAATCTGACCGGCTCACGTTTTATGAGAGCTTAGTGTGTAGTGAAAAATTCGTCAGGAAATGAATACAGTTTTTACAAGTTCCAGGACTTCAGTCGGGCAACTAAACGCTGGAAGTTCTGTCACGATAATACTTATTGTTTTAAAAATTTGTTTTGATTGAAGCATTTAGTTGAATAAAAAATGTTATGTCATGATAACTCTCGGCGGGAATGGCATTGTAATGGGTTTGACAATGTTGTATGTTGGGTCTTGGTGGAATAGATATGCTACGCTGCTGCTTTTATTGCTGCCCCATTCTTTTTATATTCTCCATATTTTAATTGACTCTAATTTACGTAGCTATGTCCACATACTGATTGACAGTGTTGGGTAAGTTACTCTAAAAAAGTAATTAATTACTAGTTACTAATTACCTCTTCAACAGTGTAATTAAATTACTGTACTAATTACTCTATCTAAAAAGTATTTAATTACTTTTAATTACTAATTACTTTCAAAATCCCATATCAATCTCAACCAGCTGAATAATACAAGGATAGACATGAATCTGTTTTAATTCTTTCAAATAAATACTATAAAATTGCACGAATTATCCTTAAACAGACCAAGGTGGAGAAGGTTACATTATAAAAACTTACTTTTTAGCATCAGACAATACATTTTGATGTTAAACCCACTATTGTTTTTTGTCTGATCTCATGACATTTCACACTTTTTTCATACATATTTTACAATAATTCATACGAATTTGTACGAGTGCGGTCGTAATATTTAGACACCTCATAAAATGCATACGAATCGCTGTGAGATCGGATTGATCTATGCACAGTATTTACCTCAATTACATCAGAAGTAACTGTAAAATTAAATTACAGATAAATGAAGAGTAATCCCTTACTTTACATTTTCAAGGGAAAAGTAGTTAAATTACAGTAACTAATTACTTAGTAATTAGTTATACCCAACACAGCTGATCGATCATCTCGAAAAGCACTCAAACAAAGTTTTCCCTGCTGAATACGCAAGACTGACAGCTGCGGACACCACCTAAACACGTCTGACAAGCCTTGTTCACACTGCATTTGAATGCACGCAAATCTGACTTTTTATATGTAAAGATCCTTATTAACTGCATTGGTTATTTGCACATCAAAAATACATTAGGTCTCAAATGACACTTACTGTACCTTGAACAGAAACAATAGTGAGAGTGACAACAGATGTTATAATGTTAAGGCTAATGCATTAATGTAAGACTGAAGTCCAAAGAAATCTGTTTATGTTATGATTTAATCAGAAAACTGGAAATGGCTTGTGAGTTGTGACAATAACAAAAATTGTCAGAGGTTATAGAGTTTGCTCTTATATTTATTATGCAAAATGCCGCAACAACATGTGAGCATCAACTAACTAAGTGACCATTATTAAATGACTGATGTTAGAATTGCAACATTATTAAAATTCCCCAGTAAAATTAAGTGGCTCACTTTACAATCTTTAAAGTGCACCTGAGATGTGCCTGAGACATTTCTGATCTTTTATGAAGGGCGATGCTCTAACATGGACACAATACATGAAAGAAAAAATACATTCACAATCTATTATGCATCCAGTATCCTTCTAAAAGGCTGAACGGAGAGAGCCGGCAGTTGAACGAAAAGCAAGGTCTTATATAAGCCAAAACACAACAAAACTATATCACAGCAGAGTCCAGAATCCTGATTGTTTGCCATACTTTTTATTTTGTTTTCTGTACGCACACCTTTGTTGGTGTATATAATACAACTGAAAAGCATGTACTTTTACAACACATAAAACAGAATTTTAAACTTTCAACTTTTTTTTATTTTTTTTTTTGTGGAATTGGATGTGTACATTCATAAAACCTCTGGGATTCATACAAAAAGCATATTCATGAATGTCTGGTGAGAGAGAGTTTTTTTTTTCTTCTCTGGCTGATCTTTTCAGGTTGCCTGTCAAGCTTTGACTTATTTTAAATCAAAAGACTATCTTTCAAAAGCCTGCCAATTATAGTCCTCTCTTAAAGCAGTGTAAACATATTCATTATGCAGCGGCATCTCTGCTCTTCTGAGGAACTTTTCCCCACCTCAGATTCCTCAGTGGGTAAAGGGCACATACACTGTAGGCCTTGAATTGTTTATAAAGCTATCAATCAATATTAATAAAAAAGCCCCAAATAAAGGTAATTTAATAATAATAATACAAATATTTTTTTGTTGCAGACAAATAAATTATTTATTAGACACAATATTCAAAAGTTAAGGGGTCAGAAAGATTTTCTCAAAAAAAAAAAAATCCTCTTCAAGACTGCTTTTGGTTGATCAATAATACATGTGTGTTATGAAATATTGTTACAATTTTAAATTACTATTTTCTATTGACATATTTTTTTATGTAATTTATTCCTGTGATGCAAAGCTTCATTACACCATCCTTCAGTGTCACATGATCCTTCAGAAATCATTATAATATGATGATTTGCTGTTAAAGAAACATTTCTTATTATTATCAATGTTTGACAATGTGTTGATCACAGTTGAGCAGCTTCATATTTTTGTGCGAATAGCAATTGCAAATCTTTGATGAATAGAAAGTTGAAAGAACAGAATTTATTTGATTGAAATCTTTTGTAACAATATAAATGTCTTTACGGTCTCTTTCGGTCAATTTAACGCTGGTCTTGCTTAATAAAAGTATTCATTTCTTTTTAAAAAATCGTATCATCCCCAAACTTAAGCAATAATGTCCATTATAAAAAGTGGTTTTAGAAGTTCAAATTTTCTTTTCTTTATTTTCACTTCATTAAAGGTACAATATGTAACTTTTGGTGCTGTATTGGTTAAACAAAACAGCATGCATCTTACTTTGTACATTTAATTGTACATAATTGTAGCAGGAGCATTTTCTCTCCCTTTATGTATATAAATTACTCTGAAATTGTTTTCCCAAGTAGATTAAACGGATTTGTATGTTAACGCAAAATCTTATTGACGGGAGGGTTGAAAAACAGGTATGCTTTCGACAGGCTTACAAAAGTAACAGTGTACCTTTAAATATAAGCCTATTATTGGACTACAGCAATGCATTTTATAGTTGACATCTTGTTAATGCCATGCGTTACTTGTAGTGGTGTACAGGAGACATGATTAAATGTGATCCACTCATGCAAATAATTAACTGTCCAAAATGACCATGTTTAAATTGACAGCCTTATTTTAGTATTCATAAAAACAACTGAACTAAGGATCAGTGATGTCGTCAAGGTTGCTAATTGTGAGTGGTTTTGGCGGAGCTGCGTCAATACCATTCAACTGCGTGTCAGACTCTGTTTATAAAACGTCTATTTAAAATAATTGGACGGATGACGTTTCTCAAAGCAGAGTCGATACATTTGCCGCTCCTTGGATAATCATCCAAATGTCCAAATAAAAACGGAATTTCCTGAGATGGATTCTTCTCATCAGAAGAGAAAAGCGCCCTCGTAGATAATTGACATAATTGTTTTGAAGAGGATTCGCATGGAAGTCAGCTGCCTTAGAAGAGGGCTCTAAAATAAATGCGGCGTCTACGTGGAGGCTAAGATGACCTCAGCGTGGCACGTAAACAAATATCGCATCAACCGGTTCCAACCAGTATGCTACCTGCCTCCGCTGATGAAAAGGAATAGATGAAAACACGGAGGGCTGATAGAAGCAGCAACTGTTAGGCAATGAAAAAAACAGAGGGTGAGAGAGGAACAAGGTCTCACCTCCCTGCAGCGTGTACTCAGTGACAGGCTGACTGAAGACGCCCAGGCCTGCCCCGGTGTACGCGGCCACCTGAATCTCATACTGGGTCCAGATGATGAGCTCTGTGATCAGGCAGTAGTTGATCTCAGGGCTGGTGATGTTCTTCTGCTGGTACTCTCCAGGGAGCCCCGCGAGCCGGTACCTGCATCAGGGCAATCGATGGCCAAACAGTGAGCGACAATGATTTTCTTCCAGGTCACTGCTCTGTTAGAAGTCTTCCCACAGGCTTCCAGGGTAGAAGTTAGGTTAAATACACCAGCGGTGGGGGAATGCTATTAAAATCAGCATAGATATTCACAACACATCCGTTGAGGAGGATAAGATTGGTCAAACACTGCTAATGAAATGCATCCAAGTTCTTGCTACATAAGAGAAATTAGTGTGATTCATTTGGTTGATGATCTCTATTGGGTGCACATTTAACATTTTAGACTGGATACCCTGAATATTGCCCTATCTTGCACCCTGTGCAAATGACTTTGTACACCTGTTTTGTACCCGCGCAAAGCGGACTTTTCCCTTCACAGACGCACGTCGGTAAACTAGGAAATGAACTTGCGCTCCCTGGGCGGGTCGGTTCAAAAAAGAGGCACGTTTCGGTGCAAACAACCCCTGGTGCTTTTTTGCAGTTCCAGAAAACAATTGCGCCAATGACCAGAAAAAACCTGGTTTAAAGTCAGTGGTGCGTTGCGCGTACATTCAGATGCTATTTTAAGCGCGCATGCTTGGCCATTATACAGAGTGAACAACGCACATACACTGTAGATCATTCTCTCATCAACACAGATGCATTTTACTTTTTGCAAATGATACATTATTATAGGGAAAACTATTAAAACACGAGGGAAATCATTGTTGTGTCCATGACGATGAGAAAAATAGGCATACAGCTTACACATTTCCCCAAATTATTATATGCATGTTTAACCGAAGCTAATTTGGGTGGGTTTGTCCCATCCCCAATGTCCCTTCTCTTTCTTTTACAGTCCTGACGAGAACATTGATCTCCTCGGCTGTGAACCGATTCTGAAGCGCGGCTAGTAAATGCGCCGTTAAAATAGAATTGCGCCATGAAACAAGCGCACCTCGTTCATCATGCTCTTAAAGGGAATGTGATATGAGGCTCTTATTGGTTTGTTTCTGTTACGCCCAAACCACGCCTATGAATAATGAAGCTACTTCAGACCAACCCCTTTTAAACTTGAGTCATTTATCCCCCGGGAAAATAGCAACAGCGCCAAAGACCCGCCCACAAAGTTACTTGTGCTTCGCGCTTGATACTTGCGTTTCAGATCGTTAAAATATTGTCTTTGGATGCTAAAGACTTGCGCCAATGTATATGTATTCTGACTCACAATCTAATATGAGTCAACTCTCATTAATTTGGTCAAAAACAATTTCCGTAAACGACGAGGGAAGGTGTTAAGGCCTAGACACACCAAACTAGCGGCGACGAATGCTGACTATGGTGTCGCCTCGTCTGGGACAAAAAGTTGCTGCGCCTCAACAAAGACTACAGTCAACAACCAACAAACACATATGTTCTGCACCTGTGTGAGAGCAAATAACTCTCCATACCAGCAGGTATGTAGCCTGGCAAGCCAGACCTATCAAAATGTTAGGTCTGGGAACTCACAATTGGCATACCTCAATCCGAGGGGCGGGATAAAAGGTTGTCTTTCAATATCCCTCTGCACGCAATAGGATAGCGCCACAACCAACCAGAGCAACGAACGCCTGTGGATGAGTGAGTCCAATGCTTTTTCCCTCCAGCGGAGCAAGTTGATATATTAAAATTTTGCCATATCCTGTCGTCAAAACTCCGAACACGTCTTTCTTTTTTAAGAATGACTTAAGTGACGTTCTCTTAACTCAAGTCATCCAGAGTCGCGGCCAAAGCCGAATCGAAAGAACGCTGTTCGCCAGCTGCATCATGTTTGTTTTCAAGTATCAGGGAAATCACCTATGGAAATCACGGCGCAGAACCTTCACAACTCTGCCGTCATTGTGTTAAGCCCGCCCACCAACTCTATACACGATGTGATTGGCCGGACCAGAGTTTGGTTTTTCCACTTCGAAAGCCAACGGAGAGTTACTAGACCACACTTTGCGGCAAAATCATTTTTGCTGCCACTAGGGTCCGTCTAGATTTCTAGGCTAGCAGGTATGGGCAATATTCTTATATTCTTAATATGGCCAATTTTTACTGATGTGTCCTGAAGGGGATTCAACATGCACATACATCCAAAATGTCTTTATTGCCACACCATAAATAAATCTAAATAAATATATATATTTTTTAATTTAATTTCTAATTAATTTAATCTCTCAAATTGCACCAAAATAGTATTGTTCAGTCACACTTTAGTTTGGGGGAACACACTTACCAGTTAGCAAGGTGGCTAACTTTAGTTGTTGGATGTGATAAAGAGATGTATAATATGGTCATGCAGAATAAGGCATTAATATTTGCTTTATAAGTTATAAGCAAGCTACTAAGCAACTAGTTAATAGTGAGAGTTGGCCACCAAACTAAAGTGTTACGTATTGTTCTGACCACTAGTGTCATGTTTGCCAAAACCTTTACAACAGCCTGCCTAGATTTACTTTCACGCAGACATGTCAAACACTCTTTCTAAATCAGTTTGCTTATACATGCGCTGGGATACAGCTGTACTAAAACAGTAGTCAAAGTGACAGCACTAAGGTCAGCTCAGCTCCATTATCTAGATGGGGTGACAAATGCAATCAAAAACTGACATTGTTGGTCCCAAAATAAGCTTGACTTTTTCATCAAAAGTGTATGCCATATGAATATAAAGAGTCATTTTCAGCACATTTCATCAGGCAAGTTCTGTTTGTGAAATGGTTTGTGCATGTCTCACCTGAGGACGTATCCTCTCAAGACTCCATTGAGCTGAGGCTCTGGGGGCGGCTGCCACTGCACCATAATGGACTGGTTGGTTCTGCCGCTGGCTACGATGTTTTTGGGTGGAGCGCTGGGTGGTTCCTCTCTCAGCATCAATCTGGGGAGAAAGTGCAAGAGTGTTGCTAGCACCACAAACTGCCGCGCGGTTAGTCGACTCGCTCTAGGGCGCAACAGTGTGAGCCATGCAAGTGTAATCCCCTGGTCGGAAGTCCATTTCCCAACCTGATGCACTGTATCACATCCGCCCACTCCATAAAAAGCTCTTATGCGTTTTTGAGGAAAAGTCTCTGTGTGCTCTAAGCACCCTGATGCTTTCAATTTGGAGGTCGCTGCTTACATGGAAACTGGCTTGCGTTCAAGATTGCGTTCGTTGGCTCAGCACCTTCAAGCTAAGAGCTTCATTGAAATTTCAAGCTTTCGAATTACAAATAGACCAAACTTTTTTAAAAAGATAAAAGCATCTCATGGTTTGTTGTGCAATAGGCCATGTCTCTAGGCATGATTTGTTGTGCTGCGCGTGGAGGAATTGTCCCCCATGTGAGTGCTTTTTAAATCTGGTAAATACCTGTACTCTTTTCAAGGAAGGAACACACTAAACAGAACTATTTCTGTTCCACCCTAAGAGGAGAGAACATTTTTTGGAGCTTATATTATTTAGTTTATCAAAGAGTCTCAATTCACATTGGCTGAGACTTTGTGAGATCTGGACGAACATACTGTAAAAGAGCAAATGGACCTCGACACATTTCTCATCGCCAAAGGAGAAGAAATACGCTGAAAGTCCTGTTGATGTCGATGTACTGAAATAAAACATGCAAAACACAACATTAAGTATTGCTTTACTCAGTAGAGTCCTAGTATTTATGCTGGTGGCTGCCATTTGCAAAATGGGGGAATGCATCACAACATTTGTTTAAAAAGACCCAATTAAGCCACGCCCTAGAATGTAGATTGACCAATCACAGCGCAGCCAAGAACGAGCTCCCACAGAGGTCGGACACTTTTTCACAGCGCTTCATTGACTTTCAACACAGGCGTCTCATATTTTTGGTCTCGGCAGGCTATTACCGTCGTAGTTTTATCCAAAATATGGTTAAACGTTGTGCCTCGGGCATTTGTAACACAGATACGTGTTTCCCAGAGAGGTTGGAGGGGGGTGTCCGTTTTTTCCCTTCCCAAAACCGAAGTCAAATCCTGACAAGTGTCGTCTTTGGATTAAACTGTGTGGACGTCCTCAGTCAGCTAAACCCCTAAAAGATCAACAAGCACATCATTTTTGCTTCTAACCTTACTGTGAAGTTATACTAGTTAGACCGTTTTATAATGTTTTAGGTTATGATTTCGGTTCTCATTCCGGTTGTTGATACGCTAGCGCGCGCTGCTAATAAATACAACGTTATACTTGTGTTTTCCTTTTGCTTTGTAATAACGATTATAGAAGTGAATAGAGACCTATACAGCTTTGCATGAACAGTGTTGCTCCCTGATATTGTTAATCCCAGCCTCCGTCTCGATTAGTAGGAAATGTGGTGGTTCATTTTTTGACTGTGACCGGTAACGTTATGCTTTTGCCTCTATTTTGGATGCCTTGTTGTTTCTTGCGTTTCACCTGTATGTCTTGAATATAGCCTTCGAACGCATATTGCAGCCCCTTTTGCCTACTTCTATCGGACACTTTATTTGCTGCTTTATAAAAGTTTGATAACATTTCAGCAGGAAGAGCTGTTACAGCATAAGTTTGACGGATGTAGCAACAGTAACTAAGGGGAGCGGGGCTTAGCCAAAGGTGAATTGGTTCAGATTCATAATGAAATAGTAGACACTTGCCAATGATTTTGCGGGCTCTGTGATCCCTGGTAATGTCAAATATGTCATAATAGCTGGTCTCTACAGGCTAGTTTGCTATCACACATAAATGATATTTTATGAGCAATGCTCGGTTCATTCCACCTACAGAATGTGCATTTTCTTAATTAACGAAGTTTAAAATTGAATCAGTGCTAAATACTTAATAATACCCATATATTCATCTGCCCTTTGCATTTCATGCTAATGGACAGTTAAATCTGCATTAAAGTTTAATAGGATCATTGGGTCCTTTCAGATTTACTGTCAGAGTCTTCTTAAACCTCTGACCACACTTTGTTATTTCTTCCCAGAAGTCTATTTCATAATTAATGCCCTCTATAACCAATATCATGGAGCTTTTCTCAGACGGTGCTCTGTAAATCTGCCTAATGATGGCCGTAAGGAAAGACTTCACACTCGCTGAAACAGAGCTTTTCTTGGTATAGCCATGCAGTATTTACACATTTGCTTTACACACTTGCACTGTGCCACCAGCTATTAAACATCTGCCTACATAAACAACACAAGGAAAGTGCCTGGCACTTTTCTACAGTTCACTTTGGTGTCCTATGACCTTTTTTTAAAGCATTAGAGATATTGTTGTGTGTGCACGTGTGTTCTGAATATATAAACTGGACGAGTCATTAACTAACATAAAATGAACCCAGCATCAACGGAATAATCATGCATTTTGCCAAGCTCTCCTTTAGACAATAAAACAGCGGCACATAAATAAGCGTTGGTGTGGGAAGGTGATGGCTCATTATGTGAGAGCTGCACTATGTGTGCGTCTATGAGCTTGTCAGCTCGACTCTCTCTGCTTAATAAGCGCAAATGGACAGATGTCTGTCACAACAAGGAGACATGCATGCAAGAGAAGACTGATGGGGCCCTTCAAGAACCACTTTCTGTTTTAACAGACCCTGTGGAAGCAGCAGAGCTCTAAAGAGTGTATTTTTGAACCATCTTAGTCAATAGCCCTGCATATAAGTCACAATTCCTACAATTTTGTTTTCTATTTTACCTTATGTCGCGACTGAAAATGTTTTTTTTTTTTGGTTTATGACTTCATGAGAAAAAGACATGCAAATGAGATGTGAAGTACAAACAACCAAAGCTGAGTTAATACAGGTACATAATTGAAACATCACGTTTGCAGTGAGTTTAAATCTGAAAGTATAATTGGAAGCAATATTAAGCAGATCTTTTCTTTTCTTTACTGTTTTGCACTTCACCATAGTGACAGCGAGTAATATTTGTGGTCACAAATCACATTCTCTCCTAGAAAAATATAATTCTAAAATGTTAAAAATCAAAATTAATATGGAAAAGTGGCATTTAGAATAGATAAAAATGTGCGATTATTCGCGAGTTAACTATGACATTAATGCGAATAATCGCGATTAAATATTTTAATTGTTTGACAGCACTAATATATATATATATATATGAAGAGTTCAGATGCAAAAGCCTCTAAATGCCATTTGAAATTTTCTTCTTTAATGATGATTTTTGTCAAACTTGTATATTCAAGTTCAGTAATTTCACTTAAATAACAATTAATAGGTAATAATCATTGCCATTTAAGTGAAATTACTGAACTTAAACATACAAGCTTGATAAAAATCATCATTAAAGAAGAAAATTTCAAATGGCATTTAGAGGCTTTTGCATCTGAACTCTTCATATATACGTCTATATAAAACACATTTTTCTTAAATATACACATTTAAGAAAATTATATATATATATATATATACATGCATGTGTGTGTATTTATATGTACAAAACAATTATACACAGTACACACACATATATTATGTAAACACAAACTTTAATTTTGGATGCAATTAATCGTGATTAATCATTGCCCAGCACTAATAATTTTTAAACTAATTTGATCAAGTTATACTTTTTTTGTAATTTAAAGGGTTGAGTGTTTCAAATCACAGCTGCCAGTATTTTTCCCCCAGTAAATTCAGCAGGATTTTTTGCAGGCATTCATTCAATAGCCAAAAATTGAAACAAAACCCACAACAACAACGAGCAGTCGTGATCTAGCCTACTCATGATTACATGATAGCAAAATGGCAGTTACGAATGGCTTTTAGCTGCCTGCACTTGAATATCATTTCCCAAATAAAGCCCTTAAATGTGTAATGTGAGCACGTCTGATACAGTTAAGCATTAATTGAGGTTAAACAAGAGTTAAGAACCCACGGTAGGTCTTCAAAATTTAATGCTTTCCCCTCGTCAGATTGTGACCCTAGATGACATGAATATTTTTCAAAGACAAACTAACAAATATTACATTTATAGAGTGGGCTCAAAAGTCAGAAAGTTCGATTTCAATATTCACTTTGCCTGGAGAGGCATACAACACGATGACACTGTTTTGGAATAGCAGTTGCTGAGTAAAGCCAGAAATCATTGGTGGGAGAGAATAGATGTAAAGTCTGCAGAGAGATGATATTACAGCTCTACTGTACGTACCCGACTGCCTCACACTGATTGCACGGTTTCCTTTAAATCGGTTGCTCATTTACAGCTCTTTGCATTTACTAGAACGCTTTCATTATTCACACAGGTGTAAAAGGAACTTTTTTTTCCGCTGCAAAGGCAGATGCATAGTTACCTTGATCATTCCACTGAAACTGAAAAGTCTTTTTAACTTTTGTTGCTCACAGCCACCTGTTAACTGTAGCTTTCAGCTAATTCAACATGAAGGAAGAGGTTTAATCTCTAAAAGCCGTCCTCAACACTCAGTGTGATGAAAGTGCTGAGGGTGAGAGATCACACAACTGGAACAGAAACTGCATGTTTGCCACGTTTGGAGCAGATAAAACTCAAGAGATTGTTGGAAATGAGGCGTCTGCCGCCCACATCTGTAGGCCAGAGAAAGCCAGCTGATTAGAGCGAGAGGCCTGCCACTCACAACCTGAGAGAGAAAACCTACGGTGTTGTGCTTTCAGCTACAGCAGGACTTACTGAGAACTGTGGGTGGAGGATCAGTGGCAGAAAACACACTCAAACAATGACAGTCCTGATGGTCGGCAGCAGACCATAGTGTGATGGGACATAATAGCCTGCTATTGACCAAGCATGAGTGTAGAAAAACAAAAAACAATGAGGGGCGGAAAACATGCGAAAAAGACAACAACCATGGCCTCCTACCTGTTGGTTTCAGTGCTGTAGTGTCCTTTGCCCACCTGATTGACCGCGCAGACCCTGAACTGGTACGAGCGGGCCGGAGTGAGTCCCTTCACCATAGCCCGTGTCACGGTGGGGTCCACATCAGGCAAATACACTCTCCAGGGAGAATCTGGTATACAGTGAGGACATTTCTAACTATTCAAACAAACATTACAAGGGACAGCATTGATATATTTGTATTAGTTATAATATTGTTGTGTTATTATTCATTATTGTTCAAAAGTTTTTAATATTTGTTTTATAACATATTATATTTCAAGGCTGTCAAATGATTAATCGTGATTAATCGCATCCAAAATAAAAGTTTGTGTTTACATAATATATGTGGGTGCACTGTGTCTAATTCTTTTATAAATACACACACATGCTTTGTATATATTTAAGAAATATTTCTAGTATATATGTATATACTGAATATAGATTTATATATAAATTATATATAAAAATAATATTTTTTTCCCTTAAATATACATGCATGTGTGTGTATTTTTATATATATATATACATATATATATATTAGGGATGGAACGATACACGTATCCATATTGAACCGTTCGGTATGAGGCTTTCGGTTCGGTTTTCGGTACGCATTTTTGAACCGAACGGTTCGTTGGACCATTTTTCCTGCCGACCAAAATTACGTAATTTCAAATAAAGTGCGCTCATAATGTAAGAGACGCTGGTGTGACCACAACATCAAATGGCAAATGTAATGTAAGCGGAATGAAACTGAGCTACTCGATATTGTGCGGTTGACGGACCGTTTGTTAGTTTGGACCAATGCAGCGCGAGCCGATCTTAATCAAGCAGCACTGCTGCTACACAGCAAAATCCAGTAAAGAAAACATTTGAATTCGCCACTGAAGTAATAACACCGCTGCGAGATCTAGTGAGAAACATTCACATTTCTCCGTTATTAACAGATCAAACAGCGCTGACGTGGAAAGCAGGAACAATCATTGTGCCATGAATGAATTATCCAGTGTCCACAGATCAGCAACATTCATCATGGATTTACTGTAGTAACACTAACTGTAACCATTGAAGTTTGGCAGGAATAGTAGGCTATAATGGTTTCAAGTAACATCACGTCGGTTTAATTTTGACATTATGAACAATTGCTGCCCTCAAATGTTAATCTGAACTAAAATAAACCTGTTTATAACTACTAACGTTACAGTATTACATTTAATTTTGTCCAAGGAGCTGTTTTGTTTTATATGCTCCTAAGAAAAGTCAAGCTCCATCATTGTTCAAAGTTTAAAAAATATCATACTTTATGATGTTAGTTTTAATAAAAATATAATTAAAAAAAATGTAAAATCTTTTTGCTGTATCGGAAAAGTACCGAACCGAACCGTGACACAAGTGTATCGTATCGAACCAAACCCTAATATATATATATATATATATATATATATATATATACAAAATAATTATACACAGTGCACCCACATATATTATGTAAACACAAACTTTTCTTTTGGATGTGATTAATAGTGATTAATCATTTGACAGCCCTAATATCAACATTTCAGACCTATGCTTTTTCCATGATAATAAGCCCTTTAACTAAAGGTCTGTTAAGCGTAATAATTTCTGTAAATGTTATTATTGAAAATAATTATACAGCGCTACCAAACACTGTTTTCTGTCTTCTAAAGACACATGGTGGCATATATTAAACTGCACGATTTGCATGTGTGCATAATCAAGCATAATCACATGAAACTTGTCAAGATATTTTTACACAAATTAGTCATCCACTCATAATTACATAACATGGTTGAGTAGGGACTGGCCATTAATACTTAATGACACTTAATGACCAGCCATGTAGCTTCAGAAATTCTACAACAGACTCCAAATCAAATGTGCAATGAGACGAGGTTTAGATCAAAAGATTTTAAATCTTTTTATGAATAAGCATCTCATTATTCTAAACAAAAGTATTATTCATTTCTTCATGCGTCAGACCTTCTTAATGAGGAAGATAATTCCCAATTGCATTTCAGTTCTTGGTCTCTGAGGGGAAAAACCTTTTTTTTTTTCTGAAAGGTGTTTCTAATGGGACTTCCCAGCCCTATTACACCCTGCACCAGTAATCTTCACCTCCACTCCGGGAACATTCCTCACTGTCCTCTTTCCTCTCCGGAAGATCAATCTACTTGGGTGAGGTTTTTTTTTCCATGTTCTGTTATCCCGCAACCTTTTACACCACTGGGTGACACTAACTGACATCAACTCGTACATGTAGCACACGCTGCGGAGACGAAGAGCAGCTGCACACACGCTCTGGACTGACTGAACATTCAGATGCATTATGGGTGGATGTGAATGAGGCATCCAGCTCAGTAGATTAGCTCAGTTTTAACACCGCCTGCTCGGCTCAATCACTGGCTGGGATTCACTTTAAAATTATGCCACTCAGCAAATGGTTATACGGTGGCCCCAAGAAGTATTCGGGCACCTTATTCAGTCTTAAGAGTATTTGATGTCTATATCTCTCTACCGAGACACTTCGGCTCAAATAACTTTTGATCAAGTCGTGTCAAGGGGATTTTTACTAGATGTAAGGCTGAGTTCATAAAACTATAGGGTCTGGAAGTAAAAATACCATTCAGTTTCTCCACAGTGGAATTGATTTTGAATGATAATTTATAAACCTCCAAAGACAGACCTACTGTAAGAAGCTATGAGGTTAGTAATCGATGGCATATGCTTTAGTTGAAGACATCAACCTGAATTATTTAGAACTGAACTTAATAAAAAAATAGCATGAAGCACTGCAAATTATGTAGATGGTTCTTTCCCACATTGAAGACATTTGTTTGAAGACAATCTTGTCCCTTTGTCTTTTTGTCAAAAATTTTAACTGTTTTTTTCCCCTTAACCCTTTACCTGTCACCCCCCCTTTTGATAATTGACATTAAAATGCACTATACAAACTTAAATGGTTGTAATTCAAGAATGCTTTGGAATATAGACCTAAGTTTGGTCTTGTTTTAAAGAAAACAATGAGCAGATTATTACTGAAGTGAAAGCACTTCAAAAAAATAAAGTATGAAAAGTTATGGAAGTTATAATTTACAGTAAATCAAATATACTTTATTAATATATATTTTTAATATAAAATAAATATTTTACAAAATATTTTTACTATAAAATGAAAGCTATATATCTAACCAAGTTGTGTTCCAAATTTAAAGTTGATATCACAAAAATTGAAGTTCACTTGAGATTTTGTTTAGGCGTTATACCAAAAATAACCGTTGAATTCCATCGAATTCCAAGGTGCCGTTGAATTCCATTGAATTTAATTTTATGCATTCTGCCATAACAAATAAATAAATTTCTATCCAAATATCAATTCTGTCACAAAATATGGAACCTTGAGACTAAGACTTTTCTGACAATATGTGTTTTGTCAAGATTAGAAAAGGTTTTGATAATAAATTATGAAAGATGATGCCCAAAAGGGGAGGGGCCTAATAAAAAAAAAAACCCTGTCTATGGTAATGCAACGTCCAATTTCAAAACGGGTTTCACAGGATGAATTCTGAGCTTTCAAATGATACCTAATTTATGATAACTACTAAAATATGTGATATAATAATAATAATACAATATATATATATATACTATTTACTATACTATTTAAAATAAAATTTTATCTTTTTGATTGAAAAATACTAGATTATGTTTTATTATGAACTTTTAGCACTAAAAACCAAAGTTTCAATTATTAAAAGTGTGTGCTTTTACTCCTGTAATGACGTCGATTTTTTGAGGTGCACTCTTGTCATAAATTCATACATTACTGTTCATTCATAATTTGTAAGAAAGAAAAATCAGCGCTAAAATATCTAATATATATAAAAAAAAATTAAATCCCCCCCCCAAAAAATCATATCTTTCTTTGCAATAAATGGCAATTGGTTTGATATACAGTATGAAAATAATAAAAATGTATTTGACCCAGACTAGGTACAGTGATGGAGGGGGTAAACCATTGTTTGTGAGTGTGTCTGCATGTGTCTTACTGTTCTCTGAGAGCTCAACCACATAATGCACTAGGGGGCTGTTTCCATCAAAGGGTCTCATCCAGGACAGGTCCACGCTGCGGCTGTCATTGGCGTTCAGGCTAGCCTGCAGGTTTCGAGGCGAGTGTGGCAGCTCTCTATGAGGATAGAGAACGGAAAATACTCAAAGGGCTGTTTCACAATTCCCACACACGTGCTGCATAAACAACGCTAGAATTAGCACACAGCTAGAGCTCTATACAGAAAGTGAAGTGATTTCTAGGTTACTTCATTCAGTATTTTTTTAGGAACTGCCATAAATTAAAAAATCTAAATGCTTTAACACTTTATGAAAAAGCAGATGAAAATCAAACAGTATTACATGAACGCTACCAGGCGTTCATTGTGGTTTGTTAATGATTTTATCTTTGGGACTGTCCTTCCCAGTAGGCCCCCTTGGCCCATTTTCAGATCTTCTCATATTCCTACAGCTGCCTCCTCCATGTTCAAAAAGATTGTGATTCCAAATTCAGCTTGAATCTCACAGCCAGTCAGAGGCAGGCGTTCATTTACATTCGTCTTGATTTTCTTCTTCACACTAGCTTTTTAAATTTTCTTTATTGATTACTTTATTAATCATTTCATAGGCATCCTGCTGAGACCAGGCACCGAGCACCAACGGTTGCGCTTGGAAAGTTTGTTTTCTACTCTAAATTAAACCCATGGAGAGAACCAGCCATGCTTAAGATTTCATCACTTTATGCATTTCTTTCCAAGGAAGACTGTGACGTTTCCACAGGTGTAAAATAACTGCTAATCCTTCACATGATGGTTACAAGATGATGTTAACTGGTAAATTGCAAACTGTTCAAAAAAATAATAATAAAAAAGATAAATTATTGAGTCTGTTTTGGGAGAACTCTCTCTTTAAAATCTCAGTAATTTTGCTTTGCAAGTAAATTGATCTAGTATTATACCACGGGGCTGCTGAATGCTTGAATCTGATTGGTTGACGGACATTCTAAGGCGTGCACTTATTTTCAGGGAAACCACGACTAAATAGATCCATCCAGGTCTTAACCGCATTACAGTTTCATATCACTTCGCCTAACGATTTCAGTTATTTCAAAGGGTATTTACAACCGACAACAGCAAAAGAAACAACACCCACAACAACACTAACCAAACAAATAAAGATACTAAACAATAGGAAAAACAACAACAAATTATTTCCATGTTTTATGCCACAAAATTACATTTTATTATGCACAGAAAGCACATCAATATACAGAACACACACACACACACACAATCACACAGAAATTGTATTGTATTGTCAGCGCTGCTCTGATGATTTTATCAGTAAAATAGCTTAGGAACTTAAAAGCTACACGACATTTCTCACTAGCGAAGTAATAACGGCGCTGTTCTTGAAGCAGATAAACTTACGGTTTCGCTATTAGTAGAGACGCTGCTGCCGAACACTGTTGAGAGACACTCAGACGCAGGTAAATCACACACGCTTAATCTCTCTCTCTCCCTTCTAAGAAATTAGTCCTACACACAAGAGTTTTAAGAACAGAAACCTGACAAATGTCTTGAAATACAAACATCTGAACAATGTCTTGAGCTGTGTAACCTTAGTATAAGTGGAATAATCGACTCTGGGCTGTTGAATTATTAGAAAATAATGCACACCCGTTTATTTTCTAATAATACAATGGCCCTTCTTACTTAAGGATGTTTTTTGTACATAGCGAGTTAATTTATTTATCATAGAAATAGCACACTGGCAACAAAATAAAATCGACCTTTGGTATTAGTATTAATGCTTTTGTTCAGGTTTATGGATCATCAGTGTTTATTTGTAATGGCGGAAAGGTGGAAAAAGACAACGGATGGGTGACTTCAGCCACTGGGGAAAGTCCTCCTGACAACATGCCTGATTCCACACAACCATCTGATACCACCATGGTATCTTCTTCAGTTTAATGAGGAGCCAGAAAACCCACAAACAGATAATGAGTCTTAGTTCCACACAACATTAGCCTCATGAAATCTGCATAAAGTACACACACCCGCTGGTTACTTCCAGCGGTTTATTTCTGGAGAGCTTCTGAGGGGATTTTATTCCCTCATCATATTGTGGTTCAGAGTCATAAGCAAAGGCTTTAGGTGTTAAAATGTTTACGCTGCCAAGATTTAGCTTTTATTTTGGGTTTAAGGATTCGACTGGCAGACACGTATCAGAAATGGAGTTTCGAATAGCCGGGATGAAGAAATCTACCCACTCAGAGACTGGTCAAAGGTCAAAAGATGTTTTCTTTTCTTTTCTTTTCTTTCTAGATAGAGAATTAGAAAAGCACTCATACATATTAGAAAACTACCTTAAAAGGTAAAGAACAGTAATAAATAAAGACATTTTTTTTTCATTAAATAAAAGGTTATAAAAGTTACAATTACTGACGTAGACTGTTGATGAATATGAAAATTGAGTATAAGCAGTTGGAATCCAGCTTGAAAGGTTACATTGAAAAAGGTTACTGAGGAAAGGTCAGTCTACACGCTCCTGCTGAGAGTAGCAACCCACTCAAGTAGTGCCATGCAAATGCTGCAGTTAGGTGAGCAAACAAAATGCAGAAGAAAGCTAAGTTTTTCTAAAGACAACTTGACAGCACATTAAACTACTTCATTTACACCAAAGTGAGTGCTTGCCCATGAAAAACTCACTGCAACAATGCTAAGATGGTGTTGTGTGTAGCCAAGGCATTGCTGTGCAGTTGACTTTTATGGCGGCGATACACAGGGCAACTTTTTAAGCAATGTTGCTGAGCAATCTTGGCGAGCGATTGTTGCTTGGGTACTTTCCCATTGAAAATGGGCAATACATTTCTATATGGATAATTTAGATCGGCCGTGGGCTCTGTGTCTCACATGGTTGCCCGTTGATGGCAACATTTTTCCATGATCAGAATGAACTGTTAGCATGGTGGTGCTGCAAAATCAGGATTGTGACATAGATGGCATGTTCACTGACAAACATGACCACAAACTTTCATTTTGTAGGACTGTTTTTAGGACTGTGTTGTGCTGAGAAATCGTACAATAGTCATACAGTACTGAACAGTGTTGTGCAAGTTACTTCCAAACTGTAATACATTAGGTATTACTTGTTACTGTTATTTAAAAGTAATTCATTACCTTACAATATTACTGTCCCAGATTTGTAATGCGTTACATTACTCATGTATTACTTTTTAGTTACTTTCACCAAAATAACTAAGTAGAACTTAACTTTTGGGCCGTAACGATATGCAATATGAAACCGAAATCGCGATTCGCCACACGACTCAGATCCACGAACCTACAGAATCACGACAAACCTCTTCCAACTCCAGCGTTATTCTACTTACGGTCCATATCCAATGCTGCCTTATCTTTAAATTAGGCTATTAGTATTATTTGAAGTTAACATTATAAAATACGTAGACCTACAGCACAAAACTAGTTGAGGATAAATTATTTAAAATTGGGAAAGTCCAGCATTATGGACATGACATTTGCAGTCAAAACTTGAAATAAAAATTCTCAGAAAATACATGTATTGAAACGTATATAGGCTACTTCCTTAAAGGACTCCAGACATTAGACAAATATCAGTCTATGTTTTATTTTTAATATTAGGGAAAAGACACACATTCATGCGTGACAAAAAAATAGGAGGCAAAATCGATTTTTTGTAATTCTGTTAATTACACTGCGCAAATCGGATGAGGAAGGGTTGGCTCTCCCGTCTCCATAGAACTTAAAATATTCATTTTATTTTAGTTTTCGTGTTCGCATTTATGAGGAAATAACAATGTTACAGACGCGACCGCTCTGAACTGGCACTAAAAGACTGCTTTAAAACTTTCACATAGTCTGTTGCCTTTAAGAAGTAAAAGCAGACAATACACTGTAATACAACTGTAATACAAGCCTCACTGAACATGTAACGAGTAAAATATTACTGGAAATTGATTAGTAATGCCTTACACTACTGCGTCACAGCAAAAAGTAATGTGTTACTGTAATGTATTACTTTTGTAATGCGTTACTCCCAACACTGGTACTGAAACATGTTCTACTGGAAATGCTACTGGTATTGTTCCCAAAGACTGTTTATATACTCAAATAAATATGAATGGGAAAAGGAGTAAAGCACAATATGGCAGAATGAGTCCTACCTTCTAAATAAAAGAGCCAATCACAAATAGGTAAAGTCAGTGCCCTGAGACGTGCCCTTGCGACTGCACATGCACACTGGGTTTACCAATGTAAAATACACACATTTATAAATGATATAAAAACAACATTAATTGGACAGTTCATGGCAGTTTTTTTTCTTCTTTTGTCCCAATTCAAGTCACTTTAAAGGTTAGAGCTCTTGAAAGTCGGAAGGATTTTGATTTGGCTGTCAGCTGGTTTTATTGTTGGTTCGCTGGAAGAAAAATGATATCGTTCCTCTGTGTCGTTCTGTTGTGGTGTAGATAGCCTTTTCTCATCAAAAATTATAACTATAAAAATAATGATAACTATATTATCATCCACACCAGTGGATGATAATGTAATGTTGATGATTTTAACCTGGTAAACAATATATCTGACAAAAATCCTACAGACCTGTTCCAACCATGTACAATAATTATCCACCTTATTCTGCTCTAAACAATGCGTGCCGCCATGACTACGACTCTGGTTGCCAACTTCCGGTTCGAATCTGGTCTATGCGTTTTTGCTATGTGTTTCAGATTGTGTCATCTCCACTTCGCTAAACTAAATCGAAAGAAAAAAAAAAACATTCATCAAATGTGATCTGATCACGTTATTTTTTATTACATCACAGATAAAAACAAAATGAACTTTTTTCTTTTCTTCATAACTTCCAAAGGATAGCTGATGCATGACAGCACAATCTCCCTAATCCCTAATACATGAACATCTGATAGTTTCTATCACCCCTGACTGCTGCAGAATAACCCAAGAATTAAGCTTAGGCTGGTTAGCCCTTTGACCCCCGTCTACCTTTGCTTTCAAAGATGCATATTCTATATATTTCTCAAGTAGGCTACATTATACGCCAATTTTCGGTTCATTTATGAGACCAGAGTCCAGTTTGTGTGCCGGCGCCTCTGTCATGATGATCTATTTTCTACTATATTTACTACTTATTTATTAAAACCAGGCAATTGGTTGATGAAACATTGATTGAAATTAAGATACAATTAATAAAAAAAACGAAATTCACTTTAAAGACAGGCTTTGTGGTATCTCTGTGAAAGTTTCAAAGTCGCTTTCAGAGCAGTCATTTCCGTGATGGAGAACTGTCATGTCCGTAACATTGTTTTTTTTTCTCATAAATGCGAACACGAAAAAAAATAAATAAAAAGAATATTTTATGTTCTGTGGAGGCTGACCCTTCTTCATCCGGTTAGTAGGCTATTACTTTTGTTTTGCGCAGTATATAATTCATAGAATTACTAAAAAATATATTGCCACCTAAAAGTTAAAGATTTGTTGTGTTATGTGTATTTTGCTCATATTAACCCTTGTGCTGCATTAGATTTTTAACACCGTTGAGTGCATTAAGGACCAAAAATGGCCACATATTAAACATTGCCTAAAATATTATATATATTATTATTATTTTCCACTTTTACCAAGTAAAATCTTTTAACCAGCATCAGTCCTCATCATAACTACCAAAAATGTATTCAATTTCAGGATTTTAACCCTTTAATTACCAGTTTTGTTTGCGAAACCATCGATTTGTATAAGAGGAAAAAACACAAAAATTCAATTATTTTCAATAAACTAAATGCAAAGAGAAAACTTTAGATTTGGATTATCACAGTCCCACTTTGCAAAAAATCCCACTTAGCGCGTTAGAGACCAAAAATGGCCACCTATTAAACATTGCCTATTGCCTAAAATAAGGTGCATTTCCACCCATAGGGAATAAATATGTAGTGACGTCATCTGGTGGAATACACTATATAATGCAAATATAATGCTTTTGCTTCAAAATGAAAGGATGTTTGCGCAAAAATCATGTTTCATGTATTACTGACAGCCTCAGATTTAAACAACGTTTTAATGGGTTTCAATGGGCCATTTTTGGTCTTTATGGTGCTGAGTGTTACTATTTGATCTACACGGTGTGTGTTATACATATTTTGCAAAATGGGATCACATTTTTTACATGTATCCAAAAAGTCACAATTTTGCCAAATTTCATACCATTTGCATTAAAACAGCCAAAATGGTCAAAGAAATTAAACTGCAAAAGACCAAAAATGTCCCTAATGCAGCATAAGGGTTAAATATAAAACGCATGTGTTTTCTAATGTCTGGACTAGAGTACTAGCATACATACAGTACTTCAACCGGAAGTAGAAAACCGTTTAGTCAGTTGAACCCGCTATGAATCATGGGAAATAGAACAGGCGCAGAAAAAGGTGGATAAAGTTTTAAAAATCATTCTCATAGTGAAGTTCATATCACAACTATATCCATTAAACAGAGAAACAGTATTGATAGAATCCCTTCCAGACATTGTCATCTAATCAGGAGCATTTAAAGCTCTTTAAGGTCGGCTGGATTCCGATTGGCTGTCAACGTTTTTATTGTTCATCAGCTGGAAAAAAAAAGAAATTCTGAAAGCAATTACAATGATATCGTTCCTCCGTGCCATTATTGATATAGCTGTGTTGTGGACTGCACTATTCTCACAGAATTAGAACGTTTATTTAACCCTTATTGTCCATTGTGTGAACAGGCCTTAAATCCGTATTGCTTTTTTTGTCTGCTCAATTGTCCACCAGGTGAAAATCATATACCCGATCACTTAGAGAAGTAATATAACAGCGTTCCTCAACAAGCTTCATGGGTTATCATTCATGTTTGTAGCAGAAACGGTGTGGGATGAGTTACATGACAAAGTTGAATACTTAGGGTTAGAGGTTTCATATATTTCGCTCTTCAGTTACACACTTCAAAGGCAGCTGGTGAAAAATGACTATGTGCACCTGGAAGGTGACACACATCCATCAGCACAGCGCATTAGTCAGCCTAATGCTCAGAGATGAAGGGATGCTAAGTCACTCACATGACCTCCAGACGGGCCGCCTTGGAGTCGTTGCCGGCCTGAGAGATGACGTCACATGTATAGTCCCCGATGTCCCCGGACCAGGTTTGACTGATGTGCAAGGAGCCCTCCTGCAGGCTGATACGCCCCCCTCTGGTCTGGCTCACTAACTCCTCATCTTTTTTCCACACGTACCTGCCAAGTGAAGGAGACGGGGAGTGGAAGAGAACTCAATCACAGTCAAACTGACACAGGGGGAGCGCAGGAAACAGCGCTGGCTCATTACACTGATATCCAGCATATTAGCGCTGAATTAGCTGTACAACACTACGGATCATGCCTTGAATCAACTTCAAGGCCTGCGGGCTGACGCTTAACATTACAATCAAACCGAGTGTGGAGCCCCGGGCTCGTTCGTCCAGACGAGAATAGGAAGCAGCTTGGCTCGTCATCACTCACCTCACTGCCACGCGCGGGTCGTGTGTGGCGCCACACTCCAATATGGCCGTGGTCCCCTTGATGACACGTCTGTCCGTGGGAGGGCTGGATATGGATGTGCGACCTTGGAGAAAACACAACACTGTTGATTCTGCACAAGTTTAAAGTTTCCAAGAACCAAGCGGCTCCGCTTCATCGTATCACAGCCTCTTCACACGTCAACGGCCAAGCACATTTCCCTCCCGCTGAGACAAAGCCAGGATTTTACATGCTCTGATCAGTGTGTAATATCAAGTCTGGATGCTGTAGATATCACCTCGCTAAGCTGTGCCGAGAAGCTGCTTTTCGTGGAACAGTTTATCATGCTCCGTTCTGACGTTAATTCTTTATTTACGTATTTATTAAAGGAAGGATGTTTAATGCAAGTTCTATGGCAGAACCACATATTTCCACTGAAATAATGGTGGGTCTTTGCTGTAACAAAATGTAACAGAATTTCCCCACTTTTTTGGAAATAGGCTCATTTTACAACTCCCCAAGAGTTAAACTGTTGAGTTTTACCGTTATTGAATCCATTCAGCCGATTTCCAGTTCTGGCGGTACCACTTTTAGCATAGCTTAGCATACATCATTGAAGTGGACAAGACCATTAGCATTTAAAAAAAAAAAAAATGACCAAAGTGTTTCGATTTAAAACTTTTTCCTATTTAAAACTTGACTCGAGTTGTAAAAATGAGCCTATTTCCAAAAAAAGTGGAGTATCCTTTTAAATTCTGATGTCAGGTCAAAGTTACAGTAGCTTGTGATGGTTTAAAAAAAATAAATCAAAGTTGAAATATGAAGTTAAGGCCTGCACACAAAAAACAAAAAAATAAACAATTAAAATGATTTGAATCAACAGTTCGGCAGGTTTTATGTGATTATTTTTATATTGTACTTGTATCCAAGATTTTAATAATGAGTATTTGATTATTATTGTTGATTGTTTTATTGTGTCTGTAAGGTGACGTTTTGCATGAGAAAATAAAGTCATATTTTTTTTGCGCCAAACATTTGTTTTAATGTGACCAGGCCTTTATTTTCGAGCTAGTCTTTATCTGTCTCTAACAGTATACATGACACAATGCATTACAGAATATTTGAATATTGCACATCACCTCAGTCAGCTGTTGCGCAATTAATGTGAATAAATGCAGGTCGAAACTGACCTACAACCCACTTTTCTAGATTTGTAAGTGTGACTGTGCAAAAATCAAATGATTTCAGTCTTAAAAAAAGGGTTTCCATATTTAAAGTCCAAATTAAATGAAAATGCAAACTAGAACTCGCACACAAAAACCCCATTGCGCTGTTTGTTTGAGTAACAGTTTGTAATATATGGAATCTCGTTTTCATCATGAAATAGAAAAAAAAATAAAAAGATAATTGCAACTTTGTATAAAATTTCTGACTTTTTATCTTGCAATTTGGCCATGCAATTCTTGCAAAGAATAGTAAGAATTAGATCTCTTTTAAAAGGGAACTGTCTTTATCACAAAATTTTGTTCAAGAAATGTTTTGATACATTGCATTTTGTATTCATATTAATGACAAAATCAAATACTACATTCACAAAATTAATATTTTATTCATGATCCAGTCTGAACATTTCCGTCCCAAAATTAGGCAGGTCCAGGCCGGGACTGGCTATCGGGAACACCGGGAAAAATCCCAGCAGCCTAGTGACTGGTTTAACCTACTGCCACCATTTATTTAATCTTTTTTGACTAAACTCAAAATTCCAAGATATACACTCTGATGTGCAAAAACTAAAGTCAGAACTGTAAGACAAGCTGAATTATTCTAATTCTAATTTAATTCTTCCATAGTGACATCATCTTTCCTCTTTGAATTCAGTGAAAAAGCAGATTCTGAAAGATGTTCACAAATGTGTTCTGATTAAGTGTGTTTCTCTTACTCCATACGGTAAGGTAGGCGCTGCCGTTGATGGCTCCTTCTGAGTTAGCGGCGTAGCAGGTGTACATGCCCGTGTCCTGCATCACCACCGGTTGAACCTGCAGACCGCCGGACTCCAGCAGGGTGAAACGTGGAATCTGCATCGAACCGCTGGCGAGGATCTGATTATCTGTTGTGCATACACACACACACACCAACAAACAAACCAGTTAGAGCTCAATATCTCGCTTCTGCTTCCACATAAGGAATTAATAGAGCATCACTATGCATGGTGTTGGAGCTCGGGATGATTTTATTACAAGCTTAAAGTTTTCCCAGAGGAAAAACCGCCTGCAGAGCTCTACCTTGTTAGGGGCCACTATTATATATGCCGCTTCATAATAGGGAAAGCAATGGAAACGACTTCATGAATATGAATATTGTCAATATAGTGAATATAGTCAAAACAGTTGTAGAATTTAATAGTAGGTTTTTTTTTTTTGTTACTCTTGCATGAAATGATCTTTTGTGTTGTCAATCGGAAGCAACAAAGACATCTTAATGGCTTCCTGTGAAGCACACAACACACAACTTCATAAATAAATTGATGGCTCTGCCGCAGTAACAAAGCAGCGAGAATGCCAGTGATCTGCCTGTAATAAGTCAAACATAGTTCTAGTAAACCTAACAAAACAGCAGGGCTAAGATGCACGCATGTTAATACTGACATTACATTATTGCTCTGTTCCTAAGTCTACATGTACAGTAGCTGGCTGCTTTTTGTAACAGTCTTCACACTGATAAATTTAATTATGATAAATCCTAATAAACCTCATTTTGACTAAAATCTAAAGCAGTATCCAAAACCCAGAAGGCATTGTGACAACCACAGGGACAAAAAAATTGAATCCAAGACAGCAGATGAGTTGAATGAAATTGTTGTTATAGATAAACCTATATTTTATTAGTACAATGTATTGATAAATTATACTGAAAAAGTGTACTTAAAAATGCATTGTTTTATTGCATTTTATTTATATGCAATATTTTGAAGGATAAACGATGCAGATTTATTTTTTACAGTCATTTTTGATCATATTTACCAGGGGTGCCATTAATTCTGAGCATGAGTGTAGTTCAAGTTAGTTTGTGAAGCGAGAAACACTGGCAATGTCAAACCGTGGTCTTGAAACTGTCTTTTTTTTACCGCAGTTTTGAGGAAAAAATACTCAGCAATGGTGTTCACTTATGCATTTGCACATGGTTTGTCTTAAACATTAAAAACACCACTTAGACATCTAAACAACATTAAAACATGATTTTCACCACAGGGGGTCTTTAAGATACTCCACTGTAGGCAGGAAGGCAACTCCCAAGCTTTGGGACAGAGCTCAGATGTGATTTAAGCCTCATTCATTAATTAATTAAAATGTTAAATGCTCAAATCAAACATCACACTGAACTAGCATTACCTCTCTTCCAGATGATGGCAGCTTTAGGTGCACCAGATACCTGACAGGTGAATATAGCCACCGCTCCATCTGTGACAGTGACATTGACCGGTGCCGCGGTGAAGTCAGGAGCCATACCTGCAGAACACAGTCCCATTTTTAATCAGGGCGAGAAAACGCCACTATCCGTTTAATAACCCCACAATCCCGCTTAATGCAGTCAACCCACACACCCCCACAGGAAGACGCAAATTATTACAGGAGGCCAAACAACAGCCAATAAATTCTATTCAAACAATATTATGTCCATCAAAACACTACTGATGCTTTTTACTGCGATCCGAGACAGTAAACAACTGGCATGTTTCTAATTACACTGATATGATTGGGTGCCCAATGTGGAGTCGCAAGGTCATTTTTAATAGGCAGAGATGTGTAAATGAACAGTTATTTCCATTTGGAAAAGTAAAGCGTATTGCTGCTTGAGAGAAAATGACCACTGTTTGGATGCATTGTTAAACATGTGTCATGTTCATTTGGAACAGTCGAGACAGGAATATAAAACACATCACAGCTTGGTTTCCAATTCCTTTACATCATTTTTATCACACGAATACTGATGACACGGTAGGGCATGGCAGTATAACCAAAATCTAACATTACGCCATAAATCAGTTTTAGTAATCTAGTAATTTTTTGTAATTATTTTAGTAGTAATTTTTAGAACAGTATCTTTTGTGTTATACTGTAGCTATAACGATAAAGATACAGTCCTAGAAATCTTAAAGGACAAGTTCGGTATTTTACAATTAAAGCCCTGTTTTAAGATCGTTTCTGATGAAATAGAATGGTTAAGATTGTTTTTCAGATAGATGCTGCTGTCCCGTGAATTTTCGGATTCTGTGGTTGCACCCGCACACCTCTACAATGTTTTTAAACTTTAGTATTTAAACTTTAGTTTAAAAAGAAGTGAAACTCACTGAGTGGTCTGGGGTGTTCACTGACATGCTCACACAAAAATCGCTGCAAAAGATGCTTTCCAGCAGGTGTTTTACCATTCGTTGTAAAACTGTAGACCAATTTTTCCGAACGTTCTTCCGTTGAGAGCTTGAATAATAGACTCCAGCCCAGTTGGTGGCGATAATGCACCTTTACCAATTGCAAGCAAAGCACTTGTATAGTGTAGCCTACGATACCGCAACTGCATAAGACTACAGAAAGAATACAAACAACCCCATTTCCGTTTCTGGAGGCGGAGTAATACCGTACATCACAGAACATACAATACAAGTCAATGGAGTTGGACAAAAACTACAATAAAACCTGTTGGAAAGCATCTTTTGTAGCGATTTTTGTGTGAGCATATCAGTGAACCGCTCGGTGAGTTTCACGTCTTTGTAAACTAAAGTTTTATGCTTTTTATAAAAGATTGTTCCTGTGCAACCATTGTGAAGGTGTGGGGGTGCAACCACAAAAACTGAAAATTCTCTGGACAGCAGCATCTATCTAAAAAATAATCTAAGGGCCTGTTCACATCGCATCTTTTGCACGCTCAAGTTTGTTATTTCAAATGTAGGCGCGCTGTATGCGCGCTCATAATGGAAGCGACGCGGCTATGGTGCGACACGGTCGTTTTTTCCAAGCGCGTTCGTGCCACATCGAAATAAAAACATCTCAACTTTTCAGAATGCCGCAAGCGCACCATAACCGCACAGTAGGTCACGTGACAAGAACCAACCGGAGCACAACCGCCCAAGTGCTTTGGAAAAAGAAGAATACGGCGCGCCCAGCGTTTTCTACGCGTTTTTAGGCGCTATATGTGAGTCCGGCCTTAACCATTCTATTTCATTAGAAACGATCTTAAAACAGGGTAACTTTAATTGTAACATACCGAACTTGTCCTTTAATATAAAAGAATAGCACACTAAATGTGTCCACACCACAACTACGATAACGATAACGATAACGGCACAGAGAAAAATTTCCTTGGAGTCCATTTTTTAAACCCCCCCCCCAAGAGCATTTAGACGCTAATATAGTCATCATTATGGTTATCTTTATAGTTATCATTCTTGGTGTGAATGTGCCTTTAGACATTGTAAAGTCTTGATTTATTTATGACACATCTTATATTTACACATTACTCGCATATGTAAAATAAACCTCAATATCTCTCAAATTCATGTATTCTAAAGGTATGCCAGCGCTATCTTTCCTAGAGCACTTAAAGTGTACATCCTGACACAATGTTCTAGTATGTCATTGAAAATCAACATGCTCAATATGCCCTGATGTTTTGGTACGATGACCCCATCTCTCTGAGGAGATAAAGGCCCGGTAAGTAATTATGGACCAGACTAACATTCACCCACTGTATTTGTCCTTGATCACTTTCGGATGAAACAGATCTATACAGGAATAATAAAGCCTGCGGAAGAACTAACACGGCTTTGATTGAATTGCCGGTCAATGAGCGAGTCTAGATACAGTATGCACAAACAATACGCAAGAAGATATTTTCAGCTATTCAGAGCAGCATTTTTTTTCTTACCTCTTCAATTTTTTAAGGGCTGAAATGAATAGCTTATCTGTATTAAAAAGGCTCCTTATTCTACATTTTTGTACCATTTTATTTATTTATTTTTACTCTGAAGTTCTCCTTAGTTATTAGTGAACGTTTTATGCTCCAAAACAGTTTTACAGTTTTAATTTCTGACCCTGAACATTGTAAGGACCCTGTAAAACTTTTCTAAAAAGGAAATATTGTTCTTTTTAATGAACTAGCTCCATCCCCCAACATATTCTGCACAATCACGGACAGTCGAATGATTCAAAGGTCAATGCGGCTGAAAGTTAAAATCATTACGGCAATCTACATGCATGTGCCGACTGCTGTGGTAATTATCTGTGTGATGAGAGTGCTCCTCTGAGAGGGTCTTAATGTCCTCATGTACTGATCGGGGCAGTGCCCTGAGAAACTACGATGTAATCAACTCCAGACAGGCCTCTCCACAGGGAGTTGCACTGTTGCATCTCTTACAGAAACGAGTGAGAATCATATGTCCGTAGATTAGGAACAACACATCTGTCATGCCGGGGAGCTGCTGTGCATTGGCTGAGAGAAGGTGCACTTTACAGCTGCTCACATTTATACCCTTGGCAACGTCTTGATTGTTTGTGTGTCAGTAATTAATAACAGTAAGTCTGAAAAATAAGACGCCCCCCTGACTGGCGTGGGGGTCAGACTCACTCGTGACGTCCAGGTAAGTGTGGACCTGAGCCTCTCCGGCCGAGTTCCTGGCAAAGCACTGGAAGATTCCGGTATCGCTGGGCTGTACCTTCCTGACCTGAAGACCCATGCTTGAGATGACCTTGTAGCGAGGGTTGTTGAGTTTACTGAGGGGAACGGCATCTTTATACCACTCCAGCTTGGGAATTGGCACCCCTGTGAGTTAAAAACACAACATGATGGGTCATGATGAAGGTCAGATGAAGGTAGCAATTGAACAGTTGGGTTCAGAAGGTTGAAATTAAATTATAAATGGAACCAGGATATTAAATCTTTTATAGAAAAAAGCGTATTAAAAATTTAAACTATATAGAAAGAACTATATAGAAAGCTTAAAAAAAGGAACAAAAAAAAAATAGAAAAATTATTTAGTCATAAAGTGTAAAGATGCATGATGCATGAGCCAATACATATAAACACATATATACAGTTACAATGAAAGTCAAAAGAGCTCTCACAAAAGCTATAGAGACAATAATAATTGTTTTATTACAATGGAACTAACCACTTAAAGTTTCTAGAGACACAGCTGGCAGTCTTATTCATAAGTTAGTACTAGAAAACCTGAGGGTGTTGAAGAAAAGGCACAATAATGGGAATAAAATGTTTGATCAGAGCAACTAAGAAAAAAAACTCTCAATTTACTGTCAAAGATTTGCAAAATGATCTGAAAAACATTTCAGTGCAGAGTATAATAAAAACACTATACAAGTATGACCTTCAAGTTGGCATATCTTGCCGAATGACACTCTTGACCAAGAAGAACATATAAGGCCGACTTGAATATGCTCAAATTCATTTGGATAGACCTGTGGAGTTCTGGAAGAATGTTTAATGGAGTGATGTGACCAATCTGGAAGTTTTTGGACACATGGATACAGTAGGTGCAAAAATGAACATCATTTCCATATTCAAAAATGGAGGTGCCCCAGTCTTGTTATGGGGGTGCTTTGCTGTTGCAAGAAGTGGAAATCTTGACTGTATGAAGGACATCATGCATTCTTTAAAGTATCAAGCCATTTTTTTTTACAAAGATGCTGGTGCCTTCGGTGCAGAGACTAAAGCTTGTGATCAATGGACTATCTTGCAGGACAGCCATCCCAAAGTATACATCCAAATCTACTGAAGCCTGGTCCTGGTCAGTCGAAATATATTCTTGAGTGGGTGTACAGTCTTCAGATTTAAATCTGACTGAAAGTATTGGGTACTTTCCTTGAATTGGAAGAAAGCAGTGATAACCAAAGAGGATCTGTGATCTTCCAGCTTTTTCAAGTGAGGAATGGGCCAAAATTACAGTGGAGAGGTGACAGAAGCTTTTAAGCACTTACAGGCAGCATTTATTGGAGTTTACAAAAGAATAAAAGTTTCTGCACAAAATTTGACTTTTGGGGGTTGAATCATTTTGTGCATGAAGGATTTTTTTTCTACATTTTTCATTAACTTTACATTCTTAGAATCACTCAAATGTGTATTCAAGTTTTTCTCAATCGCTTTGGTGCATTTCTCACATCACTATTTACATTTGCACAACAGTTAGTCACATGTGCACATCATAGTAGCAGTTTCTCATTCCTTCCAACAAATTGAAAATGCATTTGGACATGCATCAATTGCTTTCATACAACTCGCTGCTGTTTTATAACATTATCATTTGCTTATGTCATGTCAGTCAAAATGAACTAGACTTGTGAATGCTGAGTAGTCATTCCATTTAAAACTAATAGTGCTCATTTCATTCACAGTCATCACATACAAAAATGTTGAACTAGTCAAAATCTATCACGCAAATAATTTTTTATTTTTTTTTATCTTTAAATTGAACAATTTCTCTCAGGTGAACCTCAGTTTTCACTAATGGGATGTGGAAGGGATGTGCATGAATGATTTACAGTATGTACTGCAATATTGTTCACAGTTGTGCACAGCTCTACCCAGAGGCAGTTTACAGTATGTTTGTTGTAAATAAGGGTGTATTTTTTCTTTTGCACAATGCTGTGAACAAATTAGAATTACAAAGAGCATATACTCTGTTACCACACTAAATACAGTAATGTTTACAGTTACTTCAAATGGCTGTGCAAATAGTCTATAGTGCTGCTTGAGAATTTTCACGGAGCGTCACCAAGATGTGACTTTTTTGCATTGGAAAACATTTACTGAGTAAACTGTCACAAGCCCCATTTCACACAGAGATTCCGGAAAATACACGCATAATGTGACCCGGCAATTGTCCCAGGATTGTTTGATTTCGGTTCATTCACACTCTGATCTCAGCTTCAGCGCGGATAGTGAGGAGATCCTGGTTTCTGCTTCGTTCCAGTTTGCAGACATTTGTTCGTCCTTTCTTTGTTGATGACGAACACAAACTTTCTTCTAAGAGCAACAGAGTCGCGCGATGGCACGAGCGTCATCACTATGACACACCCTTTACGGCATTGGTCCTGGCTTTTGTTCACACAGCGTGCGTTCCGGGTCTGATTACAACAATGTTACTAGGTCCCCAACCCGGCATCGATGCCGGTATCAATCCTGGGTCGTGTTTGCGTTCACACAGAAGGCGTTCTGGCAATTTCCTGGGATCAACGCGCTGTGTGAAAAGGGCTATAATTAAAACATAACAAAGCCATTTGACTATCTTGTTCATAAGCAATGGTGTCAGGTCTTTCTCATCTTGACGACACTGACACTTTCAGTGACATGAATACTTGCTTTTGAGGAATGAGTTATCCATTTTGAGTAAGGGACACACTTTTGCAGGTTATCAACTAGGTTTTGCAGTTTGTACTAATTGTTTTGAGAACTGCATTAATTTTTGAGCAAATGTAAATAGTTATGTGAGAAATGCACCAAAGCGACAGAGAAAAACTGTAATAAACTTTGTATAATAGTTTACTGATGCCTTTGTTGAATTGTTTTCAAGAATAATTTAGATTGCGACTATATATTATTATAATTATGGATAGATAGATATATAGATATATAGAGCAACATACAGCTAGATAGATAGATAGATAGATAGATAGATAGATAGATAGATAGATAGATAAACATACAAATAGATATATAGATAGATAGATAGAGCAACATACAGATAGATAGATAGATAGATAGATAGATAGATAGATAGATAGATAGATAGATAGATAGATAGATAGATAGATAGATAGATAGATAGATAGAGCAACATACAAATAGATAGATAGATAGATAGATATATAGATAGATAGAGCAATATACAAATAGATAGATAGAGCAACATACAGATAGATAGATAGATAGAGCAACATACAAATAGATAGATAGATAGATAGATAGATAGATAGATAGATAGATAAAAACTAAAGCTAAAGCCATGTTAAAACTAAAGCCATCTAGTACTGTTGGTATATTGAGTGATGCGGCATTATATTGTATAAACTTCCCAGTTTCAGTGAATCCATTTTGCTAACGTGAACTCACACTATGTTTATCCCCATTCTTCCCTTTGGAAGCGAAGGCCTGTGCAGCATGAAGCGACACACACACCACGCTGGTCTAAACACTCTTTATTATACACACTCAAAGGTCTAATTTTGAAAATGCTAGATGCTCTCTTTGTAGGATATAAAAAAGATGAAGTGTCAAGTGGAAATGAGATGATCTGAGGCCTTAAGCCTCCAAACAGATTCGGCTAGCACACTTCTAAGAATATTCTAGCAGCTTGGAAAAGTGCGCTCTCGGGGGTGGGGGGGGATGATGATTTAAGTAACGGCTGAAAGAGCTAACAGAGAAAATCATCACTCGCTGTGGCTCTCGTCTGTATCAAGAGAAGGCCACCAGACTGTATTATTCAAACTCATTTAGCACTCTTCGCCTGTGGTTAACGGCTGTATCGAGCTCCACTCGGCACCAAACAGCAGCAGACTACGCCGTGCAAATTTTCCAAGACGTATCAAAAGAGCGAGGGGCTCTGGGCATGTGTTATAGTCTTTTCCTTGATCCTTTAGAGCTGGAGACTTCTGATTCTGCTCTGGAGAGATATAACTTCTCAAAACAAAAGGATTCCTTTCAATCCAGCCACATAAAAAAAAGTGAGAAGAGTCCCAGAAGCAGCACACAAGAGAAGTAATGGATTGATTCCACTTTCAGCTCTTGAGGATACGGCGGGGTGACTCGCTTGTTTTTATTTCTCACAGCCCATCTGATGCCGAGGGATCATTTTTACCCCTCGCTGAAATTGCAGCTGAGCCGAAACTGAACCTCAACGGACAAATATCACGAGTACGGTCATAACAGTTGGGCTGACTTTCCATTTCAGCACTATTAGAGCTAGAGAATATTTCTGAAAGAAAACCAATACCATTTCATCAGCCATTCTTTCCACGACATAATGATAATGGTTTAAGCCCCTTCCCATCAACACCTCATATCTCACAGATAATCGTAAACTCTTCGCCACCCTTCCGAAAGGCTGCCATTTGTCTTCGACGAAAGGATGCTGCTGACATCCTCTAAAGGTACCGATTTCATAAATCACCTCTAAACAGAGCAGGACACAGCTTTTGGGGTTGGTTAATAGACCCGCACGGCGGTCCTGGGAGTTAATTCACAAAGGTTGTTGTCAGCGCAAAGAATGCAATGCGAAAATAGCTATAAATACCTTTACATAACTAAGATTACTGACTACAAAAGCTCAGAGTGCTCGATGAAGCGTATGGATCAGAGAGGGGCTGAAGTGTTCTGAATGTCTTTTGTGTGTAAAGCATGTTGGAGAGTACACTTTTAAACCTCGAAATCAATCCAGCCCCCTCAGTTTAAGTCCTACACGTAACTAGCACTCACCTCGAGCTTGGCACTGGATATCCACACTTTTCTCCACCTCTCCCATCATCTTCCTCCTGGGCTCAGTGGTGAAATAGGGTGCTTCTGCAAAAGCAAACAAGCTAATTTGAGAACACTGACATTTCCCAACTGAATACAAAAGGACGTTTTCTTGAAGAAATGGCTTCAGAATTAATCGAGTGATTCAGTCAGTGGAATTCAGCTCATTTTCTTACAAAAAGTGTATTTTTGTCGAGCGCAGATGGGCGTGGGACAAATTTATTCCCTTTTCTGTAGCAACTGAACGTTTACTGGAGCAAAAGTAATGAATTCATAAACATTGTCAAGATTGAAATGCCCAGCTTAATGTAGTCATGTGTCTTCGGCAGTCAGACACGTGGAAGGGTCGCATTTAGACTGAGAGGGCATGTTTCATTCACTTCCCTCACCTAAACACGACGTCCTCTACTGTAATGTTTGGACATCCTGCAGAGGCACAGATGGCCACTGAAACTTCACAATGCTGTAGTCTTACATTATAGATTTCGTGCTTATAAAGCATCTGTTATGAGTCTGTAATGAGGGAAATATGCTATTTATTATGTTCACATTATTCTGCAATCAGGTCTGTATGAATGTTGTTGTTTTTTTTAAAAAAACAATGGTTCACCCATAAACTATAAAATCCAATTCGGTCATAGGGTTTGCACAGACTACTCAACTTTAATGCTCTTCCATGATGCTTTAAGCTTGAAGTCAACTAGTCGCTGGTCATGGCATATTCATACTTTGCACGTGACATCACACGTACTGGCTGGCGGGCAAGAACGTCGTTCTTGCCTCTAGCAACGAAACCCAATAAACTAATCAATGACCTTGCCAGGACATAACCAGTTTTCATATGCAAAAGTTGGTGTTTTTTCATCTGTACGTGATTTGATTTGATATCAGAAGATGACACGTCACTGTTGTACCCGCGTATAATTATTACTTACTAACCTTGCATGCATACTATCGTACACTTATTACTATACTACATTACAGCCAAACAGATTGCTTAGAGAACTATATACACTTCGTAGCTCTTGTCTGTTGTCTGATACTATGTGGAGTGGATAAGCAGGTAACTTAGGCTACAATGCTTGACATCCTGCTAGCCATGTATGATACAGTTGGCATAAGTTTTTATTTTTTATTATTTAAGCTGTCATTCTCCGGCAGGCAGGGTGTACATACAGTTTTCAGATGAAGACTTTGAGTATAGCTGGAAACATTAGCTAATGGAGCTTTGCTTTGATTATGAAGATATTCCTGTTTTTCACCTCCCATACGACAGCGTTGTTAACCCATCCACTCTTGAAAAAAAAGATAGCTATCTGTACTTTTGTAGGCTTTAGTTTTTTTTTGTGGTGTTAAGGCAATTGCACAGTGAGTATGACATTTTCGTTATTCAGTGGCTTTGAATTGTCAAAACAATATTCAAACTGCTTGCTACGGATTGACATAACGTGAGGTCATAAATACGACCTCACGTTATGTCAATCACACTTGCACACTACCACTTTCGTCCGTCAAAAAAAAAATAATCGAATCGGGTTCAATTTTCTGCGTTTTTCGCATCCTAGCAAGCAGTTTGAATGGTGTTTGAATGGAGCCACTGAATCACAAATACGAAAAAACGCTGACATCCGCTGTGTCCTATGCCAAAGCAGTGCACATGGCAACCTGCGCTTGAATCTCAGCTGGAGGTTCAGGCGTAATTGTTCATTAATGAAGTTATCAGCGACTACTTGACCTCTACTCGACTTTAATCACATAAATGTTGACTTGAAAAATCTGAAGTCGTTTAACCCTTCACATGTTGTTACAAATCTTCAGCAAAAGTAGATATTAGTCAGAGTGTTCACGCTGAACTTTCAGACATGTAGTCCATACACTCTCAGGAAAACATGCAAACAGTGTACCCTTAGTGGTAAAAAAATTTGTCATTCGGGCAGTACCCTTAAAGGCACAACATTGTATTTTTTTTCCAATTAAAGTTTAATAGAAGTAGCTTAATGATACATATTAATACTCAAAGGTACATTATATATAATTTGTAGGCATAGATGTGGTACAAATTACTGCCACAGTGACAAGCTGTTGTACCCCTAAGGGTATAATTTTGATTTCAGTTGATATCATTGTTTTTATGTTAAAGGAGCATTGTGCAACATTTCATGTTAAAAATACCAGTTTTTCTAACACATACATGCTTAAACAATTGCCTGATGGGCTGAACGAGCCTTTCTCTGATCACTGCGATTGCCTCTATACAGTAAAATAAATAAGAGGGATTTGGGATGGAATTTGAGACTGGGCATGACGTCATGCACCTGGCTATGTCTGGCAGGTTTGTGTATTCGCCGCCATTCTCAGTTATAGCGAAGACAACTTAAAACTTTAGTCAACTTTCGACAAAAGTAGAAGATGTATTCAAAGAGACCGGCTTGTAGTTCATTCCATACCTCAACATAAACTCTACATAAGTGTTAATTTTGACAGCAAATTTTGATTTAGTTTTAGTCTTAGTCTTTTGACTAAAATGCAATTTAGTTTTAGTCATATTTTAGTCATCTGAATTGTTTTTAGTTTTAGTCTAGTTTTAGTCGATGAAATTCAATATGATTTTAGTCGACTAAATCTACAGTAGATTTAGTCGACTAAAATATAATGGGTTTAGTTAAATTGTAATGCATTAATTTAGAATTTAGTAGAGAAGAATTCTATTTAGAGAATTACGGAGGAGAACCGTACCGAATAAAGCTCTTTTTTGCATCGTCACTCTTATTCATATCTATATGTCTGCTCTACTACACATTTTTTAACGTTTTATGATCAGCACGTTACAGTACAAATGTGCGCATCTACCACTCACGCAGGACATCAGTTCTGCCTGGATCGCTTCCCAAATCGTCACTATCTAACATTTTCGTCTAGTTTTTATTCGTCGACGAAAATGTCAATAGATTTTCGTCATAGTTTTTGTCATTCAAAATTAGTTTTTATTTAGTTATCGTCTCATTTTCGTCTGTGAAAAAATGTCGTTGACGAATAATTTTTCAACGAAATTAACACTGCACGTAAGACAAACAAACTACAACTTTTGTCTAGTGCCAGGCGTCGGAATGAGACGAGAGTCAACACCGGGAAGGCTTTCAACAAATGGAGAGATCTCCGGTCTTCTCTAGGGCTCAAACAGGATCCTAAACACAGTAATAACTTATATTGCTCATGAATGTGTTTCCCTATGATAACAACCATAAGTGGATACAGTAAGCACATAAAACAGTTCAACATGGAGATGCAAATAAAAACCGAAGTTTTCTACCACCCCCGTTTTCCCCTCACACATAAGTGTGTAATTTACTCAAATGCCTTTCCTTTCATATATTTAAAATGACTTGCAGATTTATAACTTTATAACTTCTGAAGACATTATGACTGTAAACAAAAGATTTGTGCGGCTGATGCTCCTTTGATTATGAACAGCTCGTGCAAGCGTGTGTGTGGTCCTTGGCATGCACACCTCTGGTTGCAGTTTTGCTTGTCGCCAGAGGGGGCGTAGTTCTGAAAAAACTCAGAGACTTGCGCAATGCACCTTTAAAGTACAGGTTAATATGCAGAATCAACTATAAGTATACATTTCAGAGTTTGATTTCCCTAAAAAGTATTAACACTCTGTTACACTTAAAAAAATGTGTTTGTTTGAGTATCCTGATCAGCACACTGCACCTTTAAGTTGTAATTCATTGAAAATGCAAAAGAAATAACAATGATTTGGAGTGACAGGAAGGAAAATAAACTTTTCATTTCTGGGTAAATTATTCCTTTAATCAGTTATTTAGATGCTTTAATCATGGAAATCGTAGTGAGAAAGCGCATTCATTGATTTATTTTTCTATGAGCTATTTCATAGATCTCTTTAATAGTTTTACAAGAAATTAATCTCTTATAATGCACAGTTTAAGAGAGATATTATTAGAGATTTATGCTTGAGAGACATAACTCTGATGCATGTTTCCCGAGAAAGACTCGCAGGCCATCAAGAATCTGAAGTGCATTTTTTTACGCAAATAAGCAGATGAATAAATGCATACTTAGAGATCTTGAATATAATTCAGACACCCAAACAGTCACTAAGCTCCTGACTTATGTGCAGCGCCATACTGACAGCCAACATTCATCAATTCTCATCCACCCAGTCTTGCCTAGTGTAATATATTCCTCCTGTTATGGATTCGTCTGTCTATACATATGTATTGGATGTCACATGGAGTTCAGAACACCTGTCAGCAGGACTCTCAAAATGGACACCGATGTGAGGCATAAATATTTAATATGCTGTTTAGCTCAATGGGTTTCCTTATATAACTGTAAAGAGAAGCAGTACTGCATGTTCTCAGTATGTTTTGGTAGCAATACATATATTTGAATATAAATATAAAAGACAGGAAAAACTGAATTCAGCCTGACACTAACATTAATCAGAGAAAATGTAAGGCGAATTCATTCAGGAACAGCTAATTAAGAAATTGAGACTCTTGTTGTATGCTGCTATCTCTCGCCAAGACAAATTTGGACAGATGAATTAATCTTTGGCATGATATATAGTTCACAAGTGATACAGCAGGCCTAATACGCCTTATTCACAGCAGCGCTATCTTTGATTTTTAATGAGAATGAAAGCGAGGCTGTGAGGGATAGACTTGCATCTCTTCAATGGGCTGTATTGTTATTTAATGTGTTTTCGGATTGTTCTGCTCATGAAACACTGGAAAAATATATTTCCAAGAAATGTCAGTTGACAAAAAACTCCCGACAATGTAATCTGTGGAAAATTGTAAGTAATCTAGCCGCTTTATTCAGCTTTTTACAGCGGATGCCATTGGAAACATGGTAAGTCTATCCCTCACAGCCTCACTTTCATACCTGTCATGGCGCTGCTCTGAATAAGGTCTATGGTTACACTTTATTTACACTTCATAGTCCACTTTAGACATTTTACTAGTAACTTGTCAACTGCATGTCAACTAACTCATTCAAATATTAGTAGGCTGTAATAGACTTAGGTTAGGGTTCGGTGTTTCGATTTATGGGAAATCGCAATGGAAGATGATTTCGACATATCTAAATATGTTTAGTGAAAGGTAAAAATCTCCATGTAAACAATGCGTGACGTACATACGCACGCGATCACTTCCGGCGTCACGTTGGAGACGGTTCAGTACGGTTCAGTTGGACATCTGATTGAGATCAGTTCGACGGCTGTTAACAAGAGGTAAAAACGATATAAATACTGTTCGTTTTCTCACACAAACCGCTCGTTTCGTGTCTTAGGCCATCAATGTGTACTTACAATTACAAGTCATTAAATCATGTTTAATTTTGACTTCTCTGTGCATGCTCTTTGAGGTGGGCTCCATTGACCTGCATAATATGACTGACAGACAATAACGGTTTGACCAAAAAATGTCAAAATTGATAGTACTGTGGAAACAAAGACACCTACAACTTGGATGCCCTTGAGGTAAGCTAAAACATATCAAAAATTCATTTTAAAGTGAACTATCCCTTTAAGGTGCTGTTTGACAGAATAAGTTGACATGTAGTTGCAAAGTTATGGTCAGTAGAATGTTTGTTGAGGAGCATCACAATAAAGAGTTAGCGGATATTAATCTGATGGTCTACTAATACTCTTATGAGAGTTAGTTGACATGTAGTTGCAAAGTTATTTATAGTTACAGTAAAAAAGTCTAAAGTGGACCATAGCAATAAAGTGTTACTGTCACGGTTTGGGGTTTGTTTCTTGTTCCTGTTCTTGTCTGTCATGTGATCTTGCCTTGTGTTCCTTGTCTTTTCTGTCATGTTGTCATTGGTTGATTGTTTAAATGTCCACAGGTGATGCTTGTCTTGTTTATTAGGGCCTTTCTCAATCTGTGCTCTTGTCTGTCCTTGTGAAACGTCATCTTTTGTGGCCCAAGTACTCTGATGTGTTCGTGACACGCCCATTTTACCGAGGATGCATCGGTTGGTAACTTGTGTGAACTTGACGGCAGAAATATTCCAGCATTCAATTCGGCATTCGAGGAAAGAGAGGCAGTAATTCACTTTTCTACGATTACGTACTCTATTGAAATATGGCGAATCGAAAATGTGCTCAAATGTTTTTGGAAGTGAGAATCTCCATAAGCGCCTGCTGGTGTTAAGTTAGCTAGCGAACCAACCGGCCAGTTTGCTCACAGACTCGTTTTACCCCACAGTCAAGAGACCATTGCAGCCAGCATGTCATCATCATCTGTGCGGGGGTATTATTGCACAATACCAGCAAGAACACGTCGTCTCAAACTGTCAGGAGCGTTCTGTGTGCTCGTCACCTTGTGAGTTCTTTCTTCCAAGAACAACTAGCAATAGCGTTCTCCCCAAGAACACAAGTCCGTTCTTTGCATTCTTGGTTTTGAGAAACACCCTTAGGCTGTGTGTCCACCAAAGTGTTTTTCCACGCACATGGCATATGTTTTCAATTGTTTTCAATGGGAGCGCCGCATTTTATAAACGCCATGAGCGTAACTAGGCGCTGAGCGTTTTTTTTTTTCATGCTGAAGCGCGAGCGCCCAACGTTTTTACTGGTCGCCGGGAGTTGAAAAATGTTCAACTTTGGATAAAACGCAGCGCTCATCACTGTCACTTTTTACCCAGCCGTCCAATCACAGTGGAGGAGGGGCGGGAACAAACCACACTGACCAACTGTTACAACATTCTTTCTGTACAACGACATCAACCAGCAGAGCTAACCGAACAACATGGATGAAAAATACATTTTTAGTATGAAACGAATTATCTGCGAAATCAGTTACAAGTAAACTGTGCCGCGGAAGTTCTGTATCATAGCAACGAAACGTCTCAACGGTAAAAAACGCACCAAAGCACGGCGTCTTCAGCAGAGCGTCTAGCGTTTTCAGCTGGCAAAAAACGCTTTGGTGGACACACGGCCTTAGTCTCCTCAGGTGTCTCGGATCCTCTTGTTATCTTGTTTAGTTTGTCTGCTTGTGTATTTATACCTCTGTTTCATTTGTGGTTTGTAGGCCGTTGTAGCTTGTAGCTGTTTTCTTGTTCCGTGTCCTGAGTTCATATTCTGTTAGTTTGCCCTGGATTACCTGTTTGATTATCAAATTAGTACTTGCATTTGGATTCTCCCCGCTTCATTCCTGTCTAATCGTTACAGTTACTGGCCTTACAATTGCAGTTAAATTACTCCATATTTTTTTTTCCAGTTAATCTAAATAAATTGCTTTGTGTAGTAATATACTAATGTGTTCAAGAAAATTATTAATTACATTTTTATAAAAATTCTATATTTTAAAATGAATTATACTACTATTATTATTATCTAATGCATGGAGCTGTCCTAAAGATATGACAACTCCAACATTTATCTCCTTACATGCTGTTATTTCAACAAAAGACTTCAAATTATGTGCACTTTCTGTTTTTTAAGTAAATCTGATGACTTGGAAATAGGTCTGATGGCACTTCAGTGGTGTGCATTCAGGAAGATCCTAATGTGTACTATTAGCTGGTGATATTCTCATAGAATGCTGTGACCGATAGCTGTAATGCCTGAGGCTCTCTTAAAAGCTCTTAGCTCAGCCAATACAGTGTGTAATTTGAGGTTTTATGCGCAGTAATGTAGTGCAATACCTATCAGAGGGCTTTGCTGTTCATCACTCCCCACTGAGTGGAACCATTAAGACAGTGGATTTTCTCTGCAGACGTACAGCTGTGAAAGCATTGTGTCGGAGAGAAGAAATAGAGCTTTTATTGGACGAGGTGATTTACCTGTGATAGCGAGGAAGGCTCTGGCCTCCGCCGGCTTCACACTGCTGTCCAAAAGCGAGGCTTCGCACACATACATGCCCACATCGGCACTGGTGGGATTGATGATGGTCAAGCGTCGGCTGAAAGAGCCAACAACGCTGGCCACTTCCACGCCGTTTCTTCGCCACACCAAATTGAGCTTCTCAACCGGACTGTGGAGAACAACAATGCAAAAAAATAAATAAAACATTTTCAGAGCTTTGTTGTTACGAACTTGTCACCAAGGTGACATTAACTACTCATGACATGTAAGGTTTTGTCAAAATTGTAACGAAGTGGTAGTAGGACCATAGCAGAACCAACCTTTTTTAATAAGAAATGAATACTTATTTTCAGCAAATGCACATTTAATTGATCAAAAGTGACAGTAAAGTAATTTATAATGTTATATTTCACAATAGTACTGTTTTCATGATCAAACAGATGCAGCCATGCTGAGCATAAGAGACATTTTTCAAAAACTTTACAAAAATCTTACAACGTATTAATTTTTTAATAAGAAATGTATACTTATTTTCAGCAAATGCTCATTTAATTGATTAAAAATGACATTAAATTCATTTATAATGTTATATTTCACAATCCACTTGAAATGTTGACTACAGTACATGATCACTGATGCTTCTGGAAAACACGTTCAATGCACTATACGTGTTACTTTAGCAACTATTATAACAACGGCTTTGAAATGAAGGTTAAATGGAGAAAGACAGTCTGAATATTGATGGTTGTGAACCTGTCCGAGGTAAATGAGTGTCAAATGAACTGTGTGCTGCTGGGAAAAGAGTGTGTCCATATAGCCGTACTCACCGTGCATTAGCTACACACTCCAGCGTGGCCTCACTGACCCCGGCCACCACCGTAGTGTTTCGGGGTGGAATTACAATGACTGGAGCCACAGGGTCCGCAGGGGCCTCCGAATCTAACCAGGGAGAAGGTTAAAAAGAGAGAGAGAGAGCTTTAGATGTACATATGATCCTGCAAAACAAACCATTTTTAAAAACCAGCCTAAGATGGTTTACTGGTCTTTCAGCCTGGCCAAGTCGATTTAGTTGGTTTGAATGGTCCAAAAGTACCCAAAATCCTCACAAACCTAACAGTTTGGCTGGGCTAGGCAGGTTTAAGCTGTTGTTTGTTTTTGCTCTTTCAGCAAGGATCTAACATACATTTGCGTTTAAATTAATGATCAGTATAATAATAAAACAACAGCTTTTTAATGGGAAACATAAAGTGGGATCTTTACTAAATCAGCCAACATGTGTCGTGGACTCGTGTGGTATAAAAGACAAAAGACAGAGTTCAGCTCTTTATGTTTTATGCTTGCCTGACACAGAATAATTTGAATAATTAATCTTTTGGCAGTGGTCCTATAACATGCTCCAAACGGTGGGATTCCTCCCCCGGCTGTTATGCGAAGTCACTCTTGCATGAAAATATGCTTTTTACATTTTTTAAACGACCCAAGCACATCTCTCGTCTAATAGTGAAAAATTAAATACTGCTTATTTAATCAGCTTCATTCTATCCAGAGGAAAATTAGAGAATGTCTAAAATATTGAAATCGTATGATAATGAGGATTTAAATAACTAAGTCGAATGCTAGAATCGAGCCTTTGATGTCGAATTTGACGAAACGCATGAAAGAGCTCAAAAATTGGAACTTGTCGGTAACTTCATGGATACCGTAGCAAGTGCTAAAAGGGACGGGACGCTCCGATTACAGTTAGCATCTGATGTGACTTATTAAATATGCCAAGGAGCATACTGAGGTCGTAAGCACATATTCAGGATGGAGGGAACAGAATGTACTAGTTTAATTGAAAAATTGGCCAAGCTTTAATCTGAATATTGTCAGTGACCTTTAATATTCGCAAACAGAATATTAAAGGTCACCGCTAAAGATTGCATTTGGCTTTATGATTTATGTTTGTACTTTGGGCTACAATTCCAGCAAATATTACAGTATTGCAAGGTTGAAGTATTTCTTGACAGAAAAGACAAACTTGTTGTGGACAAACACCATGTGGACTGAACCAAATGTTTCAATGAGAAGGAAGCATGGAAAACATCCATAAATGCCTTAAAGGTCCTTAGAATTCTCACAAACCACAGACTGAATGCTAATTTAAGCTAAATCTCGGACATATTGTAAACAGGAGTGTGTTTCTTATAACCAAGTCTCCAGCGGGCTTTCGTTGGTAACAGCCGATACCGAAACAGATTGCATGGGGCGCATGGGCCTCTCTCCCTCTGTATTTGCAGATGGGGCAACTAAGCAATACACTAAGATATTATTGGAAGACTCATATTTGTTTTTGGAGCGGCAAGAGCGAAAATCCTGCAGTGTAAACATATGCGAGGCGTGAATAGTGTTTCAGGGGACTGCCTACTTCTGCTTCAATGGATAAGTTGCCTCACCTGTGGCCATGGGAGGCAATAATCATAATAAACTCATCAGGGATGCAGTAAACAGCCCAATTCCCTCTCTTTATCACATGATCACCACTGGACAAATAAACTTCATCCTTTAGATATATGTGAATTATATTAGTTTATGAATATTAGGCTACATTCTCTCCTTTTCGGTGTGTGCTTGTTATCTCTTCTGAGGTTCAGATTCAAGTAATTGTATTATGACTGTTCTTGGGCTGCTGATTCTGTTCTTTGAATAGCTCATGGGTTTACATTATTTATTACAGTAGCAATGATTTTGTCATACAATGGTGCATTAAAGGGTTAGTTCACCCAAAAACGATTTAAATGATGGCTTCATTTTTACTTTTGAGTGAACTATCCCTTTAAGTTGAATATGGAATGTTTATATTATAACACATTCATTATGAATTCTTCAAACTGCTTGTAATCAATTATTTCCCATGAACACTACAACTTTGATTGTTGTTATCGACAGAGCTGGAAACGCCATTTCATTGAAGTAGCTGTAAACTCCCAGACATTTCATAGCAGAATTAAGCTGTGTGTTAAGATGGCACTAATGGTTTTACAGACTTGTATTTTAGTTAGTGCATAAAAACAAGATAAAAACAAATGTTCTCCACTGGTGTGGGTTTGAACATGGTTTTCTGAGATATCTTACCATGTGATCCACGGTACTTCTTGTTCACTGTCCGGCAGCAAAGACAAAAAAAAAAAGAGGACAAATACCAGCCAAAACAGTGAATTTACAGTATGCTGTATACGCACAGTGTTATTCACACAAGTTGATGCCATAACATTCCCTATGTCATGGCATCAACATGGCACCTAACCCCCAAAAAACGCTGACTGGTCAACAGGATTGTTGTTCCAGGATTTAGGAACATTTCCAACTTAAATTATAAATCATATTAAGCTTATATATAGGTGTTTCTTCAACTGGGCAATCTCTTTAGCTCAATTTGTCCACTAAAAGTGACAATTGTATCATAAAAATCCCTACCACATTGTCGTTTCTACCACATCTTAAATTATGCAATGAATTTCATACTATGATAGAAATGAAAAGAAAGTGATTTAAAAAAAAAAAAACATTTTTGGAATTAAATAAAACAAGTTCTTTGTCTTTCTAAGCCTGATTTCATACCTAACATTTCATGTAAACTGAATACATGAAATGTTAGGTATGAAATTTAAAAAATCCCAATTATACAGTATTGTCATTTTTTTTACACAATTTACCAAAAATACAGCTTGAATGTCACGCACACACACAAACAAACACAAAGATTAATTAAATATTTTTATAATCCATCCTTATCCATACCATATCCATTTTTCAAGACTATAAAATAGTATAGTCTATATATAAAAGTCATTTGAAAAGTAGCAAAATAAAATAACAAATAAAATTAAAAATCAAGTCAGTTTTATTGTGACCCTAATAATCTAATAAACAAAAAATGTTTGACATTTTTTGGTTTTAACTAAAATCTATAGTTAAAACCACCAATATTCAGTATGGAAAAACTTTGTAATTAATGAAAAGTAAAAATGAGATTTAATAACATATTCAAAACAAGATTTACACTGAACAAAATTAGCTCAAACAAAATTAATCATGAGCTGAACTCAAAGTTCTAAGACTTTTTCCAAGTACACAAAAGGCCTTCTCTCAAATATTGTTCACAAATCTGTCTAATCTGTGTTAGTGAGCACTTCTCCTTTACTGAGATAATCCATCCATCTCACATGTGTGGCATTTTAAGATACTGATTAGACAGCACAGGTGTGCCTTAGGCTGTCCACAATAGAGTGCCGAAGTTACGACGTCAGGCCAAAACGCGGAAGTGAGTTAGCATGTTAGCACTCCAGTCTATGGGTTTTTTGAATGGGTTTTTGCTAAATCGTCTAATATAAGGTCTGTGGTGAACAAAGCCTCTAAATATGTTCACGTTTTGATCTATGACATAGAACACACAGTTATAACCTGCTTGTGGTTTTTTAAACTTTATTGTGTCTGCTTGGGTTTTTAAAAAAAAACTTTATATAGGTTTCAAAATGTATAAATTTTGGATTAACTTGTAAATATTATCTTGATAGACAAAACGTGTAAGGGTCACAACTCTTTGTTTAACACAGATCTTATTTTTTGGGATTTTCCAAAAGTCTATGGGGAAAATGCATAGCTTTTCGATCGAGGGAACCCATGCGCCGCTAACTTCCGAGTTGTCCTAAAAAGTGAGTTCATCACTTCTATCACTTCTAGCCGCAATATGAAAACCAAACAGCAGCTACTGTTAGTGTTGACTAAGTTTAAATTATACACACCTTATAACAGTGCATCGTTATTAGACCATAGCCCGGTGAACTCTAGCATCAACAAAATGCGATCGATTAATTTGAGAGTCAAGTTGTAATCACGGATCGAATCAAAGGAAGATTTTATCAACTGGTTCAGTGGGCAATTGTTGGGAGTTAAAAAATGTATAACTCGCGCTGCATAGTAATTTTGCCTCAGAAACAGGATTATACATTCGTTTTAACAAGCAGGATGTTCATTCACGCTGAATGCGATTTTCAAGTTCAAAAAGTGACTATACATAAGAGAAGGAAAGATGTGGATAACTATTAATACATTATTTAAGGTTATTTCTATTCGTAATGATATTGATATAGCCTATGAAATGTTGTTATCAAGTAACATGTTTTCCCCGTTGCGAACGTGCACTCGTCTAAATCTGTATATCTGTTACGACTGACGTTTTCTACCGCGGTAACGATATATATCGTCACATCACCCAGCCCTAATTTAGACAGATTTGTGAACAATATTTGAGAGAAATAGGCCTTTGGTATACATAGAAAAAGTCTTAGATTTTTCATCTCATGACAAAAGGTTTTGTTCATTTTTTTTTTGCCCCATTTATAATTTTATTCAGTGTAAAAAGGTTCACAGTGCACAATGACAATCTATATGCATTTCTATACTTGGGCCGGTTTTTACAGCAGCATAGCAACTCTGGCTGAGACGCAAATAGAGATAATGTACAAGTACATGACCTACAGTTAATTGCAGTTGAGATGTGGAGGAACATGCCAGAACAGCCTTTTCAAGTATGGAGAGAATTGGGCAGAGACAATAAATAGCAGAAGAAGGGTGAAGACGACCTTGTTTTCCTCCCCTAAATCTGTCGTTGCCTTAATTTACACAATGCCTAATGAATTCCTATGAAGCGTGAAAAGGTGATCTGATACCACACTACACACACTCACACACACAACGAAAGAAAGAAAGAAAGAAAGGATAACAGCTGGCAGATTGACAGGCAAAAAAAGACACTAAAACAATAAAATATTCAGTGATTCAGGGACTGGGGAAACTTCAAGGCACATGTAGGAGTTTCTTCAGAAGGTATTGTCATCCCCAAACTGGGCGTCCACACGACACAGCCGAGAAAATATAACAAAATATGTGCATTTGTA